TGGGAAGGAGTTAACACTTCAGCAGGCTAAAGATGTTGGGTTCATATTTAAAGATAGAGATGTCTCAAAGTCAACTGTTGAAATTTATGTAGAAGAAGTCTTGTCAGATTCATCATCAAATGGACGGAGGAAAATTGAAGAAGCATTTGCAAGTGGAGTTTTGCATCGCTCTAATTCTCAAGTTATTGACCCTGATTCAGTTCAACCAATGACTCTTAGGAGAGCAGCAAGTCTGGGAATGATTGATGTTAAGAGTGGAGACTTTAAGAATCCTCAAACTGGAGAATGCATGTCACTCTCAGATGCTGTTGATCGTGGTTTCATTTTAAGTCCAAAAGGGTTAACTTTATATGCTGCAATCGAACAAGGTCTTTACAATCCCAACACTGGTAGGCTGTATGATCCTTCGAGTGGTGAAGAAAGAAATTTGGAAGATGCTATGGGAGATGGTATTGTTACTGGAATGTGCTATGAAATAAGAGATCTATCACAGGATAGTATTATTACTTTGACTGAAGGAATCAAACGTTGTATAATTGATGATAAAAAAGGGATGTATGTCAACCTGACTACAAATGAAGTGCTTGATTTTAAGAATGCAGCATCAGCTGGATTAATTGTTAATAGCTCTACCCGTGTTGGTCTATCAGATCATAGCCAGATTAATTCACCACTACCTTCACCGTCAAGTGACCAGTCACTATGGTTTACAGATATTTCAAAAAGTCGAAATCTCCTGACAACACCTACATTTTCCCTGCCAAATGATGATTTCAAATCTACTAATGTAACTGGTGTTGAAGTAAAAGATAATAAATGTTTAAAATTGTGTTGTGTTGAACCACAAGACTTTAAATCTGATCCAGATGTAGATTTTGCTGGTGTAGAAACATTGAAATTGAGTGATAACTCAACTGGACAGTTACCTGATATAAAACAACAGGTTAAAAGTGATATAGAATCTTCATCTACGTTATCTGGAACACATGAACAAAATAAGACAACAGATAAGACCATGTCAAAGAAACCAGAGCTGTCACCAACTCTTAAAACTGATCATGATATAGAAAAACCATTGAAATTAAGTGACAACCCCACTGAACAGCTATCTAATGTAAAACAAGTGGGGGTTATTGGCAAAAAACTGTCATCAACATCATCTAGTGCACCTGAACAAAATAACACAGAAAAGACTGATCATGATATAGAAAAACCATTGAAATTAAGTGACAACCCCACTGAACAGCTATCTAATGTAAAACAAGTGGGGATTATTGGCAAAAAACTGTCATCAACATCATCTAGTGCACCTGAACAAAATACAGAAAAAACCAAGTCAATGAAGCCAGAACTGCCACCAAAGCCAGTATTGACTAGACCAACAAAGGATGATATTTCTAAAAATGCCAATACTTCAACACCAATGACTGCCATAAAGAAGCCTGATTTACCTCCAAAACCATCTGCTTTAATCAAAGAGAAATTGGATTCTGTTAAAATGACATCGCATTCAGTAGCAAACATAAGTAAACCAGGTCATATAGCTGATTTAACTTATGAAATAAAAGCCTTGAATGATGGCTCTGGGCATAAAAATGTTAAAAATCGAAGATCAAATGTTGGACAAGAACCAAGATCACTTTTACCTACAACACAACCAGAAGAAACGAATGACTCACAGACTAGATCAGTGGTATTGACATTGACAGATGCAAAGAATATCCCAGAAGAGAATGCTGATTCACAGACTAAATCACTTGTATTGACAAACACAAAGAGGACTCTAAAACTGTTACCATCAGGTGATGTTTATCAAGAATCGTTACAGGAAAAGACGAAAAAAGAAATAGTTAAAGATCCACTTAAACATATGTCAAAAATTGTTACAGTTGACCAAAGACATAAATACAGTAAAACACCATTGGTGTCAGAGAATATAGACCAGGCTTCACCTGTTACTTTAAATATTAAAAGTGTGTCTCCTGGTGATGTAACTTCAACCCATAACAACAAGGATAATGGAATGATGGATAAATCGCGCCATGTTAACATTGAACAAATACCAACACCAACCATATTAAATTCAATTGACCAAATAGATATCAAACAAAATGATATATTTGATAGTAAAACACCATTAATGTCAAAGAATATAGACCCGGCTCTTAATATTTACGTTCTTTCACCTGATGATGTTGATTTACCACAAAAATCAGTTATTTCAACTGATGGTGGAATAATGGATAAATTGCATCATCTTAACACTGAACAAAGACCAACACCAACCATACCAAGCTCAAATGATCAAATAGAAATCAAACAAAATGATATATTTGAGAGTGAAACACCTGTAATGTCAAAGAATGGAGACCAGATGTCACCTGTTATAGTTGTTTCTCCTGATAATGTTGATTTCCCTCAAACATCAGTTACTTCAACACATAACAACAAGGATGGTGGAATAATGGATAAATTACATCATGCTAACATCGAACAAATGCGAACACCAACCACACCTAGTTCAAATGACCAATTGGATATCAAACAAAATAATACATTTGAACCTTCGCAGAAAACTAAGACTGCTAAAAAAGAGGACAAAGATTATGAACAAGAAGTAGCTGAAACAATCTTTCCTAATAATGTCCCAAGCAAGAAAGATATAAATATTAAGTTAATACCTGACATAAGACTTGCTATTTCACAGAAAAGTTCAGATTTAGTCTCAGTACAATCACAAATCCATTCACCTGAAATTGATAAAAATGTCAACATCGGTAGCGAATCCATTGATGAGACCATTACAGAATATGTGCCATTAATTCAAAATCATTCAGTTAAAGGCACCCAAGATTCACAAAGACCCACTGAAAATGGAATGGGTGTTGTTAAGAAAAGTAATAAGGCTTCTGATCTTCATTCACAAAAGAATACTATTAATGAAAATCCAGGAAATCTTAATATTTCTTCTGACAGGGACCATATTGAAGTTGATAAATTATCAATAAATATAAAAACTGATGATTGTCTAGAAGTTAAAGATTATAAAATGGACGACCATAAGACTTTGGGCTCCTTACCAAATAAAGTATCATTTCCACAGAAACTTGAGAATAATGATGTAAACCTGTTATATAGTCATGGAGAAACTCATCCTGCTGCAGATCAAAGTATTTCAGATCACTGGATTAAAGAAACCTTTCATGTTGTTTGTCAATCTGATGAAAACCAAACAGAATCCAAGTTAGTATTAGATATAGAAAATGTCAAATCAGGCTTACTAGAGCATGCAAAAGATGCAAGTAAACTATCAAACTATCACTGTATTGAAGACACCTTTGATGTTGTTTGTGCATCTGATAAAAACAAAACAGAATCCCAGTTAGTATTAAATCAAAAAAATATAAAATCTTCCTTACCAGAAGATGATAAAGATGTAGGTAAACTATCAAACAGTAGTGATCTCTCATCATGTGTAAAGAGCAGCAGGAAACAAAAAGCCAAAAATGTGAAATTTCATCCTTCTGTGAAATTTGATGATTATGATGATGATGATTTGAAAGAGCCAGTGGATATTAATAACATGGGACCCCGAATTCCACAGCTTAAGCTGAATGATCTAGATCTACCTTTAAACAAATCCAAATTAATAGTTGACAGTGATGAGATTGGTACCCCTGAGAATGATGTTAAATCTGAACTACTCTTTAAGATGAACCTGAAAGCAGGAATCACAGCAAGAGAACGTCGCAAGGTACTCGTGCATGTGGATTTTTGGACACCATTTTGTCTGGTGATTTTATGGAAAATGTTATGCCATATGTCTTAATTGTTGAAAAATGTTGCCTGAAGTGTGTGAAATTTTTTTAGAAATAATTTACTACTTTACAAGATATCTGTATCAACTCATACAGTAATAGTTCATTTATCTAACCAAGTTTGGTTTACTAACATTACAGCTACTTATTGTGAAATATAAAATAACGCATGTTTTTCCTTGCTAATAATTTGAATGGAAATCACGGAGACAATAGTTTATCAATATTGCAATTTTGTTTGCTGTATTGTTTTATGAATAAATCTTTTTCAATGCATTATTTGTTATGACTTTTGTTTGACAAATTTTTTCTGACTTGTAGTTTTTGTTGCTTATTTCATTTCAGTGCATTTTGATATTTGTTAATTATAATCAAAATTTAAGTTAAATGAATTGTTTGTATAGATGTGAATTAAGTTCATTTTCGTTTAGATCATAGATGTAGCAATCTGGGCTCCGCATTTGTAGAGAGAAATACATAAAAACCACAAATCCCTTAAATGTTCAATGTTGATGTTTGTTGATTGTTTGTGCCTGCACTTCAAAAATTAAGAATGTCAAATATCTCTTAAATTAATTCTGAATTAGTACTTCGGATTTCATTTTATAACAGAATCTATTTAAAAATTAAAAGGAAATTATCATTGAAAAATTAAAAGGAAATTATCATTGAAAAATTGTGGAAATTTTCCTTTGTATTATTGAAAGTTTGACATTCTTAGAAAATATTGAAATATTGCCATTGTGTAACAACTCTCGTTAATTTCTGAGTAACTATTTTGCCGATTTCTGTATTACCAATATGTAATTTGCAATTACAGATTTGTCAAATGAATATAATACAAAACAGTGTTGATAGGAGAGACCACTTGGCAATATTTTCAAGTTTATGCACTTGTGCTATTTACAGTTTCTCATTAAAATATTTGTCAAGTAATTGTTTGGGCATGTTAAATTTTAAGTTAATAATTTTTTTTTAAATTCTGTATTATTAGTACGTAATTACCTTTCAGGTTACTTATCTTTTAACTTTTTAAATACCCTTTAAAGCTAATAATAGATCAAATCAAAATTGTTTTTTGTACTTATATTCAAGATATTCAAAACAGTTATTCAATACAAATATTTGTTTCAATTATAAATATTTCTTATATTTGACCAAGGTATTAATGATATGTTCTAGGGTCGTTTGGCTGATTCATATGATAAACTCATACAAGATTTAAATGATGGTTTGAATCAGATAGCAGATTATGAACAAGTTCTAAAGGATGATGAGCAAATGGCAGATGAACCTTACAAACTTCAGTCACAACTTGAAGCATATAAGGTGATTTTTTATACGCCCGCATTTTCATGTGGACATATTATGCCATCACTCCTGTCCGTCCAACCACAATTTGTTTGTAGACACTCTACAGGTCACAAATTTTGTCTGATTTTGACAAACTTAAAATATAGGTCTATCTCCCAAAGATCTCGGTTCCATTTGATAGTGGCATGTATCGGATCATAACTTCATGGATTATGGCCCCTGATTGTACGAAAAATCATGTTTTTAGCTTGTGGACACGCTACAGGTCACAATTTTCACCCGATTTTGATGAAACTTGAAATGCATGTTTATAACCGAAAGATCTTGGTTCCTTTCGATATTCACGCATATCAGATCGTAACTTCCTGAATTATGGCAACTGCGATTTAAAAAATCGTTCAAAAATATTACCGTTACACCGTAATTTTGGTTAAGTTTGAATTTCGTGAAAATCGGACCAAAACTGCAGTACAAAATAGCCGCCCCTCGTACGCAAATAGTGTTAACATCTGGTATATCATTGTTGTGGACCCTCTAGAGGTCACAATTTTGATCCGATTTTAATGAAACATACATGTTTATAACCCAAAGATCTTGGTTCCTTTCAATAATCGTAATTTCCTGAATTATGTCCCTTGATTGTACAAAAAATCTTGTTTTTAGATTGTCCCTTTAGAGGTCACAATTTTTATCCATGTGAATAAAAAAATGTGTGAATATATAGCACCGTTTCACACTAAGATCTTGGTTCTTTTTGACAATCGTGCATATCCGAACGTAACTTCCTAGATTATGGCTCCTGATTGTTCGAAAAATCACATTTTTAGCTTGCGGATTCTCTAGAGGTCACAATTTTTTTTCCGATTTTAAAAAACGTTTAAATACATCACCATTCCACCAGAATGAAGGTTGAATTCGAATTTTGGGAAAATTGAAATGAAACTGCCCATCAAAATGGCCCTCTTTGTACACAAATTGTTTAAAAGTATGTAATACGAAGGTTGTAAACCCTCTAGAGGTCACAATTTTTATTCGATTTTGATGAAACTGTAAACATATCTTTATATCCCAATGATCTCAGTCCCTTTGGATATTTACGCATTTTAGACCACAACTTTCTGGATTACTGCCCCTGATTGTACAAAATATCGCGTTTGTTTTCAGCTTGTTCTATATCCATCTCTTGCAAAATGTAGGCATATCCTGCCTGACAGCTGCTGGTTTATTATTCCATCATATCTTTTGGGGGTGGGGGGGGGCTGACATATATATTGTTTACTTTCATATAGATATTTCAGTTGTTATTATCTGTGTGTACCATGAATGTAATTTATATTGTAATTGTACTTTATCTTGGCGGGAGGTATCATGAAATTTGTAATTAATGATGATTTAATTATTTGTTTTGTTTGTGTAATAATATCTTTGTATTATACATTTCCAGACTGTTCATAAAGAAGTTGATTCCATTAAGCAACCAATTCTGTCTTTAATATATCAAGCTGAACAGTTAACAGAACATTACCAGGAAGAACTGGTACCAGAGCAGGTAACAGAGTTACAGAGTATGGCAACTTGTACCAAGACTGCCTTAGAGAAGGTAATATAACATTATCATTAGCATAAACATATATTCAATGTAGGAGTAATTTTCAACTAATACATGTAATTTATAAGTTTCCTTATCATTATCAATGTAGCATATTTTACACAATACAGATTTTAAAATAGTTTATACATGTATTTATTAATAATTAAAACAATTGTTGTATAAATGTGGTTTTGATGATTAATTTTAATGATTAATTTCAGTTACTAAAAACGTCTGATATCCGTCTTAAACATCTCAATACAGCCACTGAGGAACTTCAGAAGTTTGAGGATGAATCTAATAAATTTAAAGAATGGATGACAGGTGCTGAGAGAGAACTTGAAAGACAGGATGAATGTCTGCAACGTTTTGAAGACCTTAAACCATTGGCTGAAAAACAAAAGGTATTTAATGACAACACAAAGATCTAAACAATTGTCTATTTAAAAACCACCCGTCTTTTCTTACTTGTTTTTGGAGAGCTCAGATGCAAAAGACACTTGCCTTAAGGAACATCAGGCTTATCTCCAGGGAAAATGATAACCAGTTAAATAATTGTCTTGGGAGTTCCGTCCCTTGCTTTACTTCACATGCCTGAGTAAACCTTTTTGATTTGAAAAACTCTAGAAACTGCAGAAACAACTGAATAAAATGAAAATTTTAGATTAAATCAGTATGGCTTTAAAACCGTTAGGGTTCATACATGTAGTTAATGTCAATTCAGCAAAATATAATCTGAAAACATACCTTTTCTGGTAGTTGATTCTGTTTTAAATGACATAAAACAATTATTATTGTGTTTTGAAGGCTCTACTAAATGACATTGTCTCACACCAAGCAGATGTGAGGTTTATGCAGATGGCTTCCCAGAAGTACCTAGAGGAAGCTAAGGTTAGTTAGAATTATTTTTGTAACTTGATTACCTATTTTCAGTGCAAAAGATAAATATATATTCTTTTGTTGTCATTTTAAAAAGAAGCTCTTCAAAATTAGTTTTTAAAAGTTCACAATCAAAAATAGGTTAATATAATATGGAAAACAACCAAAATAATTCTGGTATGTTTTTTTTCCACAGCTATACAAGTTGGAAATTGATGCTTTCAAGGCTGACAAACATCGACCAACCAGACACAGTCTTATCAGTATGAATGATCTGGAAGCTGAGTCTGTTCGTGAAGAACTCAAAGACATCAGCAATAGACACTATGAACTGAAAACCAAAGTAATCGGATTTGGAGATCGTCTGTCAAATTTGGCCACGAAACAAATAGATTATAATGAATCTGCTTTCAAGATGTTGCAATGGCTAACAGAAGCAGAAGATGAACTTTCATCTATTAAACATGATAGTAGCTCCCCAGCGCCTGATAAACTCCATCATCAGTTAGAAAGACTCAAATCACTTAGCAGCGATGCTTTAAGTCAAGTCGGTCTCCAACAGGATACCCAGAAGAAAGGTGGTGATCTTACCAACTGCCTCAGTGGTATTTCTGCAGATCCTAGTCAAATCCGTAATATGCAGAAAACCATGAAAGATATTTCTGATAGATACTCTGCAGTAACCAAAGATGTTGGAGATCAAATAAATAAGATGCAGGCAGCTATCACTAAATCTCAAGGAGTCCAAGAGTCCATTGCTGGTATTCTGAATTGGTTAAAAGACACAGATAATGTTGTCAGTAACCAGCAGCCTATCAGTCTTAATAAAGCCAATCTCAACAACCAAATCCAAGCCTTCAAGTTAGTGGAAGCCGATGTAGATAATCATAAATTTAGCATTGATTCTGTTAAACAGAAAACCAATGATCTTATTAAGAACTGTGATCTTGAAATGGCCAGATCTCTAGAAGAACAACTGAATACTGTAGACAAAAAATATAATGCTGTTAAAACCAAATGTAAGAATAGAGATAAGGACCTTGAGGAGATTTCAGGGAAGTTACAAAAGTTTAATGATGGTCAAGAAGAGACTCTAAGTTGGTTGGCAAATAACATTGATGCTCTTAAATCTAAAGATATGAGTAAACTACCAAGTGATGAGATGCAAAGTGAACTTCAAAAGATTTCAATACAGAAACAAAAACAGAAGAGAACGTTGGATGATTTGAGGAAAGTTGGCAAAGATCTTACCACAGATAAACGAAGTGGAGACTCAGGTACTGTACAAGATGCTCTCAAAAACTTAGAACTACAGTGGGCAGAATTAGACCATCTGTTCTTGGAAAAAGAACAGGAAGCCAGAGATAAAGAAATGCGAGGAAATGAATTTGAACATGCCAAGAATATATTCCTACTTTGGTTGACATCTACTGAAGCTCAGCTTGATGAATTTGAACCTGTTGGTATAGATATAGAGACAGTAGAAAGACAGATTGGGGAATTAAAGGTAGAAAAATATTTTGCTACATCCATATTACTTCTTATAATCTCAACAACTGAGTTTATTTCTCATTGTATGTTTCATATACTTTACATACCATATGGATTATGATTAATTATGCCAAATTTGTACCAGGGTTTTTTTTTTTTCAAATTAACATAAATATGTTATTTTTCTACTACAGCCTCTTCTAGAAGACTATGAACAGCAAGAACCTAATATAGATGAAGTCAATGAATTAGGCAATACTTTTGAAAGCCTTCAATCTCCTGATCGACCAATGAGTCCTATTCGAAGACATGCACGTAAGATGTTTAATTATTTTATTTTTGTTTGCACATTTTGTTACATGTTCAATACTGCAACAATGTCTAATGTTGCAAAACTGTAATTTTTTATGAAGTAAGTATAACTGAATGTTTAGTGTTTTAGATATGTTAAGTTTCACTTATTTCCAACAGGTGTTGGTTCTAGAAGAATTTCTGGACTCTTGTCCCCAAGGTTACGTTCTCCATCACCGACAATGTTTCCAGGACAAACCAGTCCTCTCTCTAGTGAATCTAGTGGTATTAGTAGTAGGAAGAGTTCATCTGACTATCTTCTGCTAGATGGTAAGATTCTGTAAATTATTTATGCATAATTATAAACAAATTACAAACATGTGACTGTTAGTTTTACTGATGAATCTATTTGCAAATATTCTACTTTTACATTGACCCACATAATAGGTTGGGTTGTGATTGACAATAGAGTAAGAGCACAAATCTCTAATAATATAGCCTTATAACACTATATACAGTTCAGTTGATACTTTATAGTGTTCATGTGTATAAACATTTAAATTATAAGTGCAGATAGTGCTAAAACTGTGCATAGTTCTTGATGAAAATGCATAAAATTAACATACTGTCAAACTACTACCCTTTTATGTTTTGATTTTATACGGCGTCATACAACAGATTATATTGTGATGGATGTCACAGTAGCCAAATTGACCAAAGTATTTTTTTAAACCTCTATTTTCCATAGATTGATATTTATATGATTTTACAGATCTATCTGAAACCCAACAACAACTAATGGATATTAATCAGAGATATGATATAATTGGAGAGAGATTAGCTGACAGACATCAGGAGTTGCAGAATGTTCTAGGTAGTATAAAGACCTTTCTCCAGGACCTACAAGACATGTTGTCATGGTTAGATATGAAAGATCATGAATCTAACTATCAGAGTGATATACCAACCAATGAAAAGGATGCCAAGAAAAAACTCAAAGAACATGAGGTAAAATTTATACAAAGTGTTTTTGTTCATGATATCTGATTTCTGATATAGTTACATATAGAGCTATTACATTTATGTTGCTTTGAAAAATTTTGTGAACCCTGAGTGGCTAAGGTTATCATCTGATTGACTTGAAATTAATTTTTTATTTATCTTAGCACTAGGAAGAGACCTATGCAATTGTAATGATTTGCAATAATTACTTCATGGGTTGATGCCCTTAACCCTTGTGCATATTCAAGGAGTATTTCGGGACCCCACGACCATATCCTTAACATTTGTGAGGAACTGGTTCATAATTTATCTAGCAAGAATTTTATACATTGTCAGCTACTTAATGTCAAGTGTAATGCTGAAAATAGAACGGAAGTGAGGCAGTGGCAACATTCATCATTTGACAAAAAACTAAACATTTTGCTGGTTACAAGTGTCTAATCTGTTCTGCGCTCTGTGCCAACTTTGTATTTGGAATCTTTCTTACTGATGATATTGCGTTGGTCATTCTAGTAATACACTAACACTATTTTATGGAATAACAATCACTGGTTTATTAACATGCAACGTTGTATGTTAATAAACCAGTGATTGTTATTCCATAAAATAGTGTTAGTGTGTTACTGTTCAATTACTAAATGCCACTTAAAGACGTTACATTCTAGTAATCTAGATCTGAAAGCAAATCTAGGTACTTTACCAACCCCATCAAAAGACGATTCTACATGGAAATGACAATTTCGTTATTTGTCGATTTGTATGGTTTCAAAAATACCTTATAATTCATATCGTCACTGTTAATACCTCAAATATTTTTTTTTACTTTGATTGATTATTATTCAGTCTTTATGTGAAGCTGTAGTTTGATTGTATGTGAATAAAATTATGCATTCAAAAACCAATTTATGTCTGGGGTCTTAGATTACCCCTTGTTGCCGATAATGTTTTCCGTGCGACGTGTCCGCACAAGGGTTAATCAGTTTTTGTGTCTTGTAAATGTTTCAGTTACCTATAAAATAAGCTTTATTACTTGCTCAAATGACTTAATTGCTTGAGCACATTTTTTGTTTTCTGGCTGCCTATTTTCTGTTTTGTGACAGTAAAATATGATAATATTTACCAGTTTAGGATCAATATTAACCTTTTTTAACAGAATTTCCACCATGAACTGTTGGGTAAAGAGGCACTAGTTGAAGATATAAGAAAGAAAGCTTTGGACTTGATACGAACTAAACAAGGTGTACCTGGCCTAGATACTCTACAAAATCAGCTCTCGCAATTAGGTACTTTTTAATTTGATACATCAAATGCAATTTTATAAAGTTATTTATAAAAGTTTTGGTTCAATTATGGCTGTTAAATTGATCAATAATTTTTTAAGTATTAAAAAATAAAAGTACAATCAAATTAGATCTCAGGGCTGGCCATTAATATTTGTAATGTATATTATATTTAAATGTGTGGTGTTTTCTTGTATTTTTTGGCAGATGACAAATGGCATGGTTTAAGAGCCACCTCAGAACAAAGACGTTTAAGTTTAGAAGGCATGGTTATAGACTTGAGAGATCTTAGAGAACATGGTGACCAGCTACAGAAATGGTTAACACAGAAAGAGAAAATGTTAGATGTTTTAGGTCCTATGGCTATAGAACCTGTTCTATTAGAGAATCAACTAGATCAAGTCAAGGTATGATATGTGTTTCACATTGGTTTTAAAAAAAGACTAATTGTACATATAATATACCAGTAGTGGTTCATAGTCAGGACCCAACTCCTGCACATTGTTAACATTTTATATTACTTCCAACCAAGTTTCTTTCCACACATATAAATGTGAGCTTTCATACCGATTTCAGTTCCGTAGTGCATTTAGGATGAATATTAAGAATGGCAAATTTTATTTGTTACAAATAAAGGTATCGTTTGAAAAATAATCTAAATGATTTTATAGATATTTTATGTTTGAAACAGGTTCTGAAAGAAGAATTTACTGAACAAGAACCCTTGTTTGATAGATTTATTCAGTCTGGTCATTCTGTACTGGATAAATGTCGTCCCAACTCGATGGATTCCAGCAGTGTTGGTAGAAAAATTGATACTGTCAGTAAATCTTGGGACAAACTTCATGACAGACTCAAAGAACGTGAAAATTCTTTAAGTTCGCTTGGTGGAATAGGTGCTGAATTCTCAGATGTCACTAAAAATCTTGGAGGATATCTAAGTGAAGTCAATGATAAACTGGACAGCCTTCCATCTATCAGTTGCTCTCCTGATACACAACGCAGACAAATTCAAGAAGCAATGGTATGTATGAACTTTTTTTTTATTTATATTTTTTCACAAATTGATGGATACTATATTCATTTCCAGAAAAGACTTATGAAAGTGTGATGAAGGTTAAATTAATGAAGAAAAGCTTGCTGCATGTATTATAAAACAGATCATGTGTGTAGAATTTGATTACAATTCAGATGATTTATTTCTTATAGGATATTGGTAATGACCTATCTGGTAAGAAACCTGAATTAAAGAAAGCTCAAGAATTATGTAAGAAACTTTGTGATTGTTCCAAAGATCCTTCTACCAAATCTGATGTTAAAAACAAGCTGTCAGCACTAGAAAAGGGTTATAATGATGCCAGCAAAAAAGTTGGTAAGTACTATCACATACATTGAATTTACTTGTCTTTTTCGATTCATGTTTGATATAATGAGACTTCAAATCATTTGATCCAAAATAAATTAAAGTACAAAACAATTATTTATAGACATTCTGCAAATTTTGTGGAACTAAAATAAATATTTCTTTTATGTTGTTGGATGTTTTCTATTGTCTATTAAGTAGGCTATTTTTATTTAATATAATATTCAGTATTGCATATTCTTATTGTGAAGTTTGTGAATAATAAATTTGTTTAGGCTAATGTTGTCAACATGAAATTAGCAAACATCTTGAAAAATTTAACAGCCTTTTTGTGATTTTACCCATGAGAATATCTTGCCATCAGAGGTTGCAGTGTATTTCATACATTTGTTACAAAAGAAACACAAATATCGATGACTGATTTTGACCCATGAGAATATCTCACCTTCAGAGGCCACAGTCACGCAAAACCCTTGGGTTTTTTGCACACATTTGTTGAAAAATAAATGCAGATATTTGTTTTCGTAGAGATACAGTTTGCTCTTTACTTCCCACCAAACTGAAAAATTGAAATGAGTGTATGCCTGTGCCTTCAAACTCTTCATTGGACAAAATAGCCAGGAAATAATGATACTTTAAATTAATATGGTCACACTTGCTTTTAATTGCTACTATTGATTATTTGATACTAATGAGAAGCTCTAAGTCACGCCCCCCCCCCCTTTAATGTCTGATGATGGATGTTTTTATCATATATTCAGATTCACGTATTTCTGCCTTGGATAATGCTAATCGTGAAGGAGAAAGATTCCAAGCTGAGTGCCATGATGTTCTAGACTGGGTTCAAGACATGTCACGTAACCTTAAAAATCATGAACCATTATCAGGTGAAAGAGATACCCTTCAACAACAAGCTCAGGATTTGAAGGTAATTTCATACAAATGTTTTGCATTTTCAGTGGATGTATCTCTTTGTGACACTAATTCTGTTTGTCGGTGCATAAACCAGACAACACAGTTGATCATCAAAGAGAGTTAAATGTACAATATGGAAGCCAGTACCAAATTCCATGAAATGTCATTTTATTAGTTTCATTTTCACATAATTAAAAATGTAAAAAATATCTGATAACTTTAAGTACAACTGTTGAAACTTCCAATGTCATTCTTGTCAGTTTCATATTTTCAAGGATTGTCAGGTTTATGTATGGACTTGCATTCTTTATTTTAAAATACTTGAATAATAATCAATTACAAAAATTCTATTCTAGAATATTCAGAATGAGATTGCTGTGAAAATGCCAGAGATTAAAGAGCTGCTGGAAAAAGGTAGCAAATTTTTGGAAGAAGCAACCCCAACCCCAGATATTCGTCAGATGCAGGAAAAACTACAGATTATCCAATCTGACTGGGATCAGATTAAAGCAGTAGCAAGTACTAAACAAGACAAACTAGCAGAAGCATATGATCATTCACAGAAATTCCACGAGAATATGGATAAAATGTTGTTATGGTTAGAGATAGCAGAAGACAAACTGCAGAAAACTAGACCACAACAGTTAGATAAAGCAATTATTGGTAAAAAGATAAGAGATTTACAGGTATGGATGGAATACTATCTATTTCATGTCTGAGCTGTTTTAAAATATTTAATAAGAGACCTTATTTTGGAACCAATAATTGGAAAGGTCTTTCTTTTACAAATCTAAAAATATCAGTTTAAGTGTTGCAATAGATATCCTTACACGGTTGAATCTTAGAATGTGATTACTACTTTAAAAAAAAAAATTTGGGATTATTCCAGGCATTACAAAATGATGTATTAAAGAAATCTCATGATCACGATAATTTAAACAGTGAAGGTGAAGCTTTAATAGATTGTGTAGAAACAGGTGGAAATGAGATACAAGATAAGATGGATAATATCAACAAAAGATGGGAAGGACTTGGTAACAGTAAGTACAGTATATTCTGTAACTTCTAATAGTACATGTTATAAGTGCAGGTGATACCTCACACATAAAAAAACAGTCGGACAAGACACATTAGACAGATATTGTATAAAGGTAAAGGCTTCACTCACAACATGGCAGACAGCGAAAGAGAAATATTTCTGTAAAATTGTATTTTTCTAGTGTCAGACATGATTGACTGTGTTTTTAAAAAATCTTAATGTCAGCACACTAAAGATATGGTTTCTAACTGTTCCGATTATAGAACTTAGGCAAATAACCTAGTCCAAAAACAAGGACTTTAGATAGTAATCAATAGGATTCAAAACATTATAAGCGTTTGAATAATATATAAGTGTAATAAATGGAAAGCTGGGGCATAAGTTCTTTTTCAAAAAACAGAAAAATTTTCTGGTGACTTAAATATTGGTATTCCAGAACTCTTACATTGGAAAGAGTTATTTATGCTGAACTGAAGGTGCACATGTATAAACCAAGTTTCTGTAAAACATCAAAACCTTGTTTGATAGTTTGACTTATTATTTCAGATATAACAGAAAGGGCACAAGACCTAGAAGATGTTCAGCTGCGTCTTTCGGAAATCAATGACAACATGACCGATGCCAATAGTAATCTGAAGAAATGGGAAGAGAAACTAGATTCTCATCTTCGACTTGGTCCAGTTGCTAAGGATCCAAAACATACTGATAAAATCAAGGTTTGTTTATTACATTACTAGATGTACACCTGAAAAACATTACTTGTTTTGAAAATGTCTTTGTATTTATTCAATTCACATAAATAACTTAAGAACTATTATAACAATATAGAAATTCTTTTCAATCTTCGTGTAAGTTAGATTCACATTTTGCTTGTCTAAGCGATTAAGAAAGTTTCTGTAAATTTCCATTGTTTTTATTTGACATTTATCCAATACCGTTAATTTGTATATTCTTAGGCCTTGGCAGATGATGTTCAGGGATTAAATGGACAATTAGACTATCTAGATGCTTTATTAGATGGTATCAATATTGATGGAAAAGCAGACACTCAAACTATGGAAGCAGAAGTCAACAACATGAAATTTAGACAAAAGAAATTACAAGAGAAATTAGAGGATGTTTTGTCAGAAATGGAATCAGGTTCACAGAGTCTTTCAGAATTCCAGGTAAGATTTTTTCATCAGTCCCCTACTTGATTTTCTAAATTTTATTTCAAATCGAGACAAAAAGGGAAAAATTCATAAAATTGTATCAGATTTGTGTGTATAAGAAAATGAAACATAAAATTTGAAAGACACTAAATATCAAATGTGGTTTTACAGGGTTTGTTACGAGATCTTTGTGGTCAATTATCAGACACTGAAAATGACCTAAACAAGAAAGAACCAGTTGGCTGTGAACAAACTATTTTAGATTCTCAACAACAGGATATTGATGTAAGTATGTCTTTATACTTCATAGATGTTTTGATTACACTGTTTTGGAGGATTGTGGGGGGGGGGGGGGGGAGAGGGTCTAGTGGAATCAGAAGGTCTGTCAATGAGTTTTCAATTCCTTGCATGTACATGACAAGAAGTAGGGTCACCTATCCAACCTTGTGGGTTTTCTCCGGGTCCTCCGGCTACCTCCCACTGCTAAAGACCCCTTCACACAGTAAAATTATTTAAATAAAATTAAACCATCTGTTAGTCCCAAGATGTGCTAGTTTGTGTCGAGTCCATGTTAAATTAAATCCTCTCTCTCTCTCTCTCTTTTATACCCTATACCCTTTAAATTACTAAATTCTAATCAAGGAAAATAAATTGATTTGGCAGGAGTAGTATTTTGTAGGCTTGCAATGCATATCATAGATGTAAATAAAGATAAATAATAGTAACAATGATAAAGAATTGCGTTTCAAGTTCTGCCTTTTAATTTTATTTTCAGAATTTCTTGGCTGACCTTGGTGATAAAGAACATGCTATCAGAGATTTAGAAGCTAAGTCAAGAGACTTGATGAGAGCTGGCTATATCACAGAACCGGACGTCATCAAATCAAAGGTATTGTTTTTTTTATTAATTGTCGGGTGGAAGTTAGGTGCTTAAATGGTCTAAAGCCAAAGGGCATGGTTTCAATTCCAGCTTGTACATGACAAGGAGTGGGGTTGCCCTGTCCAACCTCCAGTTTCTCCCTCTGCCAAATAAATTTCGGGATGTCATTTTTATACCTTCCGTATATAAGTCGAAACAGAGTATAAGACAAATGCCGGACTTATGCTGAAAAATGTATCGACTTATGACCCGAAAAATACAGTAATTTTGGAGGAATTTGAAACAAGTACAGGTCTGCAGTAGTCGGCACACTTTCATTCTATCGTATTATGACATCGCGTAATTTTGTAGGAATATTACTGACATAAATTTGAATACTGTGCAGGAATTAAATATGAAAAATAACGAGGTGCACCTATTTTTATACGCCCACATTTTCATGTGGACTTATATTGTCTCTGTCCGTCCGTCCACAATTTGTTTGTGGACACTATACAGGTCACAATTCTTATCTGATTTTGACAAAACTTGAAATATAGGTTTATCTCCAAAAGATCTTGGTTCCTTTCGATATTGGCATGTATCGGATCGAAACTTCATGGATTATGGACCCTGATTGTACGAAAAATCACATTTTTAGCTTGTGGACACTCTAGAGGTTACAATTTTTAACTGATTTTGATGAAACTTGAAATGCATGTTTATGACCCAGAGATCTTGGTTCCTTTCGATATTTGCGCATATCGGATCGTAACTTCCTGAATTTTGGCCCCTGATTGTATGAAAAATCGCGTTTTAGCTTGTGGTCCCTCTATAAAAAATCGTTCGACTATATCACCGATACACCTTAAGGTTGGTTGGGTTTGAATTTTCGTGAAAATCGGACCAAAACTGCCGGACAAAATGGCCGCCCCTCGTATGCAAACAGTGTAAAAATATGGTATATTAAGGTTGTGGGCCCCCTTAGAGGACACAATTTTGATCCGATTTTGATGAAACTTGAAATACATGTTTATAACCCCAAAATCTTGGTTCCTTTCGATATTCACACATATCGGATCTTAACTTCCTGAATTATGGCCCTTGATTATACGAAAAATCACTTCTTTTTTTTTGAGCTTGTTCTCTGTCCATCTCTTGCAAAATGTGGGCGTATCTTGCATGGCAACCGCTTGTTTATTACGTACGAATTTGAATAATTTGTTGACACATGATTTTTGTGTGTGGTCTAAAACTGCCTGCTTAAATAACGATAAGAGTTATTTTGAAATACGAGCCAGATGAAGCAAACTTGTGCTTGGAGTGATCATTTAATTTATTTTCTCACAGGTTGATAATTTGAAGAAACAGTTAGAAAAAATGAAAGAACAGGCAAAGCAGAGGAAGTCAGACATCAAGAATAACAAAGATAAAGTGAAAAAGATCAATGAAAAAATGGCTGCTGCTGCTAAAGGAATGGATGCTGCTGGAAGTAAAATGGAATCATTGAAGCCTATTGGTGGTGATGTTAAAGCTATCAAACAACAACAAGATGAACTCAAGGTAAACAATGCAATGTATTTTACTTTTTCAAATTCAAAAGTTTATAGTGTGTCATACAAAGTTTCTGAAAGAAAGTACTGTGAAACCAGAAATTATTGTCAGTGTGTAAATTGGATTATATTGCCAGTTTCTACAAGCATATTTGTGTTCTGTAGTGTATCAAAATAAAGCAGAGATTAGTTTCCAAGTCAATGAAACAAAGGTGAAAAATCAACTATGCTTGATGAGGTTGTCAATTAGTATTCTTTACAAAATGTAACTAACTTTTAATGGTTTCCAATATTTGTTATTAAAATTATAAGAAGCCGATGGTCAACAATTAATAATCATTTCAAGTGAAATAATATTGTAGATCATGTTAATTTTGATACATATTTATGTCCAAGCGCTATCATGATGCATTAGTTTCTTGTTTAAAAATACATTATTTGTTGTAAATTTAATCCCAAAAGTGATAATTTCAATGTTTCTGTGGATTGTTTTCATGTATCTGTTGTAGCTTTTCAAACTATTGATCATATGTTTTAGAATTTCGTAAAGAAGAGTGTTGATCCTCTACAAAAACAGTTTGATGTTGTATCATTTGAAGGACAAGCTCTAATACAATCTGCACCTACTGGGGTGGATTGTCAAGATCTGGAAGCTCATCTTGAAAATTTGGCAGGAAAAATGTCGGAACTCAATGAAAAGGTAAGATCATTATAATAGTAATAAGTAAAATCATATTTTGGTAGGTTTCAAATAATGTCAGTATTAGCAATATCTGAATTTATTTTAGGTCAGTGAAAGAGAACATAACTTGGATACTGCTATTTTGAATTCTGGTAAATTTACGGATGCCTTGGATTCATTGTTGTCATGGTTAGCAGAAACAGAAGATATGGTAGCCAATCAGAAACCTCCATCTTCTGAACATCGTGTTGTGAAAGCTCAATTACAGGAACAAAAAGTAAGTGATTAGTTGTATTAGTCTTTTTTTCCAACAAAAACAAAGTTCATATCCAAAACAATTTCTGTGTTCAGGAAAACATAGTCCAACACTTAAAATGATGATCAAAGTAGGAAAATAAAATAAATAAATGTCAGTCATACTTTATAATGTTAACATAAGGCTGAGACAAATTGAAATTGAAACATTGATTAAAGTGTAATAATTTCTTTTTCTACAGTTTCTACAGAAGATGTTAGAAGATCGTGCACCTAGTGTTATCTCAGTTCGTGAAACTGGTGATAAGTTACAAGCTGGTGTTGACCCCAAGGAAAAGAAGAAGATTCAAAGTCAGATGGCACAATTAGAAGAAAGATGGGAAAATTTGAACAAAACTGCTTCTGGTCGCATGCATACTCTTGAAAATGTTATGGAATTGGCCAAAGACTTCCAGGATATTAATGAACCACTGTCATCATGGCTGGATGTTAGTGCAAAACGGTTTGCTTCAATGGAACCTAAAGCTTTAGATGCCGATGGAATTGAAAGACTTGTTAAAGATTTAATGGTAGGCTGCCTGAACAAGTTTAGATAATAGAATCAATAGAATTATTTACAGATTGTATATTTTGTTGAGAACTTGACTGTAAATGTTTAATAATATTAAACTGATTGTTAGTGATATAAATGGAAGTTTTCTATTTGGCTTACAGGCACTACAAGATGATGTAAGTGATAAAGAAGACCAAGTAAGAGATCTGGCTATCAAGGGTAAACAACTACAAGATCATTGCAAAGGTGTGTTTAATCTGAATACTTGTACATGATACCAGATATTTAATTAATGTTTTCATTAATCTCTCCCCCCCCCCCCCCCCAACTATGTGATTAGTACTGTTTGTCAAGTGCAAAAAAAAAAGATTTTCTACCCACCACAGTGCAACGATAAACAAGAGATTATAGAAAATGGAATGTAAAGAATATAATCATTTAAAATTTGTGCATGTAGATTACAATATGAATAGAAATTGTGATGATTATGAAATATTTCAGGGGAGGATGTTGTTCTTGTGCAAGTTAAAATTGATGACGCACAACATAAATACTCTGACCTGAAAAACAAAGTAGCTGATACATTAGAACAGATGGAAGAAGCTCTCCCATTAGCTCAAAACTTCCAAGACAAACATAACCAATTTTTACAATGGTTGGCTCAGATTGAGCCAGAAGTTCGGGCCAAAGAATCCAAATCTGGTGATGCTGAAGACCGTCTTCAGGTATAGTGAAATATGAAAACAATTCTCAGTGTACAGTTAATGTGGTTTAAGGATAATGTACTGAAAGTTTCTCTTAGCTAAAGATTGGCAATGACCTTTGGCTTCTCTTAGTGATGCCTGTATTTGACATCAGCCTTGGTACCTCAAATTTTTCTCAAGATAAAAGTTCTATTTTTTATCTAGAAAGGAAGTAAGTAGATGTCTGACAGTTTTATTTGTTTTTTTCAGAGTCTTTTAGATGAAGTAGAAAACATACAACCTATATTAGAGGAAATTAACCGAGATGGTAATGAACTAGTAGATCTAGCACCAGGAGATCTCGGTCTCAGGGTAGAAGATGCTATCAATAAAGACAATAAACGATTTGACTCAATCAAAGATCAAATTGAAAAACGAGCTGAGAAGGTTCGATTGGCCAGGCAAAAGTCTTTCGAGGTAATAATTATTTAGTTTAACCCACTTTTTGATATGTGATTATGTAGCTGTAGTATAATATTTATTTAGTATTACTTATTTAGCATTACTTATTTAGCAGTAGTAATAAATTAGTTTTGCTTCTACTTATGCATTTATATTTATTGGCTTTTGGACTTTTCCCTCTAAATACTGTATGTCATGTTTTAAATTTAAAATTGAAACTATCTTCTTTGTATTTATTTCTCTTTATTATAACATTGCATTTATGTTCTTAGATTAGCATGTAATTTTAAGTAATATATAGAATTCATTTAAACTTTTTAGTTGCTTGCTTTTCTGTACTTTAGCTGCTATATTAATATATCTTAATTTATTTTATCCTGCATACCTTATTTTAGCTTGTAGCTTCGGTAAGTTGCTTTTAGATGTTGTGTTCTGTCATTCTTTTTATTACTTGTGACCCGCTAAATGATTTGGGGTTTCCAGTGTACATGTCTTCAAAAATAACAAGTGAGCTGCCGTGACGCAGTGAGTAAGATTCTGGCTCTTGGGTTCGCTCCCTTTGTTTGTCAAGAAAGTTTTGGATTTTCCAACATGGTTTCTCCTGGTCAGTGGGAGAGGGTATTGCAAGAACAGTGTCTAGTTGTTTGGATGAGACAAGAAAACAAGGTCCTGTGTACACATTGCTATATGGAGTCTTTTTTTATAATTAATATAGTGTTTACCAACTTCCACTCTACAATATTTGAATAACCATAACATTCATATAACACATATGGATTTACTTCTTCTTGGTATATATTACATGCAATGTAGTAAAGAAAATATAAGACAGCTAATACACCTACAATTTGTTTAGTGATTTGCCATAGAGTGGGTCTCATCACAGGGAGATTATCAAGTCCTAAATCTTAAGGGTGTTGAGTAGTCTTAGAATACACACTAACTTTTCAACAGCAATCTTATTAAGACTTTGCATACTTGTTTCATGTATAAAATAGCCCAGAGGACACATAATAGTCCGACCGTTTGTTGTGAAATAATGGAGATGCAAGCAGAAAGTTTTTATTTTATTTTGATTAATCTAACTAGAAGTATTGGTGGCTTACAATATATACATATATAATTAATAGCTTGCTTTGCTTATTTTTCTGTTCAAAGCTATTGCATTGCCACATTAACATATTATAATATGTATACATAGGTAGGCTTTATGTTATCCATTTGGTTTCCTAATGATTATAAGTCTAGATTATTTCATATTTATAATCTGTGTTTACCATGTTTTTGAATCAGATTTTCTTAGAAGTTATTAATTTATTTATAGGTGTTAGGTGAATTAGATGATTTATTGGAATGGTTTGATGAAGAAGAAGGTAAAATGTTAGAATCTGAACCTATCAGTTCATTCCCCGATAAACTTCAATCACAACTTGTAGGACAAAAGGTATTTTTTATGAATTACTAATTAAACATATGTGGACATATATTGTCGTCGCCCCTGTCTCTCCATCCACAATTTGTTTGTGGACACTCTACAGGTCACAATTTTTATCCGATTTTGACGAAACTTGAAATACTAGGTCTATCTCCAAAAGATCTTGGATGCTTTCGATATTGACATGTATCTCATTTCTAGCTTGTGAACACACTAGAGGTCACAATTTTTATCCGATTTTGATGAAACTTGCAAAGATCTTGGTTCCTTTCGATATTCCTGAATTATGGCCCCTGATTGTACGAAAATCGTACTCTTAGCTTGTGTTGACTCTATAGAGGTCACGATTTTATCTGATTTAAAAAACGTTTTAGTATATCACCGTTACACCCTAATGTTGGTTGAGTTTGAATTTCTTGAAAATCAGATCAAAACTGCCAGACAAAATGACTGCTCCTTGCACACAAATAGTGTAAAAATATGGTATATCAAGGTTGTGGACCCTCTAGAGGTCACAATTTTCATCCGATTTTGATGAAACTTGGAATGTATGTTCATATCCCAACGATCTAGGTTCCTGTCGATATTCGCATATATCAGATTGTAACTTCCTGAATTATGGCCTCTGATTGTACGAAAATTGCGCTTTTAGCTTGTGTTCCCTCTAGAGTCACAATTTTTATCTGATTTAAAAAAACGTTTTAATATATCACAGTTACACCCTAATGGTGTTTAAGTTCGAATTTCGTGAAAATTGGACCAAAACTGTTGGACAAAATAGCCGCCCCTTGTACGCAAATAGTATAAACATCTGGTATATCAAGGTTGTGGACCTCCTAGAGGTCACAATTTTGATCTGATTTTGATGAAACTTGAAATGCATGTTTATAACCCAAAGATCTTGGTTTCTTTCAATATTCGCGCATATAGGATCGTAACTTCCTGAACTATGGCCCTTGATTGTACGAAAAATCAAGTTTTGAGCTTGTTGACCCAATAGAGGTCACAATTTTGATCCGATTTAAAAAATAAACGTGTGAATATATCACAGTTATACACTAATGATGGTTAAGTTCTAATTTTGTGAAAATCAGACTAAAACTGACGGACATAATGGCCGCCCCTTGTAGTTGTACGCAAATAGTGTAAAAATATGGTATATCAAGGTTGTGGACCCTCTAGTGGCCACAATTTTTATCCGATTTTGATGAAACTTAAAATATATGTTATGTCCCAAAGATCTCAGTTCCTTTCCATATTGAGCACTTCAGATCATAACTTTCTGGATTATGGCCCCTGATTGTATGAAAAATCGCTTTTGTTTTTAGCTTGTTCTCTATCCAAAATGTGGGCGTATCTTGCCTGACAACCGCCAGTTAACTATTATAGTGAGAACTGCCAGCTCTTTATCTAATCTCCTATAATGTATCTTTAATAAATACTAAATATAAATTTTTATTTATTATTATAAAACAAAATGTAGCATAGTAATTTTCACAATACATGTACTTATTTGCACTGAACTAAACAAAAATCAAATAAACATGTAGGTACTAATATACACTGAACATGTAGATTAAGGTGTGAATACACATGTTGACTTTTACACTTTTAAACTGTAACACATAAACACTAACCTTCACTACACATTTCAATATACATTGACACTCCAGACAAACTTGTATATGCTAATTATTCAGATAAATTAATAAACATTCTGTAACTTTCTTTCATCAATTATGACCCGATGCATAACCCTTATATTTTAACAGTCTTTGTACAGTTTGTGAATTTCCACATTTTGTTTTATGTATTTTTTTTTTTTCAGACATTAAATGATGATATCAACAGTCAAAAAGCTAAAGCTAGAGATGCCATTACTGCTGGTAAAAAATTACTTCGTGAAAGTCCACCAGAAGAAGAACCTGCTATTCGTGAAAAGATGGACCTGCTGAAATCAAGAGCCGATAACTTATCACGTCATAGTAATGATCGTCTTAGTCAGCTAGAACAAGCCTTACCATTGGCTAAACATTTCTTGGAGACACATAACGATCTTCAGAATTGGTTGGATGAGATTGAGCCTATTATAGCTGAAATGGATGTTATGTCTATTAATACAGATCAAGTTAAGAAACAACAAGAACAAATGAAGGTAAGATATTTTGTATAATTACTAGACATGCCAATAAAGACAAATTGCCCTAAAAACAGTTTAGTTTAAGGAAGTCTCTCAAAATGTTTTCACTTCACATGGTTTAACTAGATGGTTGACTCTCAAACACAAGATTTTTTTAGCCCCCAGTTTATCATGTTTATTTAACCATATCTTACAAAATATTAATCCATAAAAAAAAATAAAGTACAACCAAAGGCTTTCTGTGAATGTTAGTATATTTAACTTGAGCCAACCAGTAGATCTTTGCAAATGAGTAAGTGAAAAATAATATTCATAGTTGCAAAATGAGCCTGTTAAGAAAATCCATGGAGTGGAATTATTCTTCAAATACAAATTGTGTGTTGCTTTAATTTACATAAAAATATCTTCTGTATGATTTCAGACGTTAAAACAAGATGTTATCGATCATAAACCAGTTGTAGATAGATTAAATAAAACAGGCTTAGCTCTAGTTAAACTATGTGGACAGGATAATGCTAATAGAATTCGAGATATCATGGATGATGATAATAGACGTGTTGATGATTTAAGAATACATGTTCGTGAACAATCAAACTCTATAGAGGAAGCCATGCAACAGTCAGCAGATGTAAGTTTTAGTGTAATTTATTCAAGAGAAATCCAATTTTAATCTATATACATTCTATGATTTAGATTGATTTATTAGAGCTGGACTCTGAACCAAAATTCCTGGGAATTGAATTTACATTGTCAAAAAGGTACCCGTTTATGTTTGATTTTATTTGGCACAGGAATTTTAAAATGGCCTACCCCTTATCAGCGATGAAACCAATCACTCATCCCTTGTAATGAATTTGTTTGTTTCTTGTAGTTCTCGGATAAATTAGAAGATTTATTAGAGAATTTAACTAAAACAGCTGAAGATGTGAAGAATGCTGAACCCATTGCTGCTTATACAGATAAAATACGTGGACAAATCAATGATAATGCTGTAAGTTGCATGTCATCAATCTTTCTTTTAACTCATTATTTAAACTCTAATATGCAAACCTTACTGTAATGTGCTACAAAAACAGAAAAAAGTTATTAGATATGTATTTGAATCCTTCAATTTATATTCATGTATTAAAGGGCCAATCTCGATTATATTTTGGAGACTAAAACTGCTTAATTTTGGGTTAAAAGTCCTTAAAATCATTTACCTAAGGGCTGAGCAACTAGCCCAATATACGTGATATGTTTTCAAACAAGTTAAACCCTTCATCTGTCAATGGAGACCTGTCCCAATCTATATTATACAGTGTCCTGATAAAACCAGACTTTTTAATTTTATAAAAATAATGTGTAGGTGAAATTTACCTTTCGTTATAAAGTACGGCACATGGGTCATGCACTGTATAGACCTCTAAAGGAACAGCAATAGATTGTCAAATAATCCAATGAAAAAATTGACCTTAAATCTTAAAAGGGTTACTTGTTCGGATAACCAGTTTTGAAGTTCACATCCAAACAACTCAGTATTTTGAGCTGGAATACACCATATATTTTGGCGCTTAAATTTAATACATACACAAACTTTTATTTCTGTTTAATTTGGGATAGTCCCTTTAAATTAAACAGTCAAATTATTCCTAAAATTTCAGGCAATTGAAGAAGACATGGACATGAGAGAGGCTGCCTTAAATTCTGTCCGCAATACAGCAGAAGAACTATTACAGCAAGCTGGAGATATTCAAGATGATGCTGTGCAAGGTAAATATCAATATATTCTATGTTGACTGATTTAAGTATTTAAGGATACATTCTCACAAAAGTAATTATAGGGTAGTTATTTCCAATAATAGTTTGGCAAAATTGGTATATATTTGGAAAGTAAAGACACCCAATCTTCCTAGAAAATTACTGAATTCCAAGAAAAACACCCCTGGGACAAGCACTGGGCAAAAATGTCAGGATATCACTATCTGGCAACCTGATGGCTTATTGTTTGCCAGCTTGACATAGGGAGTGGTTGTTATTTCTTGATCAAATGGTTAGGCGGTTTTAGGAACATTGAGGAGTGTAAACGTACAGCAGACTCTGCATTTAAACGATGGTAAAAGATAATCCAAGAAGTTACTTAAGCTTTAATATGTATGGTAAATGGATAGTAACTAGCGACTGTGTAGACAACTATTTTGACTGAAAATTGGCTTAAATTTTGTATACTGCAAAACAGGGATATGATTTCAAAATACCATATTCCGGAAACAATGTCTGTTTTCATGTATGGTTCTGAATTTGTTTTTTTAAAGTTATTTCAATTTTACCCAATCTACCAATAGATAAATAATCCCATATTTTCATGTTGTTCATTCCAACCTACTAATTATAGATGTGAGACAGAAATTAGATGAACTTGTTAAATTATATGATGATATCAAGACAAGTACACAAAGTAGAGGTGATGTATTGGATGAAACTCTTGGAGTAGCAGATAAATTCTGGGATGAGTTAAACAATTTGACAAGCACTCTAAAAGATCTGCAGGAGAACATAGGTAGTCAGGAACCACCAGCCTTGGAACCAGATGCTATTAGAGAACAACAGGAGGAGTTAGAGGTCTAGTTATTTTATCTGTCTTAGATTGTTAAAGCAAAGAATTGTATAGCGACTACTTCAACCATGTTCCAAATTTTCAGTTCTTTAGGGATCTGTCATTTATATTTCATAGTTTATTTTCACTCTTAGATCATCTTACATTCCATATTAAATGGCTTCACTTAAATGACCCATAGAGGATTTTTAAAAACAAAAAGCGTCTAACAATGTTTGATAATGAATTATTATGACGTTTTTCTTAATGTAAATGTAAATTTAATTTCTATAAATGATGGTAAGAATGTTATTTTGCTGTTGCAGACAATAAAAGAAGAAGCCATAGCAACACAAGCTGATCTAGAAGATGTACAGCAGACAGGTCAACAGTTGATGTCATCAGTTGGTGAACCGGATAAACCAGAAGTCCAGAAAAACATGGATGATCTTGATAACCAACTCTCTGTCATCAATGATGATCTTGAAAAACGTGCTCATTCTTTGGAAGAAGCTCTTACCAGAGCCCTTACATTCCAAGATACTTTGATGGTAAGTTTTCAATTCTTGTAATTTTGAACTTTGATGGTTACAACTGGAAATTGGCACAGTTTTCTTAAACGATTATTGCTAAAGCATTTCATATATCTTCTGATCAATAGTTACTTGGAATTGATCCAGCCAAAATTTGATTAAATGGTCTGGGATATTAATGCGTGATTTGGACACTGGGAGGAAAACAGTAGAAGTGATTACCACTGCAGTGTGTATTAATTATATGATATTCCAATTATCGTAAATAAGTTATTCTACTGGTAAACATTGCAAAATGATAGGTTTTCTATCATTTCGAACATGCTCGAATCAATTATCAAGATATGTAAAGCATTATATAATGACAATTGCTAAAAACGGTTTTGAGCACTCCCTATTGATGAGAAGTCTTAGATCTTGCAATGGTGATGAATTCAGAATCTACATCTTTGGAAAAGAATTACTATTGACTTCTCTTATGATGTATCTACAAGGTTGTTTTTATTTTCAGAAAATCTTGGTGTGGCTTCAGAAGAAGGAAGATGAATTTAGCAATATGGGTCCCATCGGTGCTGATTTTGAGGTCCTGAAGAAACAGTTAGTGGACCTTAAGGTTGGTTTCTCTGCAAGCCTTTTATTAATTTTAAACCGTCTTCATTAGCCCAGTCAGAGCAGAAAAGTAGGATATTAAGCCACCCCACAAATTATGCCGTATTAGGTGACACAACAATCAAGATGTGGTATTAATTGTGTGGTTCAAGATGAAGCGCCTCACCATTTGGAAGGTGTCTCATATAACATAGACATGATTAATATTATAATAGTAATAATATAGAAACCCCTATGAGTTAATACTACCAAATTCATTGTACAAATTCAGTAAGGCACTGAGTGATGAAAATTGTTATTAGTGTATAATAGAGCAGATTTCAGAAGATATAGATTTTTCAAATGTTTAATTTGTACTTCTAGAATTTCAAGGCTGATGTTGAACCAAAACAAGTAGAAATTGAAGCTCTAAGCCAACAAGCCAATGAAATGGCAAAAGACAGTACAGCTGAACAAGCTATAATTGTAAAAGAACCAGTGGCAGAACTGAAAGACAGATGGGAAGTTCTCATTGATAACATTGGTGAACGCCAGGTAAATATGTTCGTTTGAACATTCAGTTTGATTGTCTGAATAGGGTTTTATGATTAGGTCCACAGTTGAATATAATTTACCTGTTCAATGAGTTATCTCCCTTGACATCAATCTTTCAACCATTATAGCCCTTGGCTTATCAAATGAAGAGCTCCTAGTTAAACTGTTTTGTTAATGTGCTCTTGTGGATACCATATCTTATTATCTCTAATGTAAGGATAATAGCAAAAATTATTTGTTTATTTACTGCCTGCTTCGCAATATGTGGCAGTAAGTACCTGCTAATATTATTGTTCTTATTGCTTTATTTGTAGTCTTATGTTCATTTCAAACGTTGTTTTAAGTTTACTATGATGTAAAAGCTTATTGTATGTAATGTCCTAAAAGTGAGCATTGTGGTTTAATATAATGCAAAAGGGTGGGACAGGCTTTGTTTGGTAATGGGTCAGATAGAAAGTTTTGGACTACATTCAGAAAAATGAAGTAAAAAAATCCCTAGTTTGGTTATGGTACTGGATAGAATATGTGGTCTTATTGATTCTCAAATACATGTAAATCTGTAGTTGTATTACCAGTTTATTTAGCTATATACTTAATTATTTTATCTCTGTGCAATCTATTTAACCTTGGGTGGACACGTCGCACAAAAAACATTGTCGGCAACAAGGGGTAATCTAAGACCCCAGACATAAATTGTTTTTTTGGATGCATAATTTTATTCAAATACGATCAAACTACAGTTTCATACTAAGACTGAATAATAATTCATCAAAGTAAAAAAAATATATTTGAGGTATTAACAGTGACGATATGAATTATAAGGTATTTTTGAAACCATACAAATCTACAAATAACTTAATTGCCATTCCCATGTAGAATCGTCTTTTGATGAGGTTGGTAGAATAAGAAAGATTCTAAATGCAAACCAGCAAAATGTTGAAGGGGAGGGGGGGTGCAAGACCCCTTGTGTCCAATAATGTAATACTCGTAGTTTCTTGTCAAATGATGAATGTTGCCACTGCCTCACTTCCATTCTATTTGCAGCATTATACTCAACATTAAGTAGCTGACAATGTATAAAATTCTCGCTAGACAATTATGAACCAGTTCCTCACAAACGTTAAATATATGGCCGTGGGGTCCCGAAATACCCCATCTAAATAGGCAGAAGGGTTGAATGTGTGCATCTTTATTGTCTGCTTTCTTTGCATTTTGTGAATGTAATTATTATTTACTGACACTACGTTTATCACATGCAGATTGAGATCTTTCACAGATATAGCATTATTCACATTTGTACTTTCTTGATTCTATCTTTATGAATGTAGAAAACAGGTATTATAATTAATTATTGTTTTTTATTTTTCAGCGTTTAATGCAAAATGCATTGTTGAAATTGGGTCAGTTTGATCACGCCCTGAAAGAGTTGAATATCTGGGTCAATAAAACAGATGAGACATTGGACAGTATACAACCTGTATTTGGTGATGGGAAGGTTATTGGAATAGAGCTGGCTAAACTTAAGGTACGCTTGAGCTAAATCTGATTACTGCAAGTCTTTATTTTAGGCTTCAGATGTCATAGAAATTATAAATTAGATCTTTATTTACACAACAAGCACAAAATCAACTCTGTAGACCCACGGATGGCTTGGATTCGGCTTGGATTTAAACAGGATTTCATTGATTGATTAAATTTTTAAATTGTGCCGTAAGCGGAGATCAACCGTTCTGTTGACGTCATACTCCCGTAAATTTTAGATCGAGGCTAAATGATAGAGTGTACGAAGCGAGGCCGCATGTCAGTCAATTTGATTGAAAGTTCGATATATACGCCCTAGTTGATATTATGTTTAGTTGGGGTTAAAATGAGAGTTTGGATGTCGGTATTATACACTCTTTTATCACTTGCGTTTACAGAAAAATTATGGAAATTGATAAACATCGCAGCTAACATCACCCCAGTTGAATTGCAGCCCCATTGGATCACTGTTTCCTATTTGTATGCTTCGGGAGTTACGTAGGCCTACCAGTTACAGTACAAGAGTACACGCAGGCCAACAAGAAGTTGGCTATAATTATGCCTCATTGATTTGGTCCATTCCTTTCAAACTTTCACTTCTTATCTATATATTAAAAGTCTTATTTTTAATTTGTAGTAAAAATAAATGTGATCCGAATTGAATTGCAACCCCATCTCAAACCGAATATGCTAACGGTACCACAGCCATTGAAAATGTTATTTGATAATTGAGATTATGTAGGTAGAGTTAACGCTTGTCAATCAAATGATCGGCCATTCTCGGAGACAGTGAAGAGAGAGTTGACTACTATTTTTAGTCAAAAATTACAATGGTGATAACTTTGTTCAGAATAAAGTAATTTGACTGAAATTTTCAATATATTCTTCTTTCATCATCTATTTTTGAACTATTATAGCAAGAATGACCAACTTTCTATTAAAATCTCCCATAATGTATCCTTAATAGTAGATACATTTGTAGTATTTTCACATTAAACAGTGAGTACATGGAAACGATTTGCTTTCTGGGTATAAATTTTAGTGCGTCTGTGTTCTAATGCTTGTATAATTGACTTTTGTGCTGATGGTCTCAATGAACTGCATTTATTTATGTCAGTGTTCCATCCAATATCTTTTTTACATCATCACAATACTCTAGTTCTTCAAAAGCTAAATTTTTAATTTTTGATATCTAGATTGTACAGAATGATATACAGTCACATATACCTAGCATTGATGTTATTAATGTGGAGGGTCAAAAGCTCATGGCTAATGAAAGCAACCAGGAAGCTTCAAGTATGAGACAAAAGCTAGATGATCTAAATAATGGATGGGAACAAATCCAAGACAAGAGTAACAGAAAACAAGCAGAATTGGAAGAAGCTCTTCAAGAGGTTGGTGCTTATGATTCTTATCCAGTTATAAACCAAGAAATATCTGCAATCCACAAGCATTGATGTGGAACAATGCATGTCCCCACTTCTTCCTAAAGTGAAATTATTTTATTTTTGTTTCACTTGAAACTTAAAAGGATCTGTTTTATGACTTTTAATGTAATGTATTTAGGTAATTAATAGGTTTATAATGTACCTGAAATGCAGCATGATCTGATGTTCTGTGTCATTATTACATCTTGTATAAAATGAGTTTTATGTAGTTTATAAATACAGCAATTTATGAAATTTCATTATTTACTATTAAGGCTCAAGTATTTACTAGTGATCTACATGATGTACAAAGTAAACTTGGTGATATGGAGAATCAACTTATTACATCCAAACCTGTTGGTGGCCTTCCAGAAACATCTAAAGAACAACTAGACAAATTCATGGTAAGACATTTTTTTTATAAACAGAACTTTTTTTATGCCCAAGGATGCTTGTTTTATATGAAGATTTTGGCCTTGAAGCAAACTATTAATATAGAAATTGTCTGAACAAAGAAAGTATTTAACATGAGTGTATTTCCGAAGTTATAGTTATATGGTCATCGACACAAAATTGTTAATCAGTATATCATGTTTGCAGTCATTCTGCATCCGTTTAGAATTTATTGTGTTTATCTTCTATAGGACTGTCGTGTAAAATTTTCTGGGATGAAGAAAATTAACTGAAAAACTTATAAGCATCTGTAAATTCATAGCATTTAGGCATACCATTTAATGAATATTATGTATTTTCTGTACAGGAAGTATTTAATGACCTGAAGGCTTTAGAACCTAGAATCAGTGATACATTGAAGAATGGTGATGATCTAGCTAGAAAGAGTCGGGATCCAGCATCTGGTAACATCAGACAGAATATGAAAGCTTTACAGCAACGTTGGGATAACTGTCGAGCTAGAGCCGAAGATAGAAAGGTATAAATCTTTTTAAAAATCATAGACTTAAAATGAAATGGTTTGATTGTGAAAAATTACAAACCTGTAGAAAAATTTGTGATGAATCTTTTTTAACTTTTATATTGTTTTTAATAGAAAAAATTGGAAGAAGCTGTTGGTAATGCCGGTAATTTCCATGATGATCTGAATAAATTTATTGGCTGGTTAACAGAGAAAGAACGGGTACTGAATAATCTAGGTCCGGTTAGTCGGCTGGTCAATAGAGTTACAGACCAAGCTGATGAACATAGAGTAAGTATTCATGTTAATGAAATTGTATTTGATACTTATTGAAGAGAGGTACCATATACAAATAATGGTATTTGTTTTAAATAGATGTAGATTACAGCAAGAGTTCAATATTTAAAGCATTAAAATGTTTTGATTTCTTAAAAGCTAGTAGCACACATCCAGCAAAGTTGGGTCACAATTACACGTACAAGAATTCGACTTCCTTTAAAAAAACAAAAACAACATCCACTTATTGTTAAACATACATTATCCAAGAGCTAAATCTGCCCATTGCAGGCCTTTCTTTAGGCCTGAAAAGTTATCTAAATTATTAATTAGACATGAATTAACGTATCCAGACCATAATCAACTCTCGATGTCAGCGCTAGCCTGTGATGTTTATTGGATTAGGTTCCGATTTGCCGTTCATAAAATGGATAATCGAGACTTATGTTTTTTTTCGTACCGACTTTAGTAATGATGACCGAGGCTAGGTTGAAAATTCAATCGCTAAAATCTTAGTTCACAGTGGATCAGTTTGACTGAAATTTTCAGCAAATTCCCTTTACAGTATCTAGTTTTTAACTATTATAGTGAGAACTGCCAGCTCTTTATCTAATCTCCCATAATGTATCTTTAATGAAATATTAGAAATTAGTTAAAACTGAATTAAATTTAGGTAGCAACAATTATCAAATTTATTTGTTTGTTTGCTTTTTAGGTTCTACAGAAGGATATCAGTAAAAATCGTGAAAATTTAATAGCTCTAGAAAAGATGGGTACCCACTTAAAATACTTCAGTCAAAAACAAGATGTCATCCTAATTAAGAATCTACTCTCAAGTGTCCAACATCGCTGGGAGAAAATTGTCTCTAGAAGTGCTGAACGTACACGTAAACTTGAGAGGGGCTTTAAAGAAGCTAAAAGTGTAAGTGTTTTATTTATTTATTTTTTTCATTTCAGTTCAAAACAAATTACTAATTTAAATTTATTACTACATGTAAGACTGTTTTTTTGGACTAGACTAATGAATGTAAATGATGTTGTATAAAACTCTTAGTTACCATAACATACATGTTGAGAAAAATCTTAATTTCCAAAATTTTACATTTTATAGTTCCATGACATCTGGAAAGATTTACTTGGATGGTTAGTAGATGCTGAGAAAGTTCTGGCAGAAGATCTTATCATTGGTAATGAACCAGAGAAAATCAAAGCTCAGATTGCTAAACATAAGGTAAAATAAGATTTGCATATCTATTAGAAAATCAAATTATATTTAAAAGATCAATCTTTTTCAACCATTTCTCCATGATGTTAATGAAATAGTTTGCCTGACAAATTTACTCAGCTCAGACAATTCATTAATATCTTATGTGTATTCTCATTTTTAGGAATTCCAGAAGAGATTGGGTGCCAAACAGCCTAAATTTGACACAGTTAATAGAACTGGTCGAGCTTTAAAAGATAAATGTCCATCAGATGATGTTCCTGTGTTACAACAGATGTTAAACGAACTAAAGAACAAATGGAACAGTGTATGTGGTATGTCTGTTGATAGGTAAGAACAAAAATTAGATTGTTCAGTTGTTAAGAAAAACTCTTTAGGTGGTGAAAAGAAAGACTACACATTTCATTTTGAACGAAATTGCTTGGACTGAGCTTGTTTATATTACAAATTGGTCAATATTATGTATAATATAAATATGTATTCTTTCAGACAAAGGAAGTTTGAAGAGGCCCTATTATTTTCTGGTCAGTTTAACGATGCCTTACAGGCTTTGTTAGACTGGTTAGCTAAAGTAGAGCCAACTCTAGGCGAGGACCAACCTGTTCACGCTGATATAGATACTGTCAACAGTCTCATAGATGAACACAAGGTTAGTTTCCTAAAACAATCTTTCTATTAGCAGGTTTAGAACATTACTACAGTTAAATTTAACAAAATATTGCTGGAATTTTGGATTTGGCATGTTTTCAGTCAATAAATTGATTTAAAAATTGAAGAAAAAGTATATATGACACAAAGTTATAGAAAACGACAGCCCTGACCAACGCTTTATTACAATTTTTAGAAATATATTAAATTTACTTACCTTCAAAAATTACATACTCAAATCCTTTGAAATAATAGTTGTTGGGAATAGGTTTCTGAGTCCACTAACTCTTGGATGCTTATTCATATGGCTGTATGGAATTTATTACTTACCTTGCATTAAAGTATTTGAATACCATATTTTACTTAAAAGAGGCATTATGCGAGAGCTAAATTTGTATATTTCATTAAATTTTTCTGGCTTCAAATGTTACATAAATATAAATTATTATTTAGACATTTATTTGAGTGGTTACATGCTAATGTGGCTGACCAAATCAAAATTTTCTGAAAATGCATGACATCACTCACAGGGATTGCCCATAAAAGCCCCAACACAGCTTTCCATTCTTATATTAGAAATCTTATTTGGGTTAAAAGTAATACAAATATAATTGTATCAGCTGTCTAAAATCTGATAAAAGTAGACATTCATAACTTAAATAAAGTAATTTGAATGAAATTTTTAATATATGCAATAATGCATTTTTCATTATCTATATTTGAACTATTATAACATAATGCCTCTTTAATACTTTAGTAAAAATAAGACAGCAATATTTATTTACAAAAGTAATTCTTTTACTTGATGATACATGAAACCCTACATATCTCAATCCATCACTGTGATAGAGAGATACAAGGAAGACTCTCGCTGACCTTGTGTGGCCTCCCTCTCAATTTAGAAAGCCGTACATGCATAGGATCGGGTGTAACTAGCATCAATAACGGGGACAGACCACCTCATACATCATACACCCGCCAAATGACTGGATGATCAGAATCCCTAAGATGCGACTCACTGAACATATACGTGGATTCCTCCCCCAGGTTTCACACACCATCAAGTCTTAAATGAATGTGTGTTAATTTATATGTGTATAGTCTTTATGTGTATATTAAATGGAACTTTTGTTGAAAACTGAGTGCAGCACATTAATGATTGAAGGCGATTTTTAAAAATTGTGGCAATTGCTAAACAATTTAGAATTTTGAAAGTGTCCGGTGTGAATTGAGCTTTTCATTGGGTAACATATTTTCTGGACTAACAAAAAAGTGTGAATGTGTTGTGGGGGAGTTTGGGTAACATTACTCTTGGACTAACTTAAAAAGTGATATTTATTTTTCATTCTTTATCTGGGGATCATTTTTTTTATAAACTGATGAAGAGATGATGTATGTTTTAGGGAATGAGATGTGTCCAGCATTGGGGGTGTGATGTTGTGGAGATTATTTTGTTTGTAGGGGGAGGGGGATAATTGAAGGCAATCTACTGTCCTAAATCCATTAGTTATTGCTCAAAGAGTTAATTGTCAGACTTACTCACTACATGTATGTGCCACACACTGAAAACTCACAAGTTCATTGGTAAATTATAATGTTAGCATGACAAGTAAATTTGTTTCTTTCAATTGAAATTTAGAATTGGGCACAGAATGCAGCACCAACCTTGAAATGCTTACTATGTCTCCTACTTGCTTGGCCATAGTCTTCTAACTACATAACAAATTTCTTTTGACACTCTTTCATCTATAGTCAAAAGAAAACTGCATCCTTTCTTGAGACAAGTCAAAAATCACTGACACCAAATATGGATATGCTCAGTCACATGTGTGTAGGCTAGCAGACGTCAATTTTAGTGAAGATTAATAAGGGGGATAACTCTATTGGCTCTTAATTGGTCTTCATATTGTTAGATTGATGAAATGCACTTCTTATTAATATTGTAAATAACCTTTTAATGAATTTTGGGGGGGCTTTTTCACTGAATATTTAATATGACTATATATAGGCCTAAATAATCAATTAATCAAGATTCTTCTTCAATAGATGTTTTATTTTACTTTTAAAATTTATGTGTGCACATTTCTGAAAACGTAGTCTGAAAAGATTGTAGTGGGATAATGTTGGTCCTGGGGTGGCCTGGTTTGTGTCAAGTGGATGTTAAACCCCATTTCTCTCTCACTCCATAGTGAGAACTATTACTTTAAGGTGGTGAAGGGGAACTAAAATTAGCTATTGAGTTTTCCAAGAGACAAGTGTCAGTATTTTCATTGACTATATCTTAAAACCTCTAGAAAACTACATGTATTTACAACAGAAAGATCTGACTTTATATATTTTTTATTCCAGAGATTCCAACAAGAATTAGGTGCCAGAGCTAAAAATGTTGACTTTGTTAGAAAGTCTGCCAAAGAACTAATAGATAAATCCCAAGAAGATACATCTGAGCTACAAGCCCATCTGATAGAACTTACTACACAGTGGGATCGTGTCTGTAAATTAAGTGTTAGTAAACAAGAGAGATTAGAACAAGCTCATAAACTGGTGAGTCAATCATTTTAAAATTACATATTATATCCCTTCTAATAGAAATAATGTAATGAATGCTTAATGTAATGAATGTCACTCTCATATTTTTATCGCAAATTGGGACTTTGGCAACCGCAGTGTGAGCCCTGTCCCCCATGGATCAGGTAAAAACGACGGTGAAAATAACAATTAAGCAGGGATTATATGTTAATTGATTTGTTTTATTAAATGACAATCCCTGTTCAAAGTTTTCACAGGTAACAAAACATTATTTGATACTGATTGAATAAACTAAATATACTGTCAAAGCCAAAAAATCGCCGAAAAAATCTAAGATAGTCTTTTTGACATGTGCTTATTGGTTAAAATAAAATCATTCATGGATTTTCTTCACAAAAAAGGATAAATATTATCGGATATATGACAAAGGTAAGCATTAGTATTAATGTGGGTACAAAATGACACGTATATTGAATTTATATTAAGAGATTTGAGACATAGAATTGTCGTTCTAATAGCGAGTTATGGCAGTGGCCAAATTTACTGATGCATTGTCGCTTGAAATTTTACTGATGTCAGAGCACTAACAAACACCTAGATTGTATTAAGAGGTCACTCCTTATAACCAGTTAGTTATAAAAACCCCTGGAGTGGCTGCTGAATAAACAACACTGGTACATGAACATGCTTTTAATGAATCTTTCACACATATTATTTCACAACACATTCATCTATTAATTTTGTTGCAGGCTGAAGAATTTAACAAGAAAGCTAATGGTTTATTAGAATGGTTGGGTGATGCAGAACGACATCTACGTTATCAAGGTCAATCAGCTTTACCTGATGAAGAAATACTAATGTTAGATAAAATAGAAGAACACAAGGTTTGTACTGAAGCAACTTTTCAAATATATTTTAGATTTGACTGAAAAATGATTGATTTTTTCTTCTGAGAGAGACATTGATCTTATTTTTTTTGGTTTGCTTCTTTCAGAAATTTGAAGAATCTCTATTAGCTCAGGAAGCTAATTTACGTGAAACTCTGAACATCGGACAAGATATAATGAGAAGATGTCATCCTGAAGGGTTGGTAACCATGAAACATTGGTTATCAGTTTTAAGAGCAAGATGGGAGGAGGTAATACTTAATACCACATGAAAAATAAATAAATTTAAATTCTTTGCAATAGTGAATATCCTTCAGATTGTTTAATATTTACTACATTTAAATTTTGTTATGGGCTATTTCACTGTTTATTTTTGTATGATTTTCAGTTAATGAGCCTTACTAAACAGAGACAACGTAAATTAGCAGATGGTCTAACAACTTTAAGAAAGAATAATATTCTCTTAGATGAATTGTTAGCTTGGTTAAATAATGCCGAAGTTAAATTGACTGATTTAGAAAGAGAACCTATACCTCAAGATGTACAAGTTATTCATGAATTACTGAAAGAACATCAGGTAAGTTATTCATAAATGCTAAATGCTATTCCTGCAAATAAGAGTTAATTGAGCAATGACATATCTCACAGCAGCATAAAAATTAAACCATTTCTGACAATTATCTGGTAAAAAAAAATATTTGTGTTCCATTACAAGTGTGAAAGATAAAGCCAATATAAGGTTTGTATAACATCAATTTACACAAAATATTTTGCAGGAATTCCAAACGAATTTGTCTTCCAAACAACCAGAAGTAGATCGATTGACTAGACCAGATAAAAGACGTCCTTCAATGTCCCATGAACCAGCCACTCCATCTCTCATACCACGTTTCCGTGGTAGTTTTAGAACACCAAATAAACAATCACCAAAGTGAGTCTGACTCTTTGATTTGTATCTTCTGCTTGCCAACCATTTCTTGGTCACCAAGAAGTCTGTTTGAGTCATTAGGTTGCTATCAGATGTATTGATGTGACTTATCGTGTGCCAACCATTTAACTAAATTGTTATTGTGTGTATACTATCCTATAAGTGAATGTTGTGATACCAGTTTTGCATTTCCTTGTCACTGTCTTACCAGTGTGTGTCTAGTTCATATGAGAGAACGATAAGATCAGGTGGTCAGTACATCAATTTCCCCAGAGTTCACATAAATTGTATGTTTTATTACTGATGTATACATATTTAAAACTTTTATTCAGTCGATCCTATATGAGTGGTAGACGTACACCAGACCAGTCAGGCCGTAGAACCCCAGATCAATCAGGCAGACGAACACCCGATATGTCGGGTCGACGCACACCTGATTCTTCTGGTCGCAGAACTCCGGAGCCAGCATTCCGTAATCCACGTGTTGGAGCACTCTTCAACAAATGGAGACATGTTTGGTTGATGGCCATGGATAGACAGAGAAAATTGCAAGATGCTCTTAATTACTTAGATGAGGTAAATAAACTATGTCCATTTACTGATGATAAATTTAACAAAATTTAAAATTTAATGTTGCTTTTGAAATATAAATATGCCATGGTACAGTAATTTGCTATCGTCTTTAATTATAAAATACAAACAATAAGACATGTATTTATAAAAGCTTATCCCCTATTTGTTATTTCAGCTCGAAAGAATGAAGAATTTCAACTTTGATGATTGGCGTAAGCGCTATCTACGCTGGATGCACCATAACAAAGCTAGAATTGTTGATTTCTTTAGAAGGCAAGATAGAGATCATGATGGAAAAGTTACAAGAAAGGAATTTATTGAAGGGATCATTGGATCAAGTAAGTATAGAGTTTAAAATTATTACTTTGGAATTATTAAAGTTAGTAATCTCTGTAACTGAAGATTTTTACGTTAATTAAATTTGAAAACCCACTTGATTTTTATTATTATTATTTTTCCCCAGAATTCCCAACATCACGATTAGAAATGGAAGCTGTAGCCGATATATTTGATCATGATAGAGATGGTTTTATTGATTATAAGGAATTTGTTGCTGCTTTACGACCACCATCTGAAAAAGAGGTAAAAATATTCACTTTTCATAAAATGTGGATGGTGAGGATATGCTAGTGCAGTGATGGGATTTCGTCCGGACATGTCCGACGCTATTTTCCAAACGTCCTAAATTGTCCGACCAGGAATATGCCCAATGGGACATCAAGACATGGTGAATAATATTCAAAATTCCAAAATTAATATAGTGTACTGAGTGTATAACTACCACTCAACCTGATTATCGTATATCAACGTATTTATCGTGTTATACCGTCTATACACCTACCTTGATTAACTACTTAATCTGCCTTGATTGGCCGACTTAATCCTTTGTCGGACAATTTATCAATCCAATCCTGAACAGAAGTCATTGCTTAATATGTAGCACCATGAGTCTTCTGTCTGACGTGGAGAGCGTCTATGGGAAACCGGTCGCCACATCCTACATACAACCCATGCATCTTTTCTTACTACATATTTCTGTAGCCTTGTGATCGTCTAGGATTTGTCTCTAGCTGTCTTTACTTCTGCTTCACATTGTGTATTTACTTCTCACAGTTTCTTAAGACGTCTGTCTTACCAGGAATAATAATGCATAGTTCGCTTCTACATTTTATATAGCATATAACTGAATACAGGTATACAAGCATAGCACAAATTACAATACTATATAGCTAAAACCACTTCTCCACCCTATCCAGCCTCTCGGCTGTCTAGGAACTCAGATGTACCCTCGATCTCTGGAATCTAATGCAAGTCTGACTTACAGGGTTCCCCGGTTTCTTTTAAAGGTAAGTGAATATCATGCACAATAACACGTGATCATGGCCCTGAACTTGTGTAATTAACAAAATGATTGGTTACTTTAAATCAAATGATGCAATTAGAATAATTCCACTCACGTGTAATTCGGTGGTAAATGAGTGACATATGTTTTCGATAAATCGCTCTTTTTTATGTGTCAACTATCAATTACAGACTAAGTTGATTTAAGTATTTTAAGTACATATCACATATTATGCGAATATGTTATTTCTCGAACAAAAATTCTACTAAAAGTATTACATTCGTCCCTTTCTTTAAGACTTTTTGCTCGGTATTGGGTAACAGATTCCTTGAATCCTTTATAATAACCATACCAACATCTGTAGAATTATATAACTATTCATAAATGTAGCAGAAATCTAGAAAATCAACATATATAATTATCACCTCCCCGCCTTCTAAGATTTATGCTAAATGAACAGGTAGGAGACGCTTAAAACGTCTATGTGCTAAACCCTATAATTATTCATGCAACAGGCAAATATCAATGATACTATACTATATAACAAAACTGAAAACACAAACACACATAATCAAAAATCAAAAATCAAAAGTTGCATGCAAAAGTTCTCCAAAAAGTTCATCACTGTAAAATCCTATGAAAATCCACTAAGCCTAAACACAGAAAACACAAATTGTCTTTTTTAAATCTTCAAGTGTCCTAATTTCAAAACACTATAACACATCACGTAATGTTTATAAAGTTCAGGTTTCACTTCAAATTCTGTCTCAGGAAATGTCAATTTGGTAAACTGGTAAACCATTTCTTCTTCTTGGATGTGTATTGGTCTGTTTCAGCTACCATACATGTAGTATCAAGTTGAAACTTTCTTTTCTTCTAAGTATGATTGGTTTGTACAATTTTATCCGTCAATCAAACATGTCATTGCCATCAGACCAAGAACTAACTATTCCTAAATTATTAAAACTTTATTTTCATATAAATCTAACATTATTATTTCGAAAAATTATTTGTAAATCTTACTCTTAATTAAAATTAACTTTATTTAAATATTAATAAACTTTGATGTGTCCCTTTAATTATAAATCTTCAAACTAAGTTTGACCTCTTGACCTAACTCGATCAGTAATGGACAATTTTATAATTACGTTTATGTTTTATAATTTCCGTTTCTGTTTTAGAATTCCTACATTGTTATTTTATATTTCACCGTCAGTTATGTGACCTTTTTGACCTAATCATTATAATCCACCATTTTGTATGTTAGTCAAAAACCAATACATGAAACAAGCCCATGGTTACTTATTCCGAATTAGTATCACCTAACACGTTATTTAGAATAGGACTGTCAATCAAATATGGCCAGTATATGAATGACATTCCATTTCATCCTACAGTTCCTATTCCATTATTAGTATTACATGTATATAAACATTATTTAGAATCATGTTCAAAGCAAGTGACGTGCACTTCACTCCCTCGGAACACCAGTCTATATTCTATAAACAAAACAATTAGAACATACCTAACTATATCCTATATATTATATTAATGCAATCCGTGACTTTTACACACGTCAAATTTAACACAGTGTTAGAACCTATTGTTTATAATAATTCGACCTCATGTCAAATTACACATTCTAATCCTTGCGTACATGTCGACAGCTTAAAGCAATTAGCAGTATATATTAAACGTTAATACTACGTTTCTAAAGCAAAAATTTAATTACATAAAATTATATACGGACAAAATTTACCGTATTCCTCCACTTTCCTAAAAAGTGTTGTATTCTTAACTTTAACCTCCTATAAAACTCGTATTAATGACTTTGCGATAATCTCACAATTTAACGAGCCTTTAATTTTAGTTTTTTCCCAGGAAAACTATAACCAACATCCCTAGATTAACCATATGGGATTTTTTCTTTAACCTAACTTTTTAATCAAAAGTTAAATTACTTTTGAAACCTTGAACTAGAGCTTCAAAATTACACTACTCTACTTATTTTACCACGTGGACGACACAAAAACACGAATAATGGCAATTCAACCTTTTAGTCAAAAGTTAAACTACGACTAAAACTAAAATCTTGAGACTTTGGACTAGAGCCTCAAAATTATATTAGCATTATATGGCTAATTAACCACACATACAAACGACACAAAAACACAAATTAACGAATCACAGTAGAAAGTACGGCCAACTAGGAAACTAGAGTTAATCACTCACAATTTCATCCTTAGCTCTGCCTTCTTTCTCACTGCGATCCGGAGACAACATTAGTTCCTTATTTTATTCCCTATTCCGTTTCCTTAGTTATATCAAAACATTTTTTTTTTAAAACCTACTCCCTAAACATTCTCTTTAACTTTAATTTTACTACAAATTTACTACAGGTCATGTTAACCCGATAATATACATACCTAACTCATGATATTATATTGTTTAATAAACCTATCAATCTAACCTTATGAATGACTCTAATTTATTCTCTATACAGTTAAATTTTAAATACGTAGATTCTAATCAGATTTTAACTTTAAATTAATATTATTTGGTCTTTAAACAAATTTAACACATTTAATTTACCAAACAAAATGTATTTACCCAATTTTTCGAATATCTCCACCAGATTTTTTTTTTCCACCAGAATTTTTCTGTTGCTGGATTGTACAGATCTTTTTTTCTTCTTAACATCTTCAAATATGTATTCTTCTTCTAAAGTGACTTCTTACCCCAAAGGTCGAAATTGCGTTACGGCATTAAATCGAATATGTAAGACTATGCAGTGCTATGCAGTCACTGGTTAGATGTGGAAAATATTACGGGAGAACTCCCCACATCCAACGTGTGATGCATACTCTCTTTTCTTCTAATCTTCTTCCAAATTTTCTGCTTACCCTAAAGGTCGAAACTGTCACGGCAACCAAATAGAATATGTATTCTTCTTCCAGGTTACTCGATCTCTTAGTCACGTGCACCAAATAGAATATGTAGCACCATGAGTCTTCTGTCTGACGTGGAGAGCGTCTATGGGAAACCGGTCGCCACATCCTACATACAACCCATGCATCTTTTCTTACTACATATTTCTGTAGCCTTGTGATCGTCTAGGATTTGTCTCTAGCTGTCTTTACTTCTGCTTCACGTTGTGTATTTACTTCTCACAGTTTCTTAAGACGTCTGTCTTACCAGGAATAATAATGCATAGTTCGCTTCTACATTTTATATAGCATATAACTGAATACAGGTATACAAGCATAGCACAAATTACAATACTATATAGCTAAAACCACTTCTCCACCCTATCCAGCCTCTCGGCTGTCTAGGAACTCAGATGTACCCTCGATCTCTGGAATCTAATGCAAGTCTGACTTACAGGGTTCCCCAGTTTCTTTTAAAGGTAAGTGAATATCATACACAATAACGCGTGATCATGGCCCTGAACTTGTGTAATTAACAAAATGATTGGTTACTTTAAATCAAATGATGCAATTAGAATAATTCCACTCACGTGTAATTCGGTGGTAAATGAGTGACATATGTTTTCGATAAATCGCTCTTTTTTATGTGTCAACTATCAATTACAGACTAAGTTGATTTAAGTATTTTAAGTACATATCACATATTATGCGAATATGTTATTTCTCGAACAAAAATTCTACTAAAAGTATTACACTCCTTTGTCGGACTTAATATCAATCCAATAAGAGTGATTATAAACTTAATCTTCGTGATTAACCCGTGATTTCTCCATTGTCGGACGTTTCAATCTCCTTGATGTTGGCCGACAACACATAGGAATTAGACATATATGTCATATATCCTAATAGTATATAACACCCCAAATCGATATACATTGTGTCCGATAACTTTTGTGTGATATTTCTTTGGTGGAGGCAGAAGTTAAATAAAGCTATTTCACACACACGCATGGCGGTTATAGTACAATAACTGAGATGAAAGTAGAAATCTCGCAAGACACGTGAAAGTAAGAGATGTAAACGTGCCGAATATCATGCGTCCGATGCCGGAGAAAAGATTTTATTTTGTTGGCATATTCTCGGATTTATGATCAAATTTTCAATGGAGTTTATGTTTTTATATAAATAAATAAACACGCTTAGAAATGTTGACGAATATTTCTATTGGAATAATAAAAGTAGTTAATTGTTTTAGACGATAGTGCGTGCTAGAGTCGAATGCGATTATTTAGCAGTTGGTGTCACTCGCTCGTTGTGGTAGAGCGACGTTTACTGCCAAATAAATTTCGGGATTTCATTTTTTTTACCTTCTGTATATAAGTCGAAACGGAGTATAAGAAAAATGCCGGACTTCTGCTGAAAAATGTATCGACTTATGACCCGAAAAATACAGTAATTTTGGAGGAATTTGAAACCGGTATGGATCGACAGTAGTCGGCACGCTTTCATTCTATGGTATTACGATGTCACGTAATTTTGTAGGAATATTATTGACATAAATTTGAATACCGTAAGGGAATTAAACATGAAAAATGATGAGGTGCACCTATTTTTTTATTACATATGAATTTGAATATTTTGTTGACACATGATTCTTAATTGTTGTTTGAACACACCTGATTTAGTAACGATAAGAGTTATACCCTTTTATTTTCGGGAAAAAATGTCTGACAAGAAAAATTTTGAAATCCCATCACTGTGCTAGTGTAATACTCCCCCTTCCATCACAGCACAAATGAATTAATAAAATATTTTCGTTATTTTAGCCTGCCCAAGAAGTAACTCTAGATGAAAAGATAATGGATGAAGTTAAAAGACAAGCTAGTAAATGTACATGTGTAAAACAATTCCGTATTCACAAAATTGGAGAGGGAAAATACCGAGTAAGTATATTTATGTTGTTACTCTTCATATTTGTATAACATGACCACAGTAACCATAGAAATACTTCGTCAAAACTCATTTTTCTTCTAACATCAAATAAGTAATCATTATTGAAATAAATATAAAATGTTCAAAAACCATATTAAGGTAAAGGGTTTTATGTGGTGTTACTGATAGGTTGTGGATTCAATTTCTTATATGCCCACATTTAATGTGGACGTATATTGTCATCATGTGTGTCTGTTGTCCCATCTGACATTCTTGTGAATGCTTTACCAACTGCTGTTCTTGTCGGATCGTTTTCCACTTTGCAAGGATTGTTCATTTAATGGTAAGGAAGAACATTATCAAAATACAAAATTTTTGGACTGCAAATTTCAGAGTTATCTACCCATTTACATTCAAATCTTGTGAACACAATATAGAACAAAGGGTATAAGACAGAACTGAATGATTTTTGGATTGTTAATTTCAAATTCTCTTTGATCGATTTATATTTCTGATCACATTAAGAATTTTAAAGTTTGTTAACATGACTAAGTTAAAAATTTTAAAATATTATGAACACGAAACACAACAGAGAACTCAAAACAATTTTTATACGGCCACATTTCATGTGGACTTATATTGTCGTCGCCCCTGTCCATCCACCATTTTTTTTTTGTGGTCACTCTACACTCCACGGGTCACAACTTAAAATGTATGTTTATAACCCATAGGTCGCGGTTCCTTTTGATAATAATGCATATTGGACTGTAACTTCCTGGATTATGGCCCCTGATTGTACAAAAATTCATGTTTTTAGCTTGTGGACCCACTAGAGGTCACAATTTTTATTTGATTTTAAAAAAAACTGTTTAAATGTATCATCTTTACACGAAAAATCGCTTTATTGTAGCTTGTTCTATATCCATCTCTTGCAAAGTGTGGGCTTGTTTGATGGCTTAAAATAGAGCCCTATCAAATATTCTATTGTAATTCAAAATAATTTGATGGTATATTTTGGAGTTATCCCCCTTTTTACTTTAACATTAGTTAAACTTAGTGGATGTATATACTGTTGAATGCTGGTGGGTGTATAGGGGTTCTGACATGCCCTTGTCTGTGTTTCATTTTATTTGTAGCAATATAAGCAAATTTATGTTGGCTTTGAATTTATGCTGTTTAAATACATGTGCTGATTGCATTTAGCAAAAAACGTATTTTTTTAATGCTATTTTGGGAGACGTGAATTGTAAATAAATTGTCACTGTCCTACAACTTAAAGGAGCTAAATTTTTTGATTTATGTCAAAATAAAGTGTTGAATTAGGATACTGATTTGATTAGTGATGGGGACAAATTTAGACAATTACATTTTCATATCAAAATATAAAGTGAAAATAGGTTGATTTTTATACCAGCATTGGTTTTGACTGTAGATTTAACTTTTTAATTGTATACAGATAATCATTAATCTCTTCATAAGACTAATCAAAGCTTCATATTTAATTAAATCAACAATATTTTTACCCAATTCAAAGTGGTCTAGTCATTAAGTATGTTATTACAATATGTATGTTTATTTTTATGTTATTTTTATAAAAAGGAGCTTGAAACCCTCTTATTCAGTGTAAGTTGGTATATCTGTGACATATTAGCTTCATATTTGTTGTTGATGTATCTTTTATTTTATAAAACTTGATTTTTTTTATAGTAAACTGTACAAATTTTGTTGTTATCTTTATTTATTTAAAGGAAGACATCCAGAGACATAGCAATTACTGTTTAAACATTTAGATTTTTAAAAAAAATTAACAGTATATTTATTAATTTTTGGTAAATAGATTACGGGTCTCTTCCTTAAATTATACAAACTTTATAGCATTTTATTCTATGTGTTCTTAACTGAAGAAACTCATTTCTAAGCATAAAATATTTGATCAAAAATATATTTTTATTTATTTCATTGTCCTTCAACTTTTAAAGAAATCAGGAGACTATTAAAATGGGAGTGTCTCTCTGTCAAATTTTTTTTAAAGACAATACCATTTATGATTTACCAGTACTAAGCACAGACATGCAATTGGATTTGTTGAGACTGTGGAACACAATACCTCTGAATCTAATTAGATGAGAGTTCTGAAACTTGATGTATATTTTCATTACATGAATACATTGACTTAATTTGGTAATGAGCATTTTCTGCTCAGGTTAAGTAATTTGATTGCTTGATGCTTTGGGAAAAAGATAAATGCGCTAGTAATTAATCAGTGTCATCTATTTATTTTGAGATTAAGGCAGGAGACATTAGTTGGCTTGTTATGCTTAGTATAAAATATTTTACATACAGAGCACATGACATCATTTATTATACTTATATGTTCGTAATAGACAATTTGATTGAAAATTAGTTTTAATCACATGCAATATTCATTTTTTTAAAATTGATTAAATGTATCGCTGTATAAATAGGAACTTGTTATGGGTACATAAAAAATTCCAATTCCCCCCCCAAGATTTAAGAAATATTAGGTTATAACCAGAGAACTAGGTCCTCTTGTGAAAATAAATCAATTGATAAGTCTAAATTGACAATAAGCTATACTGTTATAGAAATATTTATGCTTCAATATTTGTAAACTGAGGACATTTTTAAAAAAAAGTAAACATCTTACAGGTATCAGTTTCAAAAACTTATGTTGTATTTTATAATTTGATCATCTTCTTGTCAATCTACAAAGATTACCACTCTCACAGTATTGTATAATAAGCATGATAAATCTTCTTAAATTTGTATGTTTCTTAATTTTCTTGTATGACTCTTCATTTTGTGTACTGATCTTTTTATTATACATAAAAATATGTATGATCACACCAGTACGGAAACTTGCTGAGAACTTACAAAACATCCTGTTTTTACGAGAACTAAAAATGCTCACTATCCTAAAAAGTCTTAATAATTATAATTACCAATATAAAATCAAGATTTACATTACCAAACATAGGTTTTCACATCAAAGACATTGCTCTAGATTTAAAATTTGCAGAGAATACAGATTATTTTTGTTATATAGCTTTGTTCTAATTGGTTAATGAATTGTCTTTTACAGTTTGGAGATTCACAGAAACTACGTTTAGTTCGTATATTACGTAGTACTGTGATGGTAAGAGTGGGAGGTGGATGGGTAGCTCTCGATGAATTCCTTGTCAAAAATGATCCTTGCAGAGGTAGGTTTAATATGATAATGAAATATTTCTCTTGTTTAAAGAAGTGATTATTTACTGATTTCTGGATTTAAGATTTCATATATTGGCCCCCAAATTCCATGTGCAACAAATATTCTGAGCCAACTTTTCAAATGACAAGTGAAATCAGATGGGTTTTTTTAAGGGTAAGCATGTTAAGTAAATTTTGAATACACCTAATTCTTTGAGTGTGTGAAGCCATATAGTAGACATAGGTTAAGTTGTTGACTTCAAAGGGTGATGATATTCCAATGAAATATTGTATCCAGAAATCAGTAGAAAAGAATGCATTATTATAGTGTTGCTTATATTATAGGATAAATTATTGAATTCATTTATAATGAATATTGTGTAATTTTGTTCAGATAAATAATGATATACATTATTTAAATGGCACAATCTTCTGTGCTTATATATACTCTTCAAAAAAAGTAGGGGATATTGCAATGCAAATACGTATGCAGGTTGTGATATGATAAATAGTCATGGACACTTGACATGCTTTGAGAGTATGTTCACAGATGAAGAACTTATCGCCCCAACAGAACCACTGAGCTGCACATGCGACACGTGGGAAGGGTTGATGAAAACTGACGCGTGCTGGTTTATCCTATTCATGTTTGCTTTCCTTTCGGTTCTTGCATAAGATTTACTGTTGAGCGTATCTTTGCTTTTAGTGTGTTACGTTTAATTTGATCGAGAGACGTGTTCGTCGACATCAACGGACAACACTGCAAGAATTGGCCGTAGCACTGCAAGAGGAGTGGGTCAGATTGCCCCAAATCATGATTGGACGGTTGATTAGGAGCATGCCACGATGAATTGCTGAATGTCTGAGGATTGGTGGAGCAATTACTCATTATTAAGACAAAAATCAAAAACGTCCATTTTCAATTTTGACAGTGTATCTCTTTGCAAGTGAAATGGGGCCGTCAGATAAGCCGCCCATATGAACTGTTTATGTTCATGTGTAGGCAATTGGCCTGTTATTAACGTACACAGGTTACCTCTAATAAAAACAGCCGTGCATTTCCACGGTTTTGAATTGTTTCTGAATATCCCCTACTTTTTTTTTTGAAGAGTGTATATATATATATATATATACACTGTTAAACAAGAAATTAATGCATTAGATGCAACCAATTTCTATTCATATTAAAATACATATTTTTCTTCTAAAACTGAGATGTCAGTAATTAACCCATAAATCTGTGGAAAAGTTAGAAACACCACCCCTCAAAGCAGTAAAATAATCAACGGTGATTAACTATGGATTTTGTAACCCAGTGTCATTGATAATTTAAAATGAACAATGATCTCATTATTTGGTAAATAGTGTCTTACTTGTATGTTTAAATTACAAGAAACCACCCAGTCTAGACATGAGTACAATACAGCGGGTCATATTATTTTCAATACCCATCTATGTCGACACCCTTCAGGTAGCATTGATTTCTTGTCTTGCAGTATTACATCTTGATATGCCATGTGAATTTTAGTTTATTTATGTATATTATTTTTGGTTCTGTTTTCGTAAAATGAAATCACAATATTGTGTTTTTGCTTAAAACTAGACCTCAAGATAAAAACAAAAGTTGTTGTACAAGTTAGGTGTAAGTATTTGGTTAGGGAAATTCTATTGTACAATCTGATGGGAAAAGGTCGATCAAATTCTTTATGTTGTACATAGCGCTGGCCTTGTCAAATTTAGGAGATGGGTTTCTCACAATTTATTTTAATTTCCTGTTCTTGTATTTGAAGACAAAACAAATCACCATGGCTGTGTTTTTAGGTTATTTTTCCCTTTGATTTTTTATGGTCATGGGTTTTCATTTTATTTTTTAAAATAAAAGTAAATTAGTTTTCTAGTATGACTGGTGTTTATTTTGATATATGATTTGTTTAGTTTTTTTTGTTTTGTTTTTTTTTGAAGTACATTGACATCTCATAGTCAAATATATCAGATTTCCTAATGTTGTCATTCTTTTCTTTTATCTTTTTCTACTTTCCCACCAAAGTTGGTGTTTGGCGCCGTAATCGCTTTCGTTTCAAACGACGGTTTCTGCAATGTGATCACTGTATAGGTTTGACCTTTGACATATTTCTGTCACTGATTTTTGCGATTTACTTATACGTCCCTGAATCTCATGATGGAAGAAATTATTTGGCATTTAATTTATTAGGATTTTTTTAGAATTTTACATAAATTATGAGTTTTAAAAAGGAGCCGAAATATCAAGTAAATTTTTTAAAATGTTGAAATTTTTAAAAAATGTTAAATCAAAAAAGCTTCCATCTGATATTCTGTGGAATCGGTGTTGTCTGTTAAATTGACAATATGTCATTCATTAATACAATACTACTAAATAATAATAATTTATTTACAAATTCAAAAAAAGCAAACTATTTAAAGCAAGTGGCTTTACTGCTGTTAGCATCTGAGAATGGAGAGCAGATGAAATTTATATCTTCATAATGCATTTATGACAAATCTGATATTTACATAAACCATCAAGGATTAACTTAGATTATGTATAGTCTCTCAATTCACAGATGTTAAATAATTCTATATTTTGAGCCAAGTCAATGTTGCAGCATGTGTTTTGAGTAGTGTGTTTGCTTTCCTTCCCCTTTAGTTTTTTACTGGTGTATGATTTTAGTTATTGTTGTAATGCCATGCTTGGTTATTTTTTTACCCAGGAAATATTAAATCGTCATCTTTCATATTTCTAGAAATGTTTTTTTTTTTATTTCAGTCTTATGATATATTGATCATTGTGTATGTGTTGTACAAACTTCAATTTAACTTAAATAAAATTAATATTATTCTTAATTCCTAGTATCTTGTGTCTAAGAAATATGTGATTTAACTTTAATGTTAGTTAAATTACACTATCATAATTTTCCAGAACTCCTAATTCTAACTATTATTAGACCTATATCATAGGGCTACCAATAATAGTAGCCTAAATTAATATTTATAAAAAACATACAAAAGTATATATGTTTATCTGCGATTTAATTGATAATTTTCATGTCTGCCAGTAATTGTTCAATTGCCAGAGTTTTTGTGATAGGAAATGACAGAAGTAAAAAAAAAAAAGAAATACAAATTAATTTGCATGCTTTAAAAATCAAATTGATTTAAAATGAAATACAAAATATTTGTGACCCGTATATAAAGGATTTAAGAAAAACATTTGCTAGGGAAACCCAACAAAGCTAATAATGTTCGACTGTTGTCATGAATACTCATTGGCATGTCCATTAATCATGATATATGTGAAATAAAATAATTTTCAGTCCATTGCATGAACAATCAACAAACCAATTTAATGTCCCAAAGAATATTCACTTACATACAGTATATGTCCACAATTGATAAATAACACAGTGTCTGATCAAGTTTTATTAGAAATATCATTCCACTCCAATAAATCCCTTCTTCATTTGTTAAATTGATAAAGAGAAAATCAAAGTTTTAATGTTAATTTAAATATTAGAAAAAATATTCTTTCAGATCTTAAGATATTATATGAATATTCAAAAATTAAAAAAAAAACTGATGTCCATTTCTAATGTGCAACTGTATTTAATTAGTTTTCACAGCATTTTCTTGAAACATGATATTAATTTTGATATGATTATTCTTTACAGCTAAAGGACGAACTAATATGGAATTACGTGAACAGTTTGTTTTAGCATCTGGTGTTAGCCAGTCTATGTCTGGTTTTGTTTCTAAGAGTCCAGTATCAGGAAGTTCTCATTCTGGTAGTTCTGGTAGTGGCCGATCTCCTTACACCTCAACAGGACCTATTTCCAAGGTAAATGAATTATCAAATAAAACAAAACAGATTCATAATGGCTGGAATTACTTGAATTAGATTTCTCTAAAAGAAAAAAAAACCTAAGCATACATTTTGGTCTTTAAGGGAGTGTATGTAAACTTTCTAAGTAATACACTCTAGCAGTGGCTTAGTTGAAGCTAAGAATTTGACAGGATAGTAATAAATGCTGCATTATAAAGCTGCCTAGAATTAATCAACTGTAATTGTTTTTTTGCTTCAGATACGTGAAAAAACTTCCCATTCCTCACCATGGCAACAGCGAGTTAAAACCCCTGATGGTGAGGTTAACCAAATTATGTCTCGTGGCATGGCTGGATCTCGTTTAACACCACCTACCAAGTCAAAATTATTTCGTAAAATGGGTAGTCCACGAGATACACAAAGTCCAGGTAAGGTTCACAGAGGGTATTCAAGAATGTTTTCTCTATGTGATGATTGCTTTTCAGTTTATAATGGAGATTGTTTAATTTTATTTCAAATTAATATGGATGGTGTTTACACTTGTCAAAAAATTGTTTGGTCATCAATTTTAATATTGTCATTCTAAATATTGTTATGGTGTACTCTTAATTTTTAATTTATTATTTTCAAGTGAGTCGAAGTTCAAGTAGAGCTAGTAATGGCGGAAGTCGTCCACCCAGTAGAACAGGAAGTGAAACATCAGAGGGTCTTGATGCTGAAGTTTTTACCACTCTACAAACTGAGACTGATACACGAGGTGGCCGTAATAATACAACAGTCACATACCAAACACACAATATACAAACCCGCACTGTTACAGTACCCACCCCAACACAGTCCAAATATTCCAAAATTCCCAAATTTTCACCAAGGAAATAAACAGAGAGGAAATTAATTTCCTAATTTTTTTTATCTGATTGCCAATTTAAGACATTTATTTATTTAACAGTGTAATATATTAAAGCCTAGAATATAATATATTAAGGACATATTTGCCTCATAACGAATTCACTACTATGTATTTACAGGATAACTTACGGTCTTTAAATTACTACAGATTTAAAGGGAATGATAGATGTATCTGTAAGAGCACCAAAGTGTGTTGCGTTGTTAAAGTTTATAAGATGCACATTATATAAGTAATAACTGAACAGGAGTTATTAACATAACATAGAATTTTATATAATTTATATATTTGTAGACCTAATTAAGTCTTTCATGCCAATAGTAACCAGTGTATATAGCTTTTGTAACGCCATTCAAACGATATATTATGTATATTATGTTACTTATACTTGTATATAATATTCAAAACCAAATCGGGTTGAAGCAGAATCTCATATTGTTATAACTTGATGGTGGTTTTGATTTCTTATTGTTTTTGTTTTATGGTGAAATTATGATCAATTACAATGAGATTATGTACATTTATTCTGATCAGTTGATTCAGTAAATCATGTCAAGTGAATTTTTAAAGATGAAGATTGAAATTGTACATAAAAAATACCCAGTCTAATTGTTAGATTTTTTTTTCTTCAATTGTATCCATTTATTTGCTAGACGTAGTATTTATATTCGGCATTGGAAGTGCTTGCGTGTCAGTCTGAAACTTTCTGTCAGATTGAAATATTGTGTTATATTTTCATGCATGATAATGGAATAACTCCTCTTAAAAAGAGTTATTTTATACACAGAGAATATTTGTTTTGTCCTAATTTATTTAGATAGAACACTCAAATTAATATATTTTCATGACTTGACAGGGTGCCTGGATATGATAATTATGATATATTATACATATGTATATGTTGAATTTATGTTAGTTAATGTCTCTAGTAATGTTATGTACAGTGACAAGAGCTTTACTTATTGCATATGTATGCTACAGTGTACTTTAGATTGACAGTATGACAGTCATTCGAATAAAATTAAAAATTACTATTTTTGGGGCTGCTGCAATATTATGAATACCATCAATAATATTACACAAAAATTCTGATTCTAATTTTATTCAATGGTTCTGTACATTATTTTTATTATTATATTTTTTTTTTTTCATTTCTACTTATTATGCATCATTTTTGATTTTTCGTTAAATATCGGATACAATGTGTTTGTATGAGTGAATGTAGTTATTATTATTATTTTTATTTTGTATGAAGGTTGTGGCCTGAATAACTAGTTATATTATACCAAGCTTCATTTTCTTCTATTAAACTATTCATGGGTGCTATATATTATACAGATATGTGTATTGATAATTAAAGTCAAATACCTCTTAATGAAATAAAACTTAAACAAGACTTTAAACAGAACTCAATATTACATTTACATAGTTCTGATGTAGGGAATATTTAATTTAGGAAAAAAAAAGTATACATTTAATTAACTCCGTAATAGTTATATTTTAATCAGTTGGCAATTAGGGATAATTACAAACATTTTATTGGAATATTATATAGTAAACCTAATAGAAGTCAGAGAGCTACGTTTATCATACCATGACATGGATATCACTATACTTCATTATTAGCTTATTTTATTATAGTCTGATTTCATTTACCAAATGCATAATACTTAGAACATATGATTGGTTATATTTGCTAAATAATAAACATATGAATCTCTTGTGCTTAGTTGGTTATTGATGGATACACAATAGTCAGATGCTCATTGGTTCAACATTTATAGATAAGAAATAGCTACAGTGTATCCAAGAGAATTTATCAATAGCATAATAGTGTATTAAAACATAAACAATGTGTCGATGACAAGACATTAGATAAAACATAATTTCCTTATCTTGATGATAAAATATGAGGAATTTTTGCACTGTCAAGGGTTCTTTTACGTTCCCGTTCAATCAAACGTGTACATGGTACTTCAATTTTGTTTCCCATCCATATGACTAGACACTGTTCCTTGCTAGGCCCTCCAACTGACGAGTGGTAACCACACTGGAAAATCCTGAGGTACTTTATCTGCCAATAAAGACTGATTGGAAATTCTGTTGAATATCAGAACAGACAAAAGCTAGCACAACTAATCGTTTTCTGAAGTATCTTAAAATGTGGGCTACCCTTTTACCAGAGATTTTAATTACATCAAAAAAGACTATATTGTTCGTTTTAAAGAAAGTTTATTTAATACTTCTAGTCCAGTGGATATGTGCTAACAGTGTTGTAAGCATAAAACTTGCATTGACAGACCCATAGATACTGTTTTATGTGCTGATCGTTTTAAGATTTGGAGTGATATAAATATTTCTTTGTTTTAACTGGCCTGCAGGCAGGGACCCAGTAACAAGATTTGTACAATAAATACACAAGTCATATGAAACTTGCAGATGAGTTTGACAATGCACCTTATAAATTAAGGTCCATGGTTTGCCTATGAAATCTATCCATCTACTGTACTGACATGCAAATTGCATTAATTTAGTGAGAGTGTGACGGACAAACGACACGAATATGCCACCTTTTCTCTGTTGATGCAAGGGCTCCAGTGACATTTTCATTCGGGGGCCCCATGCAAGCTTAATCCGGTCCTGTTTGCAAGAAAGCCCGTTAACTGATCGGTCGCATTGAACTCCTCTAATACTAATCGTCATTGAATTCTTCTGACATCAAATCCGATGTGAAAAAAAAAACCGCAGTCCACACTAAATGTTTATTTGTCACATCGCCTAGACAATAGTTTTAACACCAAGTGCATGATTTTGCCCAAGAAGAACTGAGACCGCAAAGTTCCTAGCACCCGGATTCGAGGCGAAGTTCGTTTGTTTAATAAGCAAAGGGTACGTCCACGCTGCACCAAAAACCACCCAAACCAGCGTTGGTGGATGAATAAACCACTAGACTGTAAAATTACAGAAGCCTCCCATGTTGCGTCGGTAAGACTCGGGCTCGCTAGCCCGGAGGTCGGGTGTTCGATCCCTGCATTGGCCGAGAAAGTTCATCCAGATTTTCCAGCGTGGTTTCCCCTTGTCAGTGATGCCAGAAGGATGGCCTGACTGGGACAGCTGTCTAGTCGTTCGGATGGGACGAAAAACCGAGGTCCAGTGTACACGTTGGCGTGTACGTAAAAGATCCCTTGGCAGTTGGAATTCGATATAAAATAAGGCCGTAGCGCCGCTGCCCGGGCAAAATTTCCCTCATAGCACACAGTATGGCGTATGCCCGTCTTCATTAGCCCAGGTTAGGAGCAGAACAGTAGGACGTTAAACCCCATTTCATTTCATGTTGCGTTTTCGAGATATCGTAAACATACCTAAATATGCGAAAATCTGGTTAGGGTAGGCTCACTGCGCACACAATAACTTCCAAACTAGCTTAGGTGGCTCGAAGATGTTTATATCATCAAATCGACAGATGCATAAGGTATGAACACGTCAAAGTTCATTAACTTTCTTTTTTTGCATTGTCGGGTTATATATCACCGCGAAATCCCCGCACTAATCAGCAGTTAATATTCGCTAGGCCATGACAATTACTGATAGGGATGACATCGATGCGACTTGAGCCTCAAATATTAACTTTTTCTCTCCGACAAATTAAATTCTAAAACATTTTTTTTATGTATTAGAAAAATAAATAAAGCCGTTTGATGTATTTGTAGGTAAAAAAATATTTTCTATTTAGTGTAAATGGGTATTAAAATGAGTATAAGGCACCATTCTGCCCGAATCAGTAACGTCTTATGTAAACAATGCAAGCCCATTGAGCCAATGATTGACGCCGCGTGATGTGACGTCACATGTTGATGACCGTCATCTTTAACAGAGATATTAGAAGACTTCCGTAATCCTCTGGAAAACAGATTCCAAAATTCCAAGCAAGGGGTTTCAAGGCGAAGTTCGTGGGTTCAATAAACAAAAGGTACGCCCATGCTGCATCAAAAAGCACCCTAACCAGTTTTAGTGGCAAAATGTTTTTTATTTCACAGAATCAAGGGATGAATAAACTACCAGACTGCAAAATTTCAGAAGCCTCCTATGTTGCATTTTCCAGATATATTACCGTAAACATACCAAAAATATGGGGAAAACGGGTTAGGGTAGGCTCACTGCGCACACAATAACTTCCAAACTAGTTTTGGTGGCTCAAAGATGTTTATATCATCAAATCGACAGATACATAAGGTGTGAACAGGTCAAAGTTCATTAACTTTCTTTGTTGCATTATCGAGTTATATCACCGAAAATTTCCTAGCACCCGGATTCGAGGTGAAGTTCGTGGGTTCAATAAACAAAATGTACGCCCACGCTGCACCAGAAGCCTCCTATGCTGCATTTTCGAGATATGCATGTAAACATATACATGGATTTTATGATTACTATCAAATAAATTAAATTATTATTATTATCCCCTGGAAATGCTATGCCCCACATGTTTCAGGAACCCTCTCTGGTATAAACCTTCTTTTCATTTGGTGATTTTTAATCGATTTAAAATTGCTTTGTATACCCCTATATTTCAAAACAAAACTTTAACATTTTTCCCAAGCCTGCTTTGTGATTGCTCATCTTGACAAAATGATTCTCAATAACGATCGACAGTGTTTTACCAATCAAATCTCTAAAAGCAATTAAGAAATTGGGCATCAATAGGCCTAACGTGGTTATCGATTGCCTTATCCTTTTAAAGGAATAACAAATAAAGATACCTAAAGGCATCTATTATTATATAGAAAATTGCCATCTTGGACCCCTACAGCCCACAAGCAACAATTATGTAGTGCTATAAATTAATGTTTTACTTCTCTGTAAGAAGATTATCATTTATATCAACATTATTACATCTCGGAAACATCCCCTCAAATGCCTGATCACCACTCTAGCTCAGATTTCCATTAATTTGATTCCATGCAAACTAGACGTTATTTACATGTACATGCACAGGAACCGCACGTATCCGGTTAAACACTTGAAATAATTTAATATAGACAAACTGTTTTTGCTACAACAGCAATTTTGAAAATCATAGATATGATTACATAATATTTCGAGATTAAAGATGAAGTTCAATGCGCAAATGTCAGTGTAATTTAGTAAAGATAAAAATGATTCGTTCAGCCACTATTGCCTCATCAAATATGAAACTTACAGTGTCTTATACCCTTCCCTAACTTTGCTGAAAATACTTGAGCAATGGCAAACTGTTTGACATGACAAAATATTTCGTCTTCATAATACTAAATAATTGAAACGTATCCGCTATGGTCAAGATAATACATTATCGTCCAGATCGTTTTTTAGCTGATTTGAACCTATACCTCCTGACAGATTATGGTTGCCGTCAGGAAAAACGTATTTAAATTTAGAGCCAAAATAAAGATCACAAAGGGGTTTTTAAAATGAAAAAAACAAAAAACAACAAACACACCTTTGACCTTGACTGAAATTGTTCGTGTCTCTTTAAGTGATTAACAAAAAGACTCTAACGGCGCTTCAAGGCAACCAGTTTCGGAAACCAGATAACACCAGTTCTTTGTCAGAACACTTGAAAATGTCGCCACATACTCTGAAAGTTAATTGAGTGTAAACTTATAATACCATTTCGCGCCATTTCCGAAACCTCTTTTATTATTCGTGTGATTAGACGGCTATAGAAATCTAGAGGTCAATAAGATTTCTGTATATATATATAAAATATCATTAAACATATATATATATAAAATATCATTAAACTCAGAAATCTTATATAATTTCATTCCGGGCAGAGTAACCGTTGGTATATAAGAAGCTACAGATGTGATGTAAGAAATTACCATCATCGATCTCAAATTAGGAAATAAATTTTAGCATGAAATGAATTTGAAATGGATGCGTATATTTCAGTCGATTTAACTGGTCATTTCACTTAAACGACGTCAATTACATCGCAGCAAACGTGTTCCTCTAGCAAAAATGTCATCAATTTGATAAATTCAAAAAATCACCAGTCCTGTGTTAGTTTATATTTACAATAGAGTAAAGTACCTCCATTTAATAAAGGCATTTATTGTTCGTGTCTGGAAATGAAATGAAATGGGGGTTAAAGTCATCCTGTTTCATGTCTGGTAAACCACAAAATAAAGTTGATGGACAGTGCCTATTTTAAAACTTTATTGGCGAAGCACGGTTTCCGGTGTTTTGGGGTTCTGTGAAAAATTCCAGAATTTGACTTCCTATAACACAATATCACGCTTACACTTTTATAACCAAAATATAACAGAAAAAACATGTATACTTATAACATCGTGTCAGTATCATTAGCAGTCCAAAGAAACACCTAAAGTCGATTCAAAGGCAAACGAACCTTCACTGTCACCTGCACTTGATGATGTTCTGCAATGTTATTTTCGCGCTTTATGTGGTTGTTGGAATACGTCAACAATACAACAAAACTTTTGAAACAGAAATCGAAAGTGGTCGATGGTCATAATTATAGCTCAAATTCCCCATACAACCTTCTCAGATTCACAAGACTACATAACATTTTTCTCAAAGCACGGATTTCAGATTTTCAAAGAACGGATTTTTTTTATCCAGAGCCACGTCCGTGCCTGTGGGCACGTTAATGTAGGCCCTGTTGATGGGCTAAAGTAAGAGGGAGCAGTTTAACCTGGAACAACAACTTTATTTAGATGTAACGTTTATTTTCTGAATCATAAAGGTATTATAATTTTAATTGGTATTAAGTAAGAGGGCGCAGTTTAACCTGGAACAACGACTTTATTTAGATGTAACGTTTATTTTCTGAATCATAAAGGTATTAAAATTTTAATTGATGCCAGTTAGCAGAAGAGAGCTCCAAAATTGTGCATATATTTTCGCGGGCCGCCTACCAATTCTACAACACCCACAGCGGCTCGCAACACCCTATTGTTGGTTTCTACAACTTTTTATTTTCAAAGAACGGATTTTTTATCCAGAGCCACGTCCCTGCCCGTAGGTACGTTAATGTAGGCCCTGTTGATGGGCTAAAGTAAGAGGGTGCAGTTTAACCTGGAACAAAAACTTTATTTAGATGCAACGTTTATATATTTTCTGCATCATAAAGGTATTATAATTTTAATTGGTATTAAGTAAGAGGGCGCAGTTTAACCTGGAACAACGACTTTATTTAGATGTAACGTTTATTTTCTGAATCATAAAGGTATTAAAATTTTAATTGATGCCAGTTAGCAGAAGAGAGCTCCAAAATTGTGCATATATTTTCGCGGGCCGCCTACCAATTCTACAACACCCACAGCGGCTCGCAACACCCTATTGTTGGTTTCTACAACTTTTTATTTTCAAAGAACGGATTTTTTATCCAGAGCCACGTCCCTGCCCGTAGGTACGTTAATGTAGGCCCTGTTGATGGGCTAAAGTAAGAGGGTGCAGTTTAACCTGGAACAAAAACTTTATTTAGATGCAACGTTTATATATTTTCTGCATCATAAAGGTATTATAATTTTAATTGGTATTAAGTAAGAGGGCGCAGTTTAACCTGGAACAACGACTTTATTTAGATGTAACGTTTATTTTCTGAATCATAAAGGTATTAAAATTTTAATTGATGCCAGTTAGCAGAAGAGAGCTCCAAAATTGTGCAGATATTTTCGCGGGCCGCCCACTAATTTACAACACCCACCAGCTGCTCGCAACACCATATTGTTGGTTTCTACAACTTTTTATTTTCAAAGAACGGATTTTTTTATTCTGAGTCACGTCCCTGCCCGTAGGTACGTTAATGTAGGCCCTGTTGATGGGCTAAAGTAAGAGGGTGCAGTTTAACCTGGAACAACAACTTTATTTAGATGTAACGTTTATTTTCTGATTCATAAAAGTATTATAATTTTAATTGGTATTAAGTAAGAGGGCGCAGTTTAACCTGGAACAACGACTTCATTTAGATGTAACGTTTATTTTCTGAATCATAAAGGTATTAAAATTTTAATTGTGCAGATATTTTCGCGGGCCGCCTACTAATTCTACAACACCCACCAGCGGCTCGCAACACTCTATTGTTGGTTTCTACAACTTTTTATTTTTCAAAGAAGTTTGATAAATGTTTGTAAACAGTCAGTATGTAACAGACAAGGCCGCCCTTCTTGTACTTAGTGGATTAAGTATTTCCTGCAGAAGTTAAATGATGAAGAATTTATTGTAGAGATATATCAACTGACGGAAATTCTACTCCAGAATCTTCGCCCCATTAATATGACCGTTTGTAAAGTTCATTGGCCGTTACCATCTTCAATAAAAATAACACGTATATATTTGTTGTGTGTTGAATGGCCAGGTCCATGGCCCATACATGATAGTCTTTTGTTTCAAGTCGATCCTGATATTAAATGATAGTCAAATAAGAAGACTTTGATCTCCAGTAATTTGTATGGCTTGGTATAAAAAGAAAAACTTATAACGCTAGCAATGTTTAGGCACTTGGACGTTGAAGAACCAGCAAGATGAACTCTCTAACGCTATGGCTCGCTGTTGCTGTAAGAGCATTACTTATTTTGAAAGTTATTTAAAATTGTATTGATAAGTTTTTATTCTGAAATATTCATTTTTATTTATTGAAATTAGAGGCTTTATTTTAAAATTAGATTTTAACAATTAAGCTAGGTGTTCTTAATAAAAACATTTATCATACTTTATTTTCTATTTGTAGGCATTAATGATTGCTGTTTCAGTCAGTCGTAAGTAGTTTTAATATTTCAGTATCTGTCATCAGACTTTCATGCTTTATTTTATCATAAAACATTAATAAATTCAAACTAGCTCTTGTTTTTATATATTGCCTCATTCTATTTCTTTTATAAAAACCACGATTCTTTATATTTCCAGAGGATGTAGACTTTGGCTTCGGCATAGACGGTAATAGAGAGAGACAACTGGATCTGGAGAGACAAAGGGAACGGGAAAGAGAAAGGGAGCAGAGAGAGCGAAATAGGGCCCAAGAAAGTAAGTCAACTTTTAAAAATGTTGTTGGTTTTTTAAATACGATACCTTATAGTGCCTCACGACCTATGTGACTTGCATATGTGCTGGTGAATATGCCCTGAGTTACTCTGATACCGACTGTCCCTTATGGTTCTTCTCGTACATGTACCTAATGATACCACAGTAATACATTTTTGTTATTTTTGAATTCACCAATTTACTGTTCTAAATATTAATTTGCAGTATATCCAGGTTGCAGGGATAAAGTTGCCGATATTTTCTTCATCTTGGATTCATCAAGCAGCATCTATATTGAAGATTATTTCAAACAACGAAACTTTGTTAAAAGCATCATCAATAGGTTGGCTATAGATTCCCGATTTACCAGAGTTGGGGCTCTTACATTCAGTGATAACTACCGAGTATCGTTTGGAATCAACGAATACCGAGACAAATTATCTCTGGTGAATGCCATCAACGACCAGAACATCCCTTACTTATCCGGAGCTACTAATACAGCTTCTGCCATTCGTTACGTTCGTGAAAACGTTCCGTTCCGAAACGACATTACTCGAGCCATCGTTGTCATGACTGATGGTTACTCTGCTGCACCGGGAGCAACAGCTTCAGAGGCGGATCAAGCCAGAAGAGAGGGCAACTATCTATTTGTTATCGGGGTTGGTCAATATACAGATGAACGAGAATGGAGAGCAATAGCCAGCGATCCTGATGATAACTTCATGTTTAACATCACTGATTATCGAGCATTAGACAGATTACAGTCAACTATAGCGCAAAGGATTTGCTCTCTTCCTCCACTTATTATCAACAGATTACAGAGTGAGTTGAAATATTTTGTAATTTACCATAATATATATATATAACTCTTTTTTTATATATATATAATTGACATATTTCAAAGCTGAAGACGTTTACGGCAAAAATATCGAATAATATTTTGAAGTTCATTTTTTAAAAAGAATAGTTCACATTATTATGCATTGGTGTATTAAATCTTTGCATAACGGCAATGGTCTGAATTTTTTTCAGGTTGTTTTGTTCAAGGGAACGGTGCTGATGTTCTATTTGTTGCTGGTCCATCCGGTGCCTCTACAGCTCTGCCTATCATCAAAACTCTTGTAGACAATATTCAGGCTCAACCTGGTCAGGTTCAGATGAGTCTTCAAGTCAGTTCCTGTAGCGATGCAGAGAATATACCACTTTCTGATCCCAGTGCTTATTGTGGTCCCAACTCACCAAATGCACAGGACGATTTCATCACTTTATTGAGACGAATGCGTGCAAATGCTGCTGAACTTAGAGATCGATTACGAACTCCAAACCAAGTAGCTGTTTTATTCATTGACGATCAGTCTATGTTTAACAGATATGAAATTTCACAGGTAAGCAAGTCTACCATCACCCTATTAATTGCCTGTCTACAGTCTAGATGAGTGACAACTGTTCCTTTTTTTAAAATCGACAGTCAATGATGTGTGGAAGGTATAAATTAATTGTCGTACTTTTAGCAATATCACTTTCACTTACACTCAATCATTTGGTTATTATGTATAAAATCATTACCGTCTATGTGCCCGGGTTGTAGACATCTCTATATGGCGGTCACCTCAAACTTTATTTTAATTTTCGTTTTCCCACAAATTATCAAATCGTTTGTGTGAAATTTAAATGAATCACTCGTTTCATATATTTTTGTAATGTGTTCGTGGGTGTGTAAAATGATTCTAGGACATCATCGATATTAGCTATACATATAGTAAATGAAAACTAAAATGGGAAGGCTTATACTTAGGTCTCAGCTTTCTTGTACTAAAATCATTTTATTAAAGCGATAATATTTTATATTCGACATGCGAGTAAGAATAAAAGAGGATTGGGTCACAATGGGTGTCGTTCTATAACTGTCAAGCTTAGCCATCAAATTTTGCGTAGTAATTGTTTGCGTTTAGATGCTTTATATAAACGGAATAAAAAAAAAATTACAAAGACGAAGAGTAGATTGTAATATAGCCAAACTCGGAGAAAATCTCGTACGTAATTACAAATTGTAAGATTGTTAATTTTATTATAGGAAGCTAGAAATGCTGTACGAGATGGTGTACAAGTATATATTGTGGATCTTGGAGTAACTCAAAACAGAAATTTCCTGGAAAGAATGGCTTCAAGAAGAGACGCAGTATTCTCTATAAATGATAGATTTGGTGGTAATTTGGAAGGACGTCTTTTGAGACAAATGTGTGATGGTATGTTTATCAGTAGTTACTTTATAGCTTGTACCTGCACTTTTATAACCAGGTCCGTCGGAATTGTTATGAAGTGGACCAATCCTCTGTTACAAAATTTGTCCGCAGAACCGCAGAACCACGGGTTCTTATATAAAATGGAAAATCTTTTTTCAAAAATCAGATTAAACATACATTATGCTAGAGCTAAATCTGCCAATTGCAGGTCTTTCTTTAAGCCTGAAATGTTATCTAAATTATTAATTAGACATTAATTAACTTATCCAGACCATAATCAACTCTCGATGGCTTCGCTAGCCTGATATTTACTGGATTAGAACCCGTCTACTGCTTCTGATTGTGGATAGCTAACTTAAGTGGATTGAGGGGTGGGGGATTCGGAATGGGATATTGATAGGCTGGCAAGCCAGTTAATGGTTCAGTGAGCGAAAAGCCAGTTTGTCTTTTGGACCGTGGTGAATTGAAGATGGGGGCAATGTTAATGCTTGAGATGTTTATCACTGGTGTGTGTGCGTCCCCTACCCGCAGTGTTTATTGACCTGAATTAGCTTTATCACTCTCATTTTAAGGAAAATAATAATTCTGTTTTTAAAATTATCTTTTCAGATTTAAACGAGTCTCCCTTCAACGTTCCAGAAGTACCACCAAGCAAATAAATACTAGTTTAGGCTATTTAGTTCTATTTTAGATAACTATTTAATTTTTGTAAAATACAAATAAAACTTGAAGACTATCCTGAGAAATTAATATTTGGAAACATTGAGGGAACATGATTGTTGTGCATCAGCAATTCCCCATTATATTGCTCAGGTTACAGTTACTTTTTATTGATATACTCATTTTGCTTTCTAGAAAGTCTCTTAAGTAATCAAAAATGAGAGTAAAAGAGAGCGCCATTCGTATTATTGTATTTGTTGATGTGGAATTATTATAAAGTGATACAGACTTCTTATACTACTTACTTGTTATGTCTATGTTTATAATAAAAACATGTTCTGAATTTTTTTTCCATGGTATTTTATTTTTCCGTAAATAGCGGTGCCCAGTTCAGTTCCGCCTAATCTGCTGTGAATTCAAACTGTCAATTCTTCTTTTACCTACACACCGTGCTTGGTTACACGAATGGGCCTCTATTTTTAGGGGGTCGTGGGGGTGGGGTGGATGGCTGAATGGTTAGCGTGCGCGCGCTGTATCATAAAGTCTGTCATTGAGTCGACTGGCGTGGTTTCGAATCGCCGGTTGTGCGTGACAAGGAGTAGGATCACCTGTCCAACCTCGTGGGTTTTCTCCGGGTCCTCCGGTTTCCTTCCACTGCTAAAGACCCCTACGAGCAAGCGAATTATTGAAATAAAATTAAACCACATGTTAGTCCCGAAATGACCTAGTTTGTGTCGAGTGGACGTTAAACCCCATTTCTCTCTCTCTCTCTATTTTTAGTACCATCAGAACAACTAGGGGCATTTCTTTGCAGGCGCCACTCCTGGCAAGTAAGAACCGGGCATGGTAAACCCCGAGGGTTCTTCCCGTCCCAGAACGGCATTCCAATCCCTGAACATACAATCAAGAGGTCAGTACCCTATGCGTTCCCTTTTCGATTGGGGTGGGGTGGGGATAACACCTTGTAAAACCTGTTAAATTTCGCATGGAAATGAGATCCAAATACATCTATCCATCTGCTGCTGCTCATCGTATTCATCAGTGTCATTTAGACTGTACTCCAATTAAAAGAGCGACCGGAAGCCACAGCTTTATCCCAAGAGTAAAGATTTTTAGTCTAGGTAAATAATGGTTAGTGGCGTAGCGTTAAGGGCCCCCCCCCCCCCCCCCCGGAGCGCTTGCTCCAGGCGCAATTTCTTAGGGACGCAAAATTCCAAAAGGAAAATAAATAAAGAAGTAATAAAAATAAATAAAATATAGCCCTCTCCACAACCGAAAATCTCCCACTGCTCTAACATTCTACACAGTTATTCAACATGATGGTATAGCAATTAGGCCTACATCGAAAATCTTTTTTGTTAATTATTTCTTATTCTTCGTTCTTCTGTTTAAACAATGAAAACGCACCCCTTTTATAAATTCTGAGAGATATGCCTACACTTGAATCTTGCAATTAGTAAATGGACAATGAATAAAACATTTTAAATCAGTGCAATAGGCCTAAACAGTTTCTCGTGCCACTCTACATGTATTGATAACTCTGCTGTATAATAAGCGTCATTGTTTTCGAGCATCATAATTATTTGTTTCATCAGTTTTTCTGGTGTCATCTGATTGTTTGATTGATAGAAGTTCAGATGCGGACCACTTTCAGGTTGCTGCATTCACGGGCTGAAATATCAGGAAAGCGTTTTTGCGGCCGTCTAATTTTCATAAATTTTCTGGGATAGCTCTCGGTGTCGATCAGCTTAGCGGGAATTCTTTCGGACATTTCATTCCTAAATGTTCTAACGTGTGCGTCTGTCATTGAGTGGCGTGGTTTCAATCCCAGAATTTGTACGTGACAGAAGGAGGGTCGTCTGAACCTCGTGGTTTTTTTCCGGGTCCCACGGTTTCCTCCAACTGCTAAAGAACGATAGGCCTACCATACACAAAAGCAATTTATTGAAATGCAATTTACCATGTTAATCCCGAAAAGATCTAGTTTGTGTTGAGTGGGTGTTAAACCCCATTTTTCTCTTGATGGAACCATAGAAATGTACTAGAATACGATCTATGATGGAATAGCCTACACCTCCATGGCCCGCCCCTTTCTGTGTCTCAGGGGGGTTGGATGGCCGAATGGTTAGCACGTGCGCGCTGTATCATGAAGCATGTCATTGAGTCAACTGTCGTGGTTTCGAATCCCCGGTTGTACGTGACAAGGCGTAGGGTCGCCTGTCCAACCTCGTAGTCGTAGGTTTTCTCCGCGGGTCCTCCGGTTCCTCCGGTTTCCTCCCACTGCTAAAGACCCCTATGCGCAAGCAAATTATTGAAATAAAATTAAAACCATATGTTAGTCCCGAAATGACCTAGTTTGTGTCGAGTGGACGTTACCCCCCCCCCTCTCTCTCTCTCTTCTCTTCTCTCTTTTTCTCAAAGTTTCTGTGTCTCGTCATTCTTGGCTTGTTCGCTGTGGTTTTAAGGGAGATAACTTCATTTTACGGAGGAAGTACTAATTAAGTAGGCAATGTGGTAATCTTCCATTTCTTTTTACGTTAAGATAATAACAAAAAGAAACTTTGTTTGGGGGTTTGTTAGTAATAATAACAATAACATTAACATCCTCGATTCACTAGTCTTAGAATAGGGTGGTGGTGGACCTTACTTAGGAAGTTCAGGAAACACAGGGACTGAGGGAGGTATATCGTAAGTCGAGTAACATCAACAAATTAGTAGGCCTACACCGACCGGCTGTGGCATTAATGCCAATATCAGGATACACCGTATCCATTGTAAACAAACAAAACAGAACGAGCATAATGTGCTATGATAAGAGCACAGAGTTATTTTTACTCTGTGATAAGAGTCTTTGATCCAATAACTTTCTTCATGTAGGCATATACACAGTCCCATGTTTACACAGTTACAGTATGCATGAAGAGAGCGCATGCACTTATGGATTTGTTTGAATAGACAGTAACTTGCAGTTACCCTGATAATATCGCAACTCGGTGGTACTTTTAACCGACTACCGCCGACCACCGCCGACTACCGCCGACCAAATGCTTTTTACCGCCGACCGTCGTGTAATTACCGCCGACCAAATACTTTTTACCACCGACCGCATTGTAATGACTTTCGACCGAAAATTTCATCGGATTCACCCGACACTGTTGTGGAAGCTATATTTTGCGTCTAAGATTGAATTTTATTTTTATTTTTATTTCCGCCCGCCGCTTCTGACAAAAATGTCAAGGGTAACGCAATTCTCACATTCGGCAAACCTCGACAGATTCTACGCATCTAATCTCGGCTGTATGACGAATTCCGCCATATTGGAACTATTTTAAAGATCCCGGATGAAAAATGGCTGCGCCCATGGAGATTTCTGTGGAGAGTGTATTATATCAACAAACGTCAAGTTTGGCATTGGGTTTGGGGAATTACCAGGGAATTATTTTAACCAGCAGCCTTGAGACAATATCTCTGCCCGTTTAGTTATATACACGCCATTTTGGGACTTTTTTGTAAAAGCGGCACGTTTTCCTGTTAAAGTAAACCGGTAGCCGCATCGCAAATGTATGGGCGTAGGTACATATCAATTACTATCATACAGCCGAGGTTAGATGTAGGGTACCGGAATCTGCCGAGTGGCAATTCTCATAATTAAATTTGTGTGGCCTTATACTCGAATATTCATTATCTGAACTAATGCTATGTTCATTAATCAATATGTAGTGTGCCAAATGTTCTAGTTCGGAGTCAAGGTAAAATAATTTACCTGGAACAACAAATCCAAAATTAAAAAAAAGAGCTTTCATGAATTTCACTTTCGTCACTCTGTACCAATGTGTCTCGTGGCCTTCCATCACAGGAGGAATCAGCTAGCGCTCCCGGCAACAAAAATGGGTCATTTTTCAATGAAAATATTCCTACTTATTCAATATTCCTAACTGGTTAATCAAATGGTCAAAATTTTCTCAACTATTCCCATTTTTTAACCAGTTAAATTCTCTTGACTCTTGACGATACAGTGATAATACGTTAATTAATAATATGACGATATGATAATTTCACAGGTTGATGGTTGTAAATCACTTGTAGGTCGGGGTTTTGGCCTAAATTAATCGATTTATGAGATATATTATTTGACAGAGGTTATAATCAGATATGCCACCAAATCGCATATTTGGGGTTCATTTTTCAAAATTTTCCATCCTGGCTCCGCGGTCAGTAAAAGGGGCCGCCCCAATCCGCCCCTGTCTGTGTACATATTAGTGTGCACGTAAAAGAACCCTTGACAGTTGGAATTTCCCTTGTTGCACATTGCATGGTGTATGCCTGTCTCTATTCGCCCAGTTGGTGCATAAAAGTAGGATGTCAAACCCCATTTCATTTGTTAATTGAAATCAAAAGAATTTATATTTTGAGTTCATTCATATTTATATTGTGGAAACTTATTTTGATTGAAATGAGATGGGGTTTAACGTCCTACTGTTCTGCTTCGACTGGGCTAATGAAGACTACTATTTTGATAGTTCTGTAGGCCTCTATATAGTAAATAAAATATAAAGATTCTGCTTTTAAAATATTTAGATTAAAGTAACAACAATTGTTACTCTATTGATATATTATAAATTTTTGGGTCTTTCTTTATATTCAGAGGTGGAATGCAGCATGATGGTATAATAGGCAAGATCTAGACTCCATCAGCTACCAGTGTTTTTGATCAAGATGTTCACCAAAATTTTCAATATAAATAACATGATGTATATCCGTTGCTTGAGTACCATTACTTTATTTCAACGACAATTATGGGCCATTGGTATAAAGAGATGGCTTTATCATACATCTACTGTTAATCAAAGTGCCATATGGAAAGTATATAAAAACAGACCAAATTCTAAATACAGAGAAAGAGAAAAGGTTAATTTATCCAGTGCAAAACGGTTAAGTATCCAGTTGTTAAAAAGGCACAAGACAAAAGACTCATTTGATGACGGCAATGTTGATGATAATATTATAGGTACTATTACCAAGTTAGGCAGTGATTTTAGCCCCAAAAGACACCAACTACTGTTCAATCTTGAGTGTGAATTGGGCAAAAAGCTTGAAAAATCAGAAATAACAATCGAAACAGCTTTAAGAGTTGCTGAAGAGTTTCTACATGTAGAATATAGACAAACCAAGTTTTTGAGTTCTTTGTTCACATCTGTTGATCAAAATTTTTCTGCACAGATAACAAATCATGACATAGTCATAAAATTAATGTTTTATATATATTTACATGGATATGTCCCTAAGTCACTCATGTTGCAGGTAGAGGAATATTTAGAAGAAAAGTTGGATGAATTCAGTTTAAATGACATTGGAGTTGTATGTCTTGGATTTTTCCGAACTAAAACCAGGTTGAAATCACCAGTTCTGTTACAAAATATTGGAGATAAACTTTTATGCAACCTGAAGAAGGCACATGATAATGATTTGATTAATATTTTGAAATGCCTGAAATTTTCTGGGTATTTGAAAGTTGATTTTTTTGAAGATTTGTCAGAAAGATTAATTACCTGTAAAAGAATTGAACAAATAAGCAACCCACAAATACTAATGCATATTGCTTGTTTCTATGCTGGTAGTATTATTTCAGATGATGAACTTTTTGATAAGCTAATGAACCGTTTTCTACAGATGCTTCAAATTGATTTCAAGGTTAGATGTAAAGATATTGCTCGATTTATTTGGGCGTGTGGAATGGTACAGTACAAACCTGAAGAAAGAAGAAACTCTTATTTTGATATGATAGAATATTTTAAGGAATATGGTATAAAACCAAGAAGTCTGCTACAACAGGAATCGATTGTTGATCTTTTGATGGGTCTGGTATATCTAAAGATCTTTCCATATCATCTCTTTGAAAAGATTTTCAGCACTGATGTTTCTACAAAATTAATTTCAGGTGATTATTCAGCTATCCACTGAGTTTATTTGCTCCATTTATATCTGTAGCTACAATATCTTCCAAAAACCTACTTTAAAACATGAATGGGAAATAGACTACAGTGGGTCAGTGGCGGATTAAGACGCATGTGAAATCTGACACATGTAAGTAACGGGGAGGCCCCTGACAAACTCTTCCCACTCCTCCCATGAAAGGTTAAATTAAAGATAAATTATATTAAAGATAAATTACATAAAAAATATTGATTTATTTTTTGATTTGACACAATGTAGATTAAAAGGAAAAGTACAATCTCAAATCTCTGAATGCTTAAAAGGGCATTAGGTAAGATTAGATAAAGAACTGACAGTTCTCGCTAAAATAGTTAAAAAAATAGATAATGATAACAGAGTATGCTGAAAATTGCAGTCAAATTTTTTCACTCTGAACCAAGATATTAGTGATTTAATTTTAGGCTAGCCTTGATCATCATAACTACTGTTGCTACGATAATAAACAAGAGTCTCGATTATCCATTTTTACGTTAAATCATCCATCACAAACCATATTCAAATCCACTAAATATTGCAGGCTAACGATGGCATCGAAAGTTGATCATGGTCCTGATAAGTTACTTAATATCTAAATAATAATTAAGATAATATTTAAGGCGTAAAGAAGACCTGCAATAGTCAGATTTGGCACTTGCATAATGCATGTTTAATGGTTAGCAATGTATGTAAAATATCCAATTCTTGTTTAGTAAACTTCAATCAAATTAGTTTTTATGTGCCTAGTTAAATTTCTTTATTACTCGATCAGATGTTTATTTTATATAATTTACATAGTTATTAAAATAAAGTTTGTGTATCTTAGTGCTGTCTGCCGGTTAGTCACACAGTTCATTTATGCTTCAAGGTACGAAGAGCTAGTAATAGATCACCATTTTATGGAAAAGTGGTCGTATATCTCATTCGCCTTCACCCTTCTCTCCCTCCATCATCCACAACTTTCTTGTGAACACTCAACAGGCTACATTTATTATCTGATTATTTTGAAATTTTATGTGTTATTGACATTAGTGATATGAAGAAGCCTATTTAATTTCAACAATTTCTGTTAATTACTTCTAGAGTTATGGTCCTTGTTTCACATTGTAAAAGCTTGTTAATGACTTCTAGATTTATGGCCCTTTTTATACACCCACATTTTCATGTCGACATATATTGTCGTCACCCCTGTCCATCCGTCTGTCCAAAATTTGCTTGTGAACACTCTAGAGGTCACAATTTTCATCCGATTTTGTTGAAACTTGGAATTCGTGTTTATATCCCAAAGATCTTGGGCCCTTTCGATATTCGCGCATATCGGATCGTACCTTCCTGAATTATGGTACGAAAAATTGCGCTTTTAGCTTGTGGTCCCTCTAGAGGTCAAAATTTTTATCCGATTTAAAAAAACATTTTAGTATATCACTATTACACCCTAATGATAGTTAAGTTTGAATTTTGTGAAAATCGTACCAAAACTGTCAGACAAAATGGATGCCTTTGTACACAAATAGTGTAAACATCTGGTATATCAAGGTTGTGGACCACCTAGAGGTCACAATTATGATCCAATATTGATGAAACTTGAAATGTTAAATATATGTTTATAACCCAAATATCTTGGTTCCTTTTGATATTCTCGCATATAGAATCGTAACTTCCTTATACAGGTCACAATTTTTATCTGATTTAAAAAAAAAATGTGTGAATATATCACAGTTATACACTATTGATGGTTGAGTTCCAATTTCGTGGACTAAAACTGACGGACATAATGGCTGCCCCTTCTACGCAAATAGTGTAAAAATGTGGTATATCAAAGTTGTGGACCCGCTGGAGGCCACAGTTTTGATCTAATTTGGAAGAAATGTTAAATAAATGTTTTTATCATAAAGACCTGGTTCCTTTTGATAATCACACATATCCAAACATAACTTCCCGGATTATGGCCCCTAATTGGTCGAAAAATAGCATTTTTAGCTTGTGGATTCTCTAGAGGTCACAATTTTTTTTCTGATTTTAAAAACCATTTAGATATCACCATTCCACCATAATGAAGGTTGAATTCGAATTTCAGGAAAATCAAAATGAAACTGCCCGACAAGATGGCCGCTCTTTGTACACAAATTGTGTATAAGTATGTAATACAAAGTTTTTGGACCCTTTAGAGGTCACAATGTTTATCCGATTTTGATGAAACTGAAAACATATCTTTATATTCCAAAAATCTTACTCCCTGTCAATATATGCGCATTTCAGACCATAACTTTCTGGATTATGGCACCTGATTGTACAAAAAATCGTTTTTGTTTTTAGCTTGTGCTCTATCCATCTGTTGCAAAATGTGGGCGTATCCTACCAGGCAGCCACTGGTTCTACTGTGATCGCTTCAATGACAAAAGTTATCATCCTATATGTATTCAATTTTTACGCATTATTAAAATGGTAAAACAAATTTATATTCCTATTGAATTTCAGCAATAGCCGTTAATGACTTTGAGAGTTATGGCCCTTGTTTCACTTTGTTGAACCTTGCGAATGCTCTAGTCTAATGACAAAAGTTATCTTCCAATCTGTTTTAGATTAGCAATTTCTGTTAATAAATTCTAGAATTATGGCCCTTGATTAACTTTGTTGAATCTTGTGAACGCTCTGTCGACAAAAGTTATCATCCGATCTGGTTGAAATTGATATCAGTGTCCTGTAAAAGCTCCCGGTACAAAAGAATAACCCTTGTTAACTGCAACAAACTTGGTTAACTGCTTGGACGATTTAGCTGCTGTGGGCATGTTTCGTTGCCTGGCAGCCTATCTTATGTACATATGTTCACATCAAGAATCGGTTGATACAATTAATTAGCTGTTAAAATAATTATCTTTTTGGCTTAAGTTGACATGCTTTGTCGGAAAATCATAATGGGTTAATTACAATTAATGTTGTGGTCATTGGAATTTACTTGTGTGTAATTCATTAGTTTGTTTACATGTATGGTATATGTTTGTTTTAATTTCATATTACACAGGAAATGGGGTATTAGAGAAAAGATCACAGTTATATCTATTACACTGTACTATAGATATTGAGTGTCCTGATTATACAGGTGTAAGACTTAATTCTGTAAGTTACATTTTTGTAAATATCATCTATTGATCTTAGTAATCTTGTTTTAATCAGAGCACCAGTGTCCCGATTTGACTCTGTCCTTTTTGGATATAAATTGGGTCAATTTTGACAAACTGGAAAAGTTTTACGGATAGGACAAAAAAATTAGCCATATCTCGGTTATTTCTCAACGGATCTTGGTCGGATTTTCATTTTTGGAATCTTTGGATGAATCACATAGGGGCACTCACTGAAACGTTTTCAAAATTTGGAAGTTTGCTTGATTACTTTTAGAATCAAAGATTTGCGAAAGTTTTCTTCAGCATTTTTTCGATATTCAAGATGCCTTATCTGTCACTATTAAAGGTACCAAGTTGAAACTTGGTAGGAATAAGGAACACATTGATGCCTTCAAAATAGCATATTAAAATTTTTTGTGACTGTTTCCGAAAACTTCCAGTAACTACCGAGGACTTCTGATTTTTTCCGAATATGAATAGATCTCTCCATTTTATAAATAGACTAAAAATGAGACATTTTGGTGTTAGCCCCAGATATTATCTTTCATTTTCAGAGACCTTGTTCCATAACATTTTCAACCATTTGGCTGCCATTTTGGATTTTACAAAAAGCCTTCAAATCAATATTAAGCTGTCATTTTGATTCCGATTTTCGAAAACATTTTTTTGTTTTGAACCTACTCCAAATGGCAACAATTCTTAGGGAGCCAATTTTGATTTTCTTTACCTCCGATTCACTTTGAAGGTTGTTCGACTTTTCACCTTCTAGATGGTGACCTAATCTTTCCATGACCCTTGACCTTTGTATGTATGGCGAGCCTTATATCTTCTAGCAATTAATATGAAAATGTTCGGTCATGAAGTATAACTTCCGGTTTTATTAAGAGTTCAAAATGACAAGTTCTTCCACTTTAATAGGTATTGGATGTTACTATAGTCAATAATACATGGTGTCACTTGATTATTGACGTGTCAAGGCGTGACCTGACGTACTAAAACACGTCAGTACTCCTTTGGAGTTCTAGATTTGTTACATGAAAAAGCATATTTAGCCATGACAAATTTTGTTAGTAAACACTATACTTTCATGTATACAGATACAATACCATATTCAACAGATCTAATAATACTAACTAAAAAAACAGTACTGTATTTTATTTTGCAGAACAAAAATGTGTATTGAAACTAATGGGACTGGTGATAGATAGCGTTTAACACATTAATTTCTGGATTGCATTAATTTCTTGTTTTACAGTAATTTCTTGTTTTACAGTAATATTTTCACTTTAACATAATACATCAAACAGTTATTTTAATAATTTGTTCAAAGCCGTTTGCATAGGGGAACACAAATCAATTTAATAATAGAATTGCAATAGGGCCTAAATTTGATTGTTAGAACAGACTGTGAATTTCACATGATATAAATCTTTTTTAGTAGGCGTGGATTTAGTGTATAAGACTGAAGTTAAATGGAATTTTAATACTACTTATATAATCATGACAAATAATGAGTTATATCTTTCTCCAAAGGATTTAGTACATGCAGTTCACAAATCTCAGGCTTCATATTTGGAGAAAGATATACAGAATGTTTATAAAACAGTAGTAGAAGATATATATGGAACACTACAAGACATGTTCGGAAAAAGTAATATTAAACACTATAGAATATTGCCTCACTTTAATACGAAAGGTAAATATGTTTATATCAGTAGTCAGTTCTATTAATGATTGCAAAATTGGTTTCAAGTGTTAGTTTAATACTTAGTTGATTGAAATTTATCATTCACTAATTCTTTTGAATATGTAAGCCAAATACTTAAAAAAAATACCCTGTGAAAGTAACTAAATTTTATATTTTTTATCTGATTTTATTAATGAAACTTTGTACATTGCTTTGTATCAATCATATCTCAGATGAGTTAGAATTATTTATGATTTTTGAACAAAATTATTTGGTATTAATGTTGTAACTGCCCGCTCAAATTCCAGCCATAATTTCCTAACTAATAACAGTGTCAAATCTGTGATGTTTCATATAATACCTCAAAACATGAAAGTTAAGGATACAAAGGGTTATGTGAGGAGGCTAATCAAAATATTTAATTGATGTTTATGTTATATTTAGATATAGAGTTGCATTTTGACGAAAATGATTTTGTGATGCCATTAAAACAACAACCATATAATCCAATACTGCCATCAGTTTCTGTTAATAATGATGTAAAAGATAACAGTGCAGTTTGTAAAAGGTAAAATTTATAAAATTTATTTACTATCTGTTTGTCTTCAACAAAATAGTGGAGAGTGTATATTATAATACAATTTATCACCCGATAAAATATTCTAGGAGATATCTCTTTGGCTTATTTTAGTTCAGCTTATTTTTAGTCGGTGAAACTCTGATTATAAGAAGACTAATAAGAGTGCTTAAAGATACATCCCCACAAAAGTATTTATAGGGTAGTTATTTCCAATAAAAGTATGGCAAATTTGGTATAAATGAAAATTAGAGACACCCAATTTGACTAGAAAAATACTGGATTCCCTGAAAAACACTCATGAGGCAAGCACTAGGCAAAAATGTCAGAGTATCACTAAATGGCAACCTGATGGCTTATTTTTTGATTGAATGGTTAGGCAGTTTTGGGAACATTGAAGGCTTTAAACGTACAACAGACTCTGCAATTAAACGGCCGAAAAAGAAGTTGGCAAGATAATCCAAGAATTTACTTAGACTTCAATATGTATGGCAATTGGACAATAAGTAACGACAAATACATTCTGAAAATGGGCCCTCCCTCAATCAAGTTTCATGACAAACATGGCTTCTAAAAATAGATTTTTATACGCACACATTTTCATGTTGACGCATTATGTCTTCACCCCTGTCCGTCTGTCCACAGTTTGTTTGTGGACGCTCTACGAAAATCGGACCAAAAGTGCCAGACAAAATTCCCGCCCCCTGTACGCAAATAGTGTAAAAATATGGTATATCAGGATTGTGGACCCTCAAGAGGCCACAATTTTTATCCGATTTTGATGAAACTTTAAATATATGTTTATATCACAAAGGTCTTGGTTCCTTTCAATAAATGCGCACATCCAAACATAAATTCCTGGATTATGGCCCCTGATTTTTCGAAAAATCACATTTTTAGCTTGTGGACCCACGAGAATTCACAATTTTTATTCGATTTTAAAAAACGTTTATATATATCACTGTTATGCATCAATGCACTCTGAGTTTGAATTTTTTAAAAATCTGACCAAAACTGCTAGACAAAATGGCCGCTCCTTGTACGCAAATAGTGTAAAAGTATGTAAAACCAAGGTTCTGGACACTCTAGAAGTCACAATTTTTATCCAATTTTGATGAAACTTGAAATGTATGTTTATAATCCAAAGATCGTGGTTCCATTTGATATTTGCGCATATCGTACAGTAACTTCCTGCATATTCTGCTCAGGTTAAGCAGAGTGGTAAGTAGTTTTATTGCACAATGCTTTACAAAAAGATAAATGATTAATGAATGTCATTTATTTATTTTGGGATTGTGGGGGACAGCAGCTTCACTGAAGTCTTGTTTACTAAGTTAAGGCCCGTAATTGGTTGACTTAAAATCCATAAAAATACTGTTTTCCAGAAATAATGTGTACCAGTAGTACTAAATTTAGAACACAGCTTCAGATAATAGTGTTGTAATATAATTTGTTTGTGTGTTTCAGAGTTTTGATTGAAGTACTGGGGAGGAATCAGATGTTAGCTAACAGTACTAAATTTACTGGTCATTATAAAACAAAGTTCAGACAGTTAAAAAAATTAGGTTACCAAATTCTTCTGGTAAGAATTATATGTATAAGATAAGCATGTTCTAAAGATTTACATTTTTTTTTTCATATATATATATTTACTAAGATGCAATCAAAAATCACCACAGGTTAATATAATGCAGCTGAAATGTGAGTTTTATATACCCACACTGTGAATGCTCTAGGGGCTAAAGATGTCATCTGATTACTGTACATGTTTTGTGTAATAATTGTTATCATTTCTGATGATTACTTCAGAGGTTGCTACTTTTGATCAGTTTTTAGTGTCTTGTAAATTACCTACCTAAATATGCAACAACCCTTAACGGCTGTGGTTGTATGTTTAGATGCCCTGCAACCTATCTTAAGTGATTTTGCAAAAGTAGTTCCAGAGTGGTTGATCCTGAATGATTGTTGATAAAGGTACTATAATGTAGCTAGACTCACCGTCTCCTTTGGTTTTCAGGAATAGCTAATATTGAGCTTAAGATAACCTCAACAATTTAGAGGAACTTCCAAAGTTATTAACCCTGACTTGTTGATTATAGAATATTACCAATATTCACAAAATTTCCAGATCCTTGTGAACATATCAATGATATGTAGCATAGTTTGTATCACTAGCCATCTTCCTGACATTTTCAGAATTCTTGTATCTGCACTTTATCTGTTATATTTTTATTTTTAACAGATTTTAGCAGATGATGGGTGGATGTTAGTAAATATGTCAACAGAAGAGAGACAAAAATATATTAGCAGGAGGTTTAAAGAGGACCTAAATATAGACATTACAAGTGCTACTAAATCTATACACGAAAGAACTAAAACTGTGTGATATAAATTTGTACACAGTATTGTGATACGTTTTATTCCAATAATAAATGATAAATTTGAAATAGAATAAAATGATATTTAACATCTAATCAGCTTGCTACATTTGAGATTAACATATGGTTAATGTGTGCAATATCAAGAGAATAGAAATCTGGATCACAGTGACTAAGTGGGTAAGACACTGGCTCGCTAGGCTGGAGGTCGGGTGTTCGATCCCTGCATTGGCCGAGAAAGTTCATCAAGATTTACTGGTGTGGTTTTTCCTTATTAGGGATGCAGGACGGAGGGCCTGACAAGGACAGATGTCTAGTCGTTTGGATGGGAAGAAAAAACGAGGTCCCGTGTACACATTGGCATGCACGTAAAAGATCCCTTGACAGTTGGAATTCAATATAAGAGTATGCCGTAAAGCCGCTGTCTGGGCAAAATTGCCCTCATAGCACACTGCCCTCATAGCCCAGTTCCAAGCAGAACAGTAGGATGTTAAATCCCATTTCATTTTATTTCATGTCATTAATTAAAGATATATTATGGGAGATTAGATAAAGAGCTGGCAGTTCTCACTTTAAATTAAAAAACTACATAATGTAAAGGGAATTTGGTGCTGAAAATTTCAGTCAAACTGATCCACTCTGAACCGAGATTTTAGCGATTGAATTTTGGATCTAGCCTCGATCATCATTACTACAGTCGGTACGATAAAAAACAGTCTCGATTATCCATTTCTTGATTTAATTATCAATGAGCGTTAAGCAGCAGATAGGATTCTAATCCAGAAAATATCGCAGGCAAGCGATGATATCGAGAGTTGATTATGGTCTGGATAAGTTAATCCAGAAAATATCGCAGGCAAGCGATGATATCGAGAGTTGATTATGGTCTGGATAACTTAATTAATGTCTAATTAATAATTTAGATAACATTTCAGGCCTAAAGAAAGATGTGCAATTGGCAGATTTAGCTCTTGCTGAGTTGCATAATGTATGTTTAAGACACATAGTAAATCATTCTTTTCAAAATACTTGATCTATATCAGTCATCTAACCATCTATAGTATAGACAATATGAACCACCCAAGTTAATGTCTTTAGTGGAAAAAATAGATAAAATCTGAAAGATAATGAATGAAATGTTACACAATCACTATGGTTTGGACCACAAGTATGATGGTAACAAGAAAAACATGTTAAATAAATGACAGATTAGAGTAGAAAAACATTGTGAATTGAAAAACAGATTTTAATATCACTGTATGAATCACCCCTAAGTCATACAAAAGTATCTACTTTGATTGTATTCCACCACTTTGAGGGAGATTTATAACAGAACATACATGTACAACACAATAAATTACTGTTGTTAAACTCTTAGTTATGCCATAGCCTATTAAATGAATATTGAGATGTGATGGTAATTATTCCCCCGATAGGGAACTCAGTGAGAAGACGTTACCAATGTTTGCTGTAAAAGTTACTCTGGATTTTCTGGCATGGTACAGGACAAAGGGCCTGGTAAGAAACAACGCCTTAGTTGTGTGGGATGGGATGAAAAAACGATGGCCCTGGTATAGACATAGTCAGTTGGTGTTCAAAATACGTGTGGGGGTGTAAGTACTCGTGGGGCAGAACAGTAGGATATTTTCCTTTTCCCTATTTTGCATGGCAGACTTTATTGACCTTTTGGTCCAGAATCAACATTTCATGCTAGGTTTTGGTGAATTATCATGGTTTTTAGGCAGACGGGTAAATAGACGTGAATTGTGAATATCACCTGTTAGTTGGGTTAGAAGTCCATCTGTAGGCCTATCTATTTAGTGCACAAGAATTACTAGGTTGAGTTAGAATGTGTTGTAAATTCTGCTCCATAATTATCCCCTTCGTTATTTTTATCAGATAATTATGACATGTTGGGCTTTTTTGGGTTCTAAAGATTAAGATCATAAAAAATGTTATCGGCTAAGAAATAGCAAAGATTTAAAGGCTCAATACCACTCTTGTTGTAACTGAATAATATGTCCCAATCTTTATTCTGGTCAACAAATTGCACTATTTTACAATAGGCCTATTCCAATTAATTGATGATACAAATTTCATCTTAACACACCTAATTTAAAAAATTGGAAAAATTCAACTAAATGATTTGAAAAGCCTGAGCGTGGATTGTATCAGTACAGTTCTATGGCCTGACGTAAAGCTTTTAGAATGTGACTTGGATTTAAAAATATTTTTGAACCCTCTGGACAAGTAAAATAGGATTTAATGGATAATTTACACAACAGGTAGGACACTAACACATCTAGTACTTAGAGTAAGGCTATTTTTTATTTTCTGGAGCTGTCAAGTCAGCAAGAGTGTTATTGTCCCTTTAACATTAAAATCAATGTTCAGAGCCGGTCTGAACCCTGATTCTTAATGCCTTGTCACTATTGGCTTGTTAAAAGAGACTACATTTTTCAGAGTTATCCCATTCCTCACGATTGCTTTTATTTTTTACTTTCGCCCGCTGTACAAATGTAGGTATGGGAATGGCATCGTCTAAAGTAGCAGCAGTTTCACGATCTTTTCAGGTATAACTTAATTATGAATGGAAAATATTTTCTGTTAAAATAATTTATTGATCAATTAATTATATTACATGTTCTGCAAACAACAATCAGTGTGATTCTCTGACACTAACGTAACACAGCTGAACTTTCTGAAGGACAAATATCAGTTACTTTAGTAATGAATTCTTATCGGCCCTGCTAGAAATCGTTACTAAAGTAACTACTGATGGTGCAGACTAACAGTGGCATAACAATGTTTTGAACAGAAACATAAATCTTGAAAAAAAAACCCCAAAACAATGGGAGCACATAAAAATTAATTATAAATGGGTGTAAGCTATGCTATGCACAATACAGGGTTTATAGTTTAAATTATAGTAGATCTAAATAGATTACAAAAAGTAAATCCATCCTTGAAAAATATCAACAGACACACTTGATTGAGAAAAATGAAGGTATTGAAAGCCCTCCAATATAATGGTGGATGGCCGAATGGTTAGCATGTGCATGCTCATAAGGTCTGTCATTGAGTCAACTAGCGTGGTTTCGATTCCCTGTTTGTACGTGACAATTAGGAGTAGGGTTGCCTGTCCAGCCTCGTGGGTTTTCTCCAGGTCCTCTGGTTTCCTCCCATTGCTAAAGACCCCTTTAGCAACGCACAAGTGAATTTTTGAAATAAAATTGAACCATGTGTTAGTCCCAAAATGACCTAGTTTGTGTCAAGTGCACGTTAAACCCCATTTCTCTCTCATCCTCTCCATCGAATATCTGATCAATTTCTAGTTATGAAGATTTGCCAAAAACATTTTTTGGTCTCTCAGTCTCTGCTAAGAGAACAATCTTCGAACTGTTGACCAGAAGTAGTTTATTGTCTATCCACTTAAAAAGTTTACTACAAAACTGATTTATTCCATACAAATAACGTGTGTATGAGTCAACTATTACTAGTATTAGAAATACTGGTGACCAATACTTTGTGGACGACTTAACCAATGGTTTTGGACGACTTAACTGAGGACGAGTTTACATGTGGACAACTTAACTGGCACCCGGTAGGGTAATCAAACCACTCGGGACCAAAGCCCACTCGGACAAAGACTGGTTGGAGCAACCAAAATACCGGTCGTACCAGTTGATAGTAAGACGACTCCGACCAAGACAGAAGACTACTTTGCTTTACTAAATCGCTTCATAATTAAAATAAAAGACTACTTCGACTGTTTTATCAGATTAATATTGTGAAATGGAATAATTGCAATCAGATGAAAGGAAAATTAACACAAAAGTCGAATCAGTTTATAATAAACTGAAAACGATTTTATAAATATAACACGCACAAGTGGTCTTCTGTCTTGGTCTGAGTGGCCTATCAACTGGTCCGACTGGTCTTGGTCCAAGCGGTCTTTGGTCTGAATTGTCATGCATTCCGGAACATTCCCGTAGGCCCTACATGATTATATGTTCATGCATAAGTTCTAGTATACTCATATACCATATTCTCAAAAACTGACAACTGTCTAAATATAAGGCAGCTGGTTTAACATCATAAAATTCAGTGCTGTAAAACAATGTCGGCATCACTACACAGTATGTAAATGTTAAAACAGTGATTCAAGTATAGTTATGTTTAAAGCTAAATGATTGTATAATTTATTGTGTTTTATGCCTTTCATCAACCCCAAAATGTGTCGAAAATGGGTGCACTGTAGGGGCAACTATTCCAAATAAACCCTTGCATTGTCGCAGCCATGCTACTTATCCCAGGACAAAGTTTCATGCCTTAATTGGCTCTCTGCTTGTTATTTTAGGCTATGAAGCCTCACATACCTTCAATTAAGTTTCCAAACAGGGAAAAAGGACTAAACTCAGGTGAGCAATAGCTGAATTATGATTAGAAATATTTTGTGCTTTATTTTATAAAAGAATCACTACTGGGCTAAATGACTGCTCATAAACATCACACTTCAAAGCACTACATTTATCAAAATCATGTTTGTGATTGTACGGTTTACCAGTATCATTTATGATTGTCAGTAACATTTACCAGGGTTGCATATTTGATAATTAGGGGGCGGGGGTAATTAATGAAACCATTTCTAAATTCTATTTATTATTTTTAAAAATAAAAACAAGTTATGTCACATTATGTGTATCTTTTTAAGTGGTATGGGAGTATCAAAACCAGAATTTTTTTTTTTTTTTTTTACATGGCCTTATTACCATAATGAACCTACCTGAGTTAATTTTATTTTCCATACATTAATTCATTTTAGGTGTGGAGTTTGTTCCGTCTGCTGTTTCGTTAAGTTCACCAACTAATTCAAGTAGTTCTAGTAAGTCGATAGGAAGTTCAGCAAGAGGTTCAGGTATAGAATATGATCAGTTACCAAGTAAATATCACAGAAAACTTATAACACCAGATGAAATGGAGTATATAGAGGTAAATATTTTACAATTATATATCTAATCTGGTCATGAGAAGATCAGTTGAACTGTCTTCATTACCCCAGTTGGAGCAGAAAAGTTCATTTCAGATCTGTTGAGTTTAGCTAATCAAGGTGGTTCCATGTAATGACAATGGTTGGCTATCGTACATTTCCCAAGAGTGTGACCATTTAATCAAGAGCTTTAAAGAACCATATAAAGGAAAAATGGTTCCTGTTGTTCATAAACGAATTGCCTTTTTTTTAAAATTTTCCCTGTATCCAAGCAGTACTGTAATACAAGCAGTACTTCATGGTTGCAGGGCCCTCCATAGATGTTCACCATCTCACTTGTATTTAGTTATTTCTAGAGTTATGACCCATTTTCACTTTGTAAAATCCTGTGAGTTAGTGTTCTGGTGACAATTTATTGTCTGTTTGTTCAAATTAGTAAAACAGAGAAATCTATTGATTTTCAACAATTTCCATTATCTACTTCTACGAGTTATATTTCCATGTTTCACTTTGTAGAATCATATGCTTTAATGACAAAAGTTGTCATCAAATCAGTTTTAAGCGAAGAATTCATTAAATGTCAACAATTTATGATAATCGCCATGTGTATAGAGTTGTTGCCCTTGATTATGTCATAGAACTCGATCATTACAGTATAAAGATTTAGCTTTTTATTTACAAACTGCCAACCTTTGTGGACTGCTCAGATAATTTAGCTTCTGTGGGTGTATGTTTTGTTTGGCAACCTATTGTTCTGTGTTACCCTATGTATTTTGAATGTGATTTAATTTCAGAAAGGTGGACCGGTGTAGAATGGTATTATCTTAGGAAAATTGAAATAAAGGGCTTTGTAAAGAACATTTGAAAAGGCTGAATCAATAATTCATTTACATCATCTATTCATCTTTGATGTAGACTCCAAGCTATGTGACCGACATTTGTGTATGTTCTGTGAAGACACAAAATTTGAAAGAGGGAAAATAGAAGTAACCAAGATTTTCATTGTCAATCAAAGAATGATGTGATCAATCAAACACATGTAAAGCTAACGAAATAGTGGGTGCACTATTTAGAAGGAACATTTTGGTGTTAAAAATATGTCAATTTAAAATACAGATTCTATGTATAGTCCTGTTTAAAATATTAAAAGAACTATGAAGAATTGCCTTCTTATTAATGCCATAAATACTCTCATAGAATTATTATATTTCGTAGTTAAGACTACAACAGGGGACTATGAAGATGGATCTGTTCGTCACACTTTTTGGGACACAATAACTCTCCTAATTGAGCTAGAATGTTCAAGCTTGGTGTAGTTGTTTATTGGGTGAATGCCTTGTTGAAGCTCGAAGATGAACATTTTGTGCTTAGGCTAAGCAGTAATAAGCTATTTGATTGGTTGATGCTTAAGGACACGAAAACTTTGGTTTTAATAAAGTGAGAGTGATGAAACTTGGTGTATAGTTTCATTACATCAATACCTTGGCATTTACTGCTCAGGGTAAGCAGAGCGATAAGTATTTTGATTGGTTAAGACTTCAGAGCTAGATAACATTGATCCTTATTGAGCGAGAGCGGTGAAACTTGGTGTTTAGTTTCATTACATCAGTACCTTGATTAAGTTTGATGATGAACAATTTTTTGCTTAGGCTAAGTAGAGACTTCAATCTGATTGGTTGAGACTTTGGAACACAATAACTCTCCGTCTAATTGAGGTAGAATGCTCAAACTTGGCGTAGGTGTCTATTACTGTCTGAGTCTTGGTAAATTTTAAACGGATTTCTTCGATTATGAACAAACTACTTAACTTTGGTTATTATAAACTTACCTGTGTGTTTGTAATGAACTCCCGTTCGATAAAATCCATTGCACAACTAATTATCACAACGATGAAAACAAGTTCTCTCTTGAAAAATTGAAATATCACAAACTTTTCCCAGAGAAAAATACCAATATGGAAGATGGTTACGTCACTCTGCGGAAGATATCATTTCGTATTAGGGGTGACAGCATAGGAAATTCAAGTACAATTACGACAAGAATCCATGACCACTCGGACCGAAGACCACTCGGTTCAAGACCAGTCGGACCAACTGATAGACCACTCAGCCCAAACAAATAGACTACCCGGACCATACAAAAAGACTATTCGGACCCAACAGAAAGACGACTCGGACCAATAATAAAGTGTTGTTTTAATAAATTGATAATTGCGTTTGTTTTAAAGGGACAATAACACTCTTGCTGGCTTGAAAGCTCCAGAAAATAAATAATATCTCTATCTAAGTACTAGATGTTTAAGTGTCCTACCTGTTGTGTAAATTATCCATTACATCCTATTTTACTTGTCCAGAGGGTTCGAAAATATTTTTAAATCGAAGTTTCATTTGAAAAGGTTTATGTTAGACGTTTCAAACCATTATGTTGAATATTTCAAAATTTTTAAATGAGGTGTGTTAAGATGAAATTTGTATCATCAATTAATTGAAATATTCTAAAATAGTACAATTTGTTGACCAGAATAAAGATTGGGACATATTATTCAGTTACAACAAGAGTGGTATTGAGCCTTTAATATGAATACTCGAACCAATAATAAAGTGTTATTTTAATAAATTGATAATTGTGTTTATTTTAATATGACTACTCGAACCAATAATAAAGTGTTATTTGAATAAATTGCTAATTGTGTGTGTTTTAATATGACTACTCGAACTAATAATAACGTGTTGTTTGAATAAATTGATAATTGTATTCCAAATCGCAAAATATCGAGAACCACACTTGTAGTCACGTTTAAAAAGGGACATATAAACGTCCGGTCTTCGTATTATTATGTGCTGTTTATATTAACGCATCAAGGGCGGATAACTTGAAAACGTGTCTCTCTCCCCCCCCCCCCCATATATAGTAACCCAGGGGTTAGTGGGGTAGAACGGAATGAAACCACTGGGGATACCGCGAATGTGGAAAAAGTAAAATTAGGCTATCAGACAAGAACAGTATACCCGTATATGTAGAAACTGTCAAAAGTCTGGACATACCGAGTCTCATTGCAAGAGTAAATAAGAAAAATTAGATTGATATTTTTTTTGGCACCATTATTAATTAATTTTAAAACTAATCGTTGATTTATTTTCCGTACACAAAACTGAACTAAACAACTCTAAATATAAGAATTCCGTATAAGAATTATTTGCTTCTTTGTATTGTGATTTAATAATAAATAAATAGCATATTGTCTAGCCTTATAATATAATTTAATTGGTCCGACTGGTCTTGTTTTGGTCCGACTGGTCTTAGTCTGAGTAGTCTTTAGTCCGAGTAGTCTGGATACCTACAACAATTGGCATTGAGTTTGAGCGTTCGCACACATAACTACCCGCATTCCTGTATTTAGTTACCGTCTTTTACATTCTAGTAAAATCTCTGCAAATTTTTTAGCTTTACTTTTTGAAATATTTTGTTCTAATTATTTGATTAGCGACTCGGATGGGATTATTTACTTTTGAACACGCATGCCGCACAAACACAACTATACATTCGTTTTACGGGCTTTATCACCCTTCGGTCAAAACTGTCGAATCGAGAATTAATGTTCCGCTTCTTACGGGGTCATACGGGCTTAGTAGCATTATATACCATTATGTTACTGAAGCGGTTATTATTCGATCGAAAGAATGCGTATAAAATTAAAAATACACTCAGAGAATTCGGAGGTAAGCTTCATGATCCTTGTTAAATTATTTATAACATAAAGAAGTATAATAACAGACAGCTTTATGGATGACATTCACTAGGTTTATTAACTGCAACGTTTCAATGAGGTTACTCTCACCGTTATCAAGCAATGATAACGGTGAGAGTAACCTCATTGAAACGTTGCAGTTAATAAACCTAGTGGTATCATTGCTTGATAACGGTGAGAGTAACCTCATTGAAACGTTGCAGTTAATAAACCTAGTGAATGTCATCCATAAACTGTCTGTTATTATATATCACTTTCACTAAATGCCTTTCAAAGACAACATAAAGAAGATAGGATATTTATAGTTTATACATGACTTTATTTTTACGAGTATCCGTGCAATCAATGATATTTTAATTGTGAAGAAAATTTGATAGACTGGCGATCAATGGTTTCCATATAAATCTCCTATGTAATTGCCTTCAATTGATATTTTTCTTCGCCCAAACCCATATACGATCAAAATGATCGCGCTGTCAAACTATCTTTCAATGTTAACCAACCCCCGCAACAGGTATATTGGAATCGACCAATACGTCACGAAGACATTGTTGACATCGACTCTGTTGAAATTACAAGTAAATTTTCAAATTTTTCAAGAGAGAACTTGTTCTCATCGTTGTGATAATTAGTTGTGCAATGGATTTTATCGAACGGGAGTTCATTACAAACACACAGGTAAGTTTATAATAACCAAAGTTAAGTAGTTTGTTCATAATCGAAGAAATCCGTTTAAAATTTACGATGGTTCACACAGTAGGTGAATTTCCACTAAGGCAAAGCAGAGATGAGGTATTTGATTGGTTGAAACTTTGGAACATGTAAACTTTGGTTCTGATTGAGTGAAAGTGTTAAAACTCAGAGTATAGATTCATGATATCAATACCTTGACTAAGTTCCATGATGAGAATTTTCTGCTCAAGTGATAAGCAATTTGATTGGTCAAGACTTTTAATTGAGATAGAATGGTTATACTTGCAGGGGCGGATCCACATATTTTTGTAGGAGGGGGTTTGCCAGGTTCCTGAGACAATGTATCTCTCCCCCCCCCCCCCTGCATTGCCTCTATCGTCATTTTGGCATATATACATACACATTGAGCTTTTTAAACAGAGAAATTCAACATCTTGTTTGATGTCAATTTTTATTATGAATTAATACAATGACATTGTGATTCAATTTCATGGATGCAAAGCATCAATTGTGATATCACAAAATGTCTATATCATTATCTCCTCGAGAAACTTTTCTCATAAAAAATTTTGATTTACACAAATTTTTATCTAGCTGTCGTTTTCTGCTTAAACTAAGAATAGATTATTAATGTGTCATCTATTTATTTTGGGATTGCGGCGGGGGGTATGACATCAGCCTCACTGTTGGCTTGTTATCTCATGGTTCTGTGTAGATGTTATTTTTAAATACACCTAAGTATTGTTTGTTAAAATTAATTATTTTCAGAGAATTATACTTAAGAGATGATTAAATTAAATTTTTACTTGTCTTAGCGATTAAGAAAAGGCTCTGCCAAGACAAGTAAAAATTGAAGTAGATATGCTGAACAGGGTTTTTATTGACACAGATTCAACAAATCCTTAGACGTGTTGATTAATATATTTGGAGTTTATTTTATTTATTGTATTATAAATGTGTTTCATGAAATTAATAAACTGATTTGTGAGAGTTGTTTTTCCGTCCAAAGACAGGTGGGGGGTTGGATGGCCGAATGGTTAGCACGTGCGTGCTGTATCATAAAGCCTGTCATTGAGTCAACTGGCGTGGTTTCGAATCCCCGGTTGTATGTGACAAGGAGTAGGGTCGCCTGTCCAACCTCATGGGTTTTCTCCGGGTGCTCCGGTTTCCTCCCACTGCTAAAGACCCCTACGCACAAGTGAATTATTGAAATAAAATTAAACCCAAAATGACCTAGTTTATGTCAAGTGGACGTTAAACCCCATTTCTCTCTCCAAAGACAGGTCCACCTGTCTACAATTCTGTGGTTGAATGCACGAATTGAAAAAGGTTATCCAAAATAAGATATTATGGGGAACAACTTTCACATTTGCTTCCTTCCTTAAAGATCATGAGCATTTTCTTGATATGGTTGCCCTGGACAGTTGACAATGAATGGCAGTGTAATCGATTACAGCATGCGCTAACCATGCACCCATCCAACCCCCCTACTAGTACAGGAGGTGATTAGTCATGGCCATGTGATGGGACAGTCCCATGTGCACTACCAGTTTAATTAGCCCATAGAAATAAAATTTAGTTTTCGCACAATACTTAACGAAAAGGGGACACATTTTCTTTATAAGACACTTCCAGGAACTGGGGTAAATTATTTATGTGCTGTAATTTCGTACAGTCAAGGGCCATAATTCAGGAAGTTACGATCCGATATGCGCAACTATCAAAAGGAACCAAGATCTTTGGGTTATAAACATGTATTACAAGGTTCATCAAAATCAGTTCAAAAGCTAAAAAAATGTGATTTTTCATACAATCAGAAGCCATAATTCTGGAAGTTACAGTCCGATATGCGTGAATATCGAAAGGTAGCAAGATCTTTGGGTTATAAACTTACATTTCAAATTTCAACAAAATCAGATAAAAATTGGGACCTCTATAGGGTCACAATCTAAAAACGCGATTTTTCGTACAATCAGGGGTCATAATCCATGAAGTTACGTTCCGATACATGCCAATATCGAAAGGAACCGAGATCTTGGAGAAATAAACCTATATTTCAAGTTAAATCAGAAGGAAATTGTGACCTCTAAAGAGTCCACAACCTTGATATATCATATTTTTATACGCCCACATTTTCATGTGGACGTATTATGCCGTCGCCCTTGTCCGTCCGTCCGGACGTCAGTCCACAATTTGTTTGTGGACACTCTACAGGTCACAATTCTTATCCGATTTTAACGAAACTTGAAATATAGGTGTATCTCCAAAAGATCTCGGCTGCTTTCGATATTGGCATGTATCGAATCGAAACTTCATGGATTATGGCCCCTGTTTGTACGAAAAATCACGTTTTTAGCTTGTGGACACTATAGAGGTCACAATTTTTATCCGATTTTGTTGAAACTTGAAATGTAAGTTGATAACCCGAAGATCTCGGTTCCTTTCGATATTAGCGCATATCGGACCGTAACTTCCTGAATTATGACCCCTGATTGTACGAAAAATCACGTTTTTAGCTTGTGGACCCTATAGAGGTCACAATTTTTATCCGATTTTGTTGAAACTTGAAATATACATTTATAACCCAAAGATCTTGGTTCCTTTCGATAATCGCACATATTGGATCGTAACTTCCCGAATTATGGCCCCTGATTGTAACTTGTGGACCCCATACAGGTCATAATTTTAATCCGATTTAAAAAAAAACAAAACATTTTAGTATATCATCGTTACACCCTAAGAGGGGTTGAGTTCGAATTTCGTGAAAATCGGTCCAAAACGGCCGTCCCTCGTTCTCAAATAGCGTAAAAATATGGTATATCAAGGTTGTGGACCCTATAGAGGTCACAATTTTTATCCGATTTTGTTGAAACTTGAAATGTAAGTTTATAATCCAAAGATCTTGGTTCCTTTCGATATCGTGCATATCGGACCGTAACTTCCTGAATTATGGCCCCTGATTGTAAGAAAAATCGCTTTCTTTTTAGCTTGTTCTCTCTCTATCCATCTCTCGAAAATGTGGGCGTATCCTGCCTGGCAGCCGCTGGTTATGCTATTTAGAGGGGGCGGCTATTTTGTCTAAGTTTTGGTTCGATTTTTACGAAATTCGAACTCAACCATACTTAGGGTGTAACTGATATATTGAAACGTTTTTTTAAATCGCATAAAAATTATGATTGCTATAGGGTCCACAAGCTAAAAACGCGATTTTTCGTACAATCAGGGCCATAATTCATGAAGTTACGATCCGATATGCGCAAATATCGAAAGGAACCGAGATCTTTGAGTTATAAACTTATATTTCAAGTTTCAACAAAATCTGATAAAAATTATGACCTCTAGAGGATCCACAACTTGATATACCATATTTTTTACGCTATTTGAGAACGAGGGACGGCCGTTTTGGACCGATTTTCATAAATTCGAACTCAACCCCTCTTAGGGTGTAACGATGATATACTAAAATGTTTTGTTTTTTTTTAAATCGGATTAAAATTATGACCTGTATGGGGTCCACAAGTTACAATCAGGGGCCATAATTCGGGAAGTTACGATTCAATATGTGCGATTATCGAAAGGAACCAAGATCTTTGGGTTATAAATGTATATTTCAAGTTTCAACAAAATCGGATAAAAATTGTGACCTCTATAGGGTCCACAAGCTAAAAACGTGATTTTTCGTACAATCAGGGGTCATAATCCATGAAGTTTCGGTCCGATACATGCCAATATCGAAAGCAGCTGCGATTTTTTGGAGATAAACCTATATTTCAAGTTTCGTCAAAATCAGATAAGAATTGTGACCTGTAGAGTGTCCACAAACAATTGTGGACGGACAGGGGCGACGGCAATACACGTCCACATGAAAATGTGGGCTATAAAAATGGGTCATACATACTTTTTAAGCGACATGGGATTATCTGCGAACTAGAATATTTTTGTTTTACGTGTAGTGCGGTCCTCCTGCACTTACTATTAGGGTAATGCTAAGGATGAAGGTCTGGATTAGATGGTGGCACTAAAGATCACAATATGCGAGTATGTATTTTAAGTTGTGTGGCCTCATAAACAGTAAAAACCCAAAGTTTTTTTTTGATCATTCACCTGCTGTTTTGGATCTCATCTGTTGACAAAATAACTGAATTACTGGATATAAATTGATGTCTTTATTTGAATGGGGAAAACAATGACACATAGGTCTTTAAAACAACCAGAAATGCTTGATCTTGCATAATTTACATGACATAAATAAATATCCACCAAAATAAAGATCAGTTATGTATCTTTACACATGTTTTTATGTATGCTATTTTTTCATACTTTCTTCTTAAATACCCCAATTATGATACAGAATAACAGGAATATTTACAACTTTGAATTATAAATTTTCTACCTTGACAAACTTAAGTAAAATTTGTTTAAAATAAATACACACTAATATGCTTGGGCAATGATGAGTTATCATTTGATGAACTAGTGCTAGTAAAATATTTGTTCGCAATTATCAACAAAAACAGTAAAATATAAACAATAATATACAATATTATAACATAGCTTAATTAAAACATACATTTACATACTAAATAGCACATCCAACTTTTATAAATAATTTCCTGTTTAACAGATAATGACTGTTTTCAGGCTTTCTTAGCCCTGTAAATACAATTTGAGCATTATGCTTTTATACTTAATTTGTGAATTTGAGGGTCAAAATACTTTAACAAAAAGTACTTAACATTTACACAATCACTGACTAGGTTTAATAGACAATATATATATATATATCTATGTACAAGTAAAGAACACTGTGACTAAGTTTTGGCTAGAACTGGTTGCTTTTTCTAAAATACTGCACTAAGTACAACATATTTAATAAAGAGCCTGCTAAGATACACTTGATACACATTTAAAGATTTTCTGCACAGTTTCCTTATCTATAGAACAAAGATCAAAATCGAAACTAGTGTCTGTCACTTTAAATAAACCTGTTTCTTGAATGAGACCAACAACTTCCTCCAACATATCACTATCACGAGATGCCATTATGCGATCATGTAATTCCCATAAACTTGCTAATGTCTCTCCATTTTCCGCTACTACCTCACTTTTATTATCTTCCTTTGCCACTCCATTTTGAATGACTTCAAGGGATTCCTTACTATTTGGAGTTTTGGACTCTTTCGAGGATTTGGAAGAATCTTTCTTTTTCGATTCTTTTGATTTAGACTTTTCAGATTTGGAACTGGACTTTTTAGATTGACTAGAAGATGATTTTGATTTTTTGGTTTGTTTACTTTCTATCACAGCAACAGGTTTTGTTTCTGGTGTAGATTTTGGTAGCGTTGGTGGTGGTGGTGGTGGTGGTGGTGGAGAGGGTGGGATAACTGGAATTTTAACATTAAAATCATCATCTGATGAATCAGAATCTCCCAACTCGGCCATTAAAGCATCATATTTACTGTTGTTTTTTTTGCGTTCCGCTTCTGGTAATGGTGATAAACTAATACTTGAAGAACTAGAACTGAGATCAGAACTGAGGCTAGAAACTGAATCACTATCTTTCTTAACTGTTTTATCATCCTCATCGTCATCAGAACTATCTTTCAACGGAGATAATAATGCAGTTTTCATTGCAATATCGGATGGAAAAGGAATACTATCAGATGATTTTTTAGATGACTGACTATTCGATGATGTCTTGGTTTCACTACTACTTAAAGTATTTTTCATTTTTTTATCTGAACTACTGCTGGAATGTTTATGTTTATCTTTCTTCTTTTCATGTTTATCCGATTTACTAGAATGTTTTGATTTACTTTTTGAACTGTCTTTTGAACTTTTTTTCTTATCTTTATCCGATTTATGGGAGTGTTTTTCCTTTCCGAGATCAGAGGAAATTGAGGAACTTCTCTTAATCTTTTTCCCGGACATTTCTTCATCGGGAGGAGAGGATGTGGATGGACGTTTCTGTGCTTCTTTACCACGACTTTTGTGATCTTTAGAAACAGAAATAGTTGTGGTGTGTGTGACAGATTTAATTTCTTTTGATGCTACAGGCGTTGACTGTGGTGTTGACGGTTTACTACTGGAACCTCCACCACTGTTACTACTTATTAAACTAGATTTATGCTTTGGTGTTTTGTCCTGAAAAAATTAAATACATATATGAATAGATATTAATATCAGCAGGTTCATAAGCTTATATAAAACGTGACCATTTTGTCTAACTGAAATACCAGCCCCTTTTTCGAGATGCTGAATGCAACGTGTAAAACAAGCCAACAGCGAGGCCTCAATCTCCCAGGTCTCAATCCCAAAAATAAATAGATGACACTCATTAATTACTTGCACATGGACAGGCGTGAGAACCCATTTCAATAGCATGAAATATGAAATGGCTGCAATGACTATATGACAAGAGGCAAAGAAGGCTAAGGAGGGTGGAATTGGAACAATATAAACAGGTACAACCCTGTACTGAAATGATCGATATGCTGAATTTGAACAGAAAAAATGGGCATGGCTCTGCCCCTGGGGTCGGGAATGTGGACATATAAAAATGGCAGTTTTATAAAGTTTTGAGTTTCCACTTTCCAGCACATCTGAAAGCAGATCTTTCAGATGTATCTTTTTTCCCTTTGAAAGTTCCTCAATGCTCAGGGCAAAAATGCACAATATGGAATTGTTTCTGAAAATTAATGCTATAGTCAAAAGTAAATATCTCAGTCAACCTTTTAAGACAATTGCCTGACATTCTTATTGAGAGAGAGAAGTGGAGTCCACTCCACACAAACTTACATACATGTATTGTTCAATTTTATTTCAATAATTCGCTTGCGCATAGGGGTCTTTAGCAGTGGGAGGAAACCGGAGGACCCGGAGTAAACCCACAAGGTTGGACAGGCAACCCTACTCCTCATCACGTACAATCGGGGAATCGAAACCATGCCAATTGACTCAATGATAGACATTATGATACAGCGCGCACATGCTAACCATTTTTTTTGGCCCCACAATGACAAGTGAAGATTTATTAATAAATACAGGTATTATATTCAAGATATCTCCTTATAATTGCTCCCTCAGTCATTTTAAAACACCATTTGTTATCTATGTGTCTATACATGTAGAAGGTACCCTATTGTCTTGATTTAATTCTTAAAAGCTAGAGTGTGAAAGACGAGTAATTATAGATTTACATATTTTTAAAGTCAATAATGGTTATAATACATGTACCATAACAACCAACAAGTTGTAAAAAATTAATAAGCTAGCTGTATTATTTGAGTACTGATCAATATCTGTAGGATTACAATGGGTTTTTGTTTTGGCATGTCTAGTAAAAAATTATACAGTCAACATTAAGTTTTTAATTTTCCATACACAGTGAACATTATTTGCTTAAAGATACATTTCCTTTATTTATAGACGTGACCCTAAAAAAATACATATCCATCAAGGCATCAATTGGAAAATATATTCAAACGATTTCAAGCTAAAATCTCTTTACAATATTCCAATTTTAAACAATTCTGTGGGTTGAATACATATAGATGATTAATTACACTTGAAGGGAAATAGTTTAAAACTACACAGATGAAAAATCAATTATTAAAGATTCTTGACATTAAATTTAATATGTGTATTTTATTATTGCTTAAAACCACATTTGTTTCAACTTTAAACTATATAACATACATTTTGTTGTAATAAGCAATGACTTGGTTGTCCCAATTACTTCTACTTTACAATAATTTTTCCCTAAAATACTCTAGACTGCAATTATCACATTAATTTTAAAATATTTTCATCAAATTTACAAAGATGCCTAAAACGGTCAATGATCTGTTGAGTGTATTTGTTTGCAGACATCAAGCAATTCATTTAAATTTGTATTCATTACAGCAGAACATAAACATAATTATCTTAAAATCAATTTACCTTTGAATTTGAACTCGATCCATCTTTGGATGATGTGGTACTAGTAGATGATTTGGGCAGTTTTTTACCACTATCACTTTTACTGCTACTACTAGGGGTTCCCGCAGTTTCCATTAAGGCAGGATTTCCCATTGGTTGCTGTGAAATAACATAAGACAAAATAATCATTTATCTTGTTGTAATATTACAAATAAATCATTGTACATTTTTATAAAACAATGGAAAATATATGCTTAAGTTAAAGAATTTAATGATAGTCTATGGAAAATGAAATGAAATGGGGTTTAACGTCCTACTGTTCTGCTCCTATGCTGGGCTAATGAAGAAGGGCATACACCATACAGTGTGCTATGAAGGAAATTTTGCCCGGGCAAAGGGATCTTTTACGTGCATTCCAATGTATGTGTATCATGCTCTAGATAGGTGGTATTTCAATCTGGTTAAGAATTGAAAGGACATTAATAAACAGAACTGAGCAAACATTTTTAAAATTCTGCTTAAATATAAATACTCATTACTAATATTATTATTATTAAGACATGAGTAATCACATATTTTATTTTCATCCTATGAACATATCAGAAAATTAGCCCACAAGTGAAAGTGTGATTCACAGACAAAGGTTCAGAATTTTAGCATACACCGAAACTTTACTTCCTGTTTATGTCTTGACCATCTTAATAGCCAATGGACTAATAACATAATACCTAATTTATTCATATAGATGTTGCAGGGGCGTGTTGACCCATGATTTTGCATGAGGAACAAGATCCCATCCAGGCCTCCCAAAAAACAATATTTATATGTGTGTGCGGGGGGGAGGCCGTGGAATGGCAGTCCCTCCCAGTGCCGCTGTGTAATATTGGGCTGTGTTGAACATGCTAGAGTCAATTTGTAGCATATCTGACCCACGGTATATGTTTGACACTGGTTGAGTATGATTATGATTATATTATTTTGAAAACTGCATTGAAACTGCATGATTTTTTGCCATTTGCAAGGGGGCACAAAAACTCTAAAACTATGACACAAAACTCGTCATTGTGTCCTTTTCACTTAGCCCCTGACATGATGTGGATTGTATAACTTGAGATACAATATTTTCTGTAAATATGCTGCAAAATGTATCTATTTGAAAACAAGACCCGCCCCATAATGCAAAGATTCATGATGTATAATTGTCTTTCATTAGAAGAAATATTATATTATTATGTTTTAATTAGGGTAAAATCAAGAATAACAATCACTCAATTCCCAATGCTAAAATATTGCTAATATTTAATAATTAACAAATATTTTTCAACAGCTGGATCGACCAGTCAACATTTAGACTCAACAATATCTTGAATTCCATACCTAACAATAACAATCTTGTTACTTGCCTTTTTTCTTCCTTGGTGAGAATGTGCATACAAAATCATGCTTGCTTTTCCTTAGTTGTAATTAGAATGAGGAAAATTTGGTTTGTAATTATAATAGATATAGCCAGTCAATGTGGGATGACATGGTGCACATATGTTAACTTTGTCTGTCAACTGTTATCAGTTTATCTACCTTTATAATAATGTAATTTATCTCCTTGAGATTATTATCTCACTAACCACACATGGTAGAAAATCTAACTTAAAATCGTTCTATATTTTACATCACCGACATCTACATATATATACTCCACCACTGCTAATAAAACACAAATCAAAGCAGTATTTACATTGAACAAACATGTAAACTGTTCAAACTAGAAGTATAAATCTATCCATATGACACAGACAGGTTAAAAGCTAGGTAAAATCTGATACAACTCTAGAATTACTGAACATTTTCACTCATTAACCCACACATCTAAATATTATTAATCAATTTTATAGGCTTCACTGCTTCTTATAATATTTATCATCTTTCTTTTACACCCTTCTACACTGCATTTGCTGTTATGTCATTTGTTCAGTGACCATGACAAAGTAGCTATATAAATGCCATGAAATTTCAATAGCTCAACAAACAGGTATGGTAGCTAAGCAGGTCTCTGTCCTATACATAGCTATAGGCATAGACTGGTATATAAACCATAGATAGATTACACATATCAAACCCTGTATTAAATATAGCCTGGATACCATTCCTATATATAACTTAAAACTCTATCTAGTAGAATAGTTGACTTAAATTGACTGGTGAACATGACATAGGAGATATTTTCCTTCATTGTATAAACAGATCTTATTCTTCTAATAATTAACCAACAAACATCAGGAACAATAGTCAACAAATTTTCATTTAAAGTTTCATGCAAATATTTCTTAATGTGTTATATTAATAAGTCTTATTTGATGTTTATATTCAATATAATTGCATAAAAATCTGGCAAAGAACATGAAGTATACCTTCAGTCATTTCTTTCAAGTTTCCGCTTATCTAGAAAGATAAATATTGGCCACAGAAGAATGAGTGCAGGGCCATATCCGAATCAACAATAATTAACGGCAATATCCAATGGCATTTACAAATTACAGTTGTCAATAATGTTTCCTAGGTTTCGTACTTAAACCGGAAATGTGTTTTATACAGTTACATTTATATTTTCCTTTACTGCAGGAAATATGTATGTACAGAAATCAATATATCTTATAAAATAAAAAAATAAGTATTAAAGTCACGCTTCCCTTTTTATATTTCATTGCAACAAATTATCTATTGACTCCATATGTGGAACCAGCAGTTGCCAGGCAAGATATGCCCACATTTTGCAAGTGATGGATAGATAACAAGCTAAAAACAAATGCAATTTTTCTTACAATCAGGGGCCATAATCCAGAAAAAGGGATTGGATCTTTGGGATATAAAGATATATTTTAAGTTTCATCAAAATCGGATAAAAATTGTGACCTCTAGAGGGTCCACAACCATCGTATTACATACTTTTACACAATTTGCGTACAAAGAGCGTCCATTTTGTCAGGCAGTTTCATTTCGATTTTCCCGAAATTTGAATTCCACTTTCATTATGGTGGAATGGTGATATAATTAATTGTTTTTTCAAATCAGAAAAAAAATTGTGACCTTTGGAGAATCCACAAGCCAAAAATGTGATTTTCAGAACGATCAGGAGCCATAATCCAGGAAGTTACGTTCAAATATGCGCGATTATCAAAAGGAACAAAAATCTTAGTGTGTAATGGTGATATATATTGACATGTTTTGTTTTTTTTAAAAATCGGATAAAAATTGTGACCTCTACAAGCTAAAAACGCAATTTTTTGTACACTCAAGGGCCATAATTCAGGAAGTTACAATCAGATATCGAAAGGAACCAAGATCTTTGGGTTATAAACTTATATTTCAAGTTTCATCAAAATCAGAAGAAAATTGGGACCTCTATAGGGTCACAATCTAAAAATGCGATTTTTCGTACAATCTAGAGGGTCCAAAACCTTGATATACCAGATGTTTACACTATTTGCATACGAGGGGCGGCCGATTTGTCCGGCAATTTTGGTCGGATTTTCACTAAATTCAAACTCAACTGTCATTACAGCGTAACAAGCTAAAAAAGTGATTTTTCGTACAATCAGGGACCACAATCCATGAATTTATGGTCTGATACATGCCAATATCGAAAGGAACCAACATCTGTGGGAGATAGACCTATATTTCAAGTTTCGTCAAAACCAGATAAAAATTGTGAACTGTAGAGTGTCCACAAACAAATTGATTGTGGATGGACAGACAGGGGCGACAGTATAATATGTCACATGAAAATGTGGGGGTATAAAAATGTCAATTTTCATATATTTCAGAATTCACACATATCACATGTGAATATTGAAATGTGATAAAATAGAAATTGTACTTTTGTACTTACACCACCAGCCTTTAAGAGCTTTTGTCTGAACTCTTCGTTTGGATTCTTGAAGGTTAATTTTTCGTATCTGACATTGTTTATAGGTGGACAGTTCTCAGCATTCAAAAACAGGTCGTAATCAAAGGATATCTTTTTGGGTATTTCTTTATTGCGAAAGTATATGATGATTGGAAAATTAAAGCCTGCATAACCTGATTCCGACACTTGATATGGTGGTTCTTTAACAACTGAAAATATAGAAAGAATTTATATTTTAGTGGATGGAAATTGGAAGTGTAGAAATAACATCTAAATGGAAAATGACATTGTTTCATTTCAATATTGACTAATCACCATTCTTAATATATTCTAATTTGTGACCTGTTATACAGAGTGCATATACCTTTCATTAATGTCCTATTTTCATAGTCATAATGTAGATGTTTGATCAATGATTACTGTGCATTTAAAGAACCATAATTACAAAACATTATAATGAGATTTTCTCCACAATTAATGTTAATATAGATACCATTACATAACCTCCAGCATGAAATTATTGACAAACATAGTTAGGGTCTGACAGATAAAGATCAACATAGAAACAAACTATGCACCGGGTTTCACTACTCTCACTCAATTGGAATCAAAGTTATCATGCTCCACGATCTTGACTCAGCTTAACCAAAGCAAGAAATGCTCAAAAATTGAACATAATCAAGGTATTTATGTAATGGTACACCAAGATTTGTCACTCTCAAAGGAATGACCAATCAAATTGCTGATCATACAGCTTGGCAATGGCCTTCACCTAATAATAATCTTCACCAAGTTTGCACATTCTAGCTCCCAAAAAGTGATGGACAGACAGATGAACCCAATAAAATATTAAATTGGTTTGATGTGATTTGTTTCGGCAGTGAAAGCAAAGTCATGCGTATGTAAAATTTGAACTGTAGAAAGATAAATTATTCTAAAACACAAAGCATATATGGATGCAACTACTTCTCCGTTGTCTAATAACACACAAGTGTTACAGAAAGATACTTCAAATCAACTTAAAACATGGCAACTTATTTACCATTATGCATAATTACTCAAGTGTCACAATATAAAATCTACAAGATCAGCATGTTTTCAATATAGCCAGGTGGAGGGTGATATCATATTAGTCATCATCTATATTGAATCTAGCAGTATTCAAGCGCTCATTACCAATATATACCGGTAGATAAATGTTTATTTGCTCTAAATATGGAAGTTCAATAAAATCTATTGACTATATATTATGCAGGTTGGATTACCTTACATGATGGAAAATCTAAGAAATGAAGCACAAAATTATATGTCAACTGAGCATGTATGAGATTTATTATGTATAAATAATTCAAGGTAATTAAATTACTTCTTGGCGGGTCTTCTGACTGTAACTCGAGGAAAAACATGAAAATTTCTTTACAGATTTCTTATTGTTAATACATACCTATAAATTTGAAAATATATTCAAACTACAAGGAATAATATATTTGGTGCTATAAACAATGTACATTGTTGAATACTTCAAGCCAAATACAGAAAAAATAAGATAGGTTGCCAGGCAACGAAACATATGCCTGCAGCAGCTAAATCGTCCGCGCAATCGACAAGGGTTGCAACATATTTATGCTTTTGTAGGTAATAGGAAGATATATAAGACACTGATATCAATTTCAGACAGATCAAATGTTCTCAAGGTTTAACAAAGTCAAACAAGGGTCATAACTATAGAACTATAGGCTTCTTCGTTTTACTAATCTCAATAATGCATTTAAATTTAATACAGATCGGATGATAACTTTTGTCGATTGAGAGTTTACAAGGTTCAACAAAGTGAAATACAGTCCATAACTCTAGAAGTAATTAATGCAAACTGTGTCTTCGTTTCTGTGATCCAAATAATGCATATAAATTTCATACATATCGGATGATAACTTTTGTTGAGTGAAAGTTCACAAGGTTCAACAATGTGAAACATAGGCCATAACTCTAGGAGTAATTAACGCAAATTGCTTCTTCGTTTTCGTGAACTAAATAATATATATAAATTTGATACATATCGAATGATGACTTTAGTCATTAGAGTGTTCACAGAGTGAAACAAGCACCATAACTCTCGAATTAATGGAAATTGTTGAAATTCAATAGGCTTATTCGTTTTACTGATCTGAATAATGCATATAAATTTCATGCAGATCGGATGATAACTTTTGTCGATTGAGAGTTCACACGGTTCAACTAAGTGAAACAAGGGCCATACATCTAAAAATAATAAACGGAAATTGTGGAAATTCTATAGGCTTCTTCGTTTTCGTGAATAATGCATATAAATTATAACTTTTGTCGATACAGCTAGGGAAACAAGGACCATAACTCTAGAAGTAATTATTGGAAATAGTTGAAATTGAATAGGCTTGAAACTGATCGGATAATAATGTCTGTAGAGTGTTCAAAAGAAACTGTGGACGACGCAGGTGAAGGCAAAATACGACCACATTTCCATGTTTTGTAGGAGTCATATAAATGAACTAATGTTTTAAGGAACAATTCGTTAAGTAAATAAAGATTAAGAATGTGTCAAAACAAATCTACACATACTTTGACGAAAACACAGATTTTGGTACAACCTGTCCATAAATGACATTAAAAAATTAATATTTCTAATCTGTAATTACCTTATCACTTACCTTATAACAACTTATCACTGGGCTATAACAACTTACATATATACAGGAGTTCAAAGCCTATTGAATTTAAATGAATTACAATACCTACATGTACAGTATATATAGGTAACTCACAGCTAGATATTGGTTTTATTATACTTTATATAAAGCGTGGAATTTATCAGCTGTTCTATAATATTGTAATACACAGGGTGTAGATGAGCTGTATCAGCAGTATTAATTATTACCATGTTCCTGTTCACACTCCTACACCCCGATCACTTCACTCAGAATCAGGGCATATGTGTTGACAATGCTGATTGCTTGGCAACAGTTGAGAACTTTATCCTATTTTGGACCAAGGGTTCCATGTCAGCCATATATGCCGGTCAAGACCAAGGGCTATGAAAATGACAGAAACTAGATCAGATCCGTCGGTCATTTTGCATATCGAAAATTAGAATATTTTTCAAAACCCAATTTTCAATTCAAACATGGCTACAATTTATCTCTGCTATGTAACAATAAAATTTGACAGCCTGTACAGAGTGAACATGTATAGAAGCCACATAATCTCATGATTGGTGTTATAGAGTTGTATATACAGTTGTCAACAAATCATAGGGAGTGTTGTGTTGATAATTATTGATGAATATCTGGTAGTAGAACAATACAAGTTAATTGATATGTGGTAATCTTATCAAAGCATGAATTAACGATCCATTGTTAATCATAAGAATTTTCTAGAGCAAAGCTGCTTTACCCTATTAGGGTAACAAGAGTAATATGATCCTTGAAACCAGTGGCTGCCAGGCAGGATACGCCCACATTTTGCAAGAGATGGATAGAGAACAAGCTAAAAACAAAAACCATTTTTTGTACATAATTTGCATACAAAGAGCGGCCATTTTGTCAGGCAGTTTCATTTCGATTTTCCCAAAATATATCCTGGTGATATATATAAACGTTTTTTTAAAATCAGAAAAAAAATTGTGACCTCTGAGAATCCACAAGCTAAAAATGTGATTTTTTGACCAATCAGGGGCCATAATCCAGAAAGTTACGATCGGATATCTGTGATTATCAAAAGGAACCAAGATCTTTATGATAAAAACATATTTAAAGTTTCAACCAAATCGAATAAAAACTGCGGCCTCTAGAGGGTCCACAACCTTGATATACCATATTTTTATATGCCCACATTTTCATGTCCGGACGTCTGTCCACAATTTGCTTGTGGACACTCTATAGGTCACAATTTTTAGCTGATTTCAACGAAACTTGAAATATAGGTTTATCTCCCTAAGATCTTGGTTCCTTTCAATATTTGCATGTATCAGACCGTATCTTCATGGATTATGGCCGCTGATTGTACGAAAATCACGTTTTTAGCATGTGAACCCTATAGAGGTCACAAATTTAAGTTTATAACCCAAAGATCTCAGTTCCTTACCTTGTGGACTCTATAGGTCATAATTTTTATCCGTTTTAAAAAAAACGTCTAAATATATCACCTTTACACCTAAAAGATGGTTGAGTTCGAATTTCATAAAAATCGGACCAAAACTGACAGACAAAATGGCCACCCCTTGTACTCAAATAGTGTAAAAAATATGGTTTATCAAGGTTGTGGACCCTCTAGAGGTCACAATTTTCTTCTGATTTTTATGAAACTTGAAATGTAAGTTTATAACCCAAAGATCTTGGTTCCTATCGATATTCGCGAATATCGGATTGTAACTTCCTGAATTATGGCCCCTGATTGTACGAAAAATCGTGTTTTTAGCTTTAGGTCCCTCGAGAGGTCACAATTATTATCCAATTTAAAAAGATAGGTTGCCAGGCAACGAACCATACCCCCACAGCAGCTAAATCGTCCGGGCAGTGAACAAGTGTTGTTGCACATTTTTACTTTTTTCGGTAATGAAACATTTATAAATAATACACTAAAATCTGATTAAGAGAAACAACTCATTAAGTAATTATCAGAAAACCATTAAGATTTGTTTGGTTTTTATAAAGTTCTGCCCCATGCTAATGCTTAGTATACAAAACTTTTAATATCATGGATTTAGCTGTTAAAATCATAAAAATTTACTTGTTCGTATCAAGATCTTCAATCTCAAGTCGATCGAATGATAACTTTAGCCTCTAGAGCATCACAAGATTTTTCAAAGTGATCAAGGGCCATAACTTTGGCAGTAATTATCGGAAATCTTTGAAAATCAATAGGATTCTTCGTCTCATGACCTCAAACACTGTGTATAAATTTAAAGTCAATCAGATATTAACTTTAGCCTCTAGAGCATCCACAAGATTTTTTGAAGTGATCAAGGGCCATTAACTCTGGCAGTAATTATCGAAAATCACTGAAAATGAATAGACTTCTTCATCTCATGACCTTAAACACTGTGTATAAATTTACAGTCAATCGGATATCAACTTTAGTCTCTAGAGTGTCCACAAGATTTTTCAAAGTGATCAAGGGCCATAACTCTGGCAGTAATTATCTGAAATTGCTGAAAATCAATAGGCTTTTTCGTCCC